ACTTTTAAATCTTTAAATTTAAAAATACCTTTTCTGTATTTCAAAGTTAATTTAAACTGACTGGAAGGAGTTTTCGTTTTGAAATTGCAAGAAGAAAGGTAATTTAAGCACATCACACAAAAATAAAAAAATATTTTTTTGAAACTTTGAGGAATATTAGCTAAAAAATATTACTTTATGTTTAAAAAGTCACAGAAATGGGGCTAGGTATTTATTTAAGGTGTATTTGTTAAGGTGTTACTGGTTGACAGCAGACAGAAGTTTACCTAATTTTTTTCTATGGTAAAAATTACTTGAGGATAACGTGAGCCCCTTTTTTACATAATCTTTTTTTTAACTACCCAGTAACCTTAAAAATTTAAGAAAATAGTCTCTGCAAACTAATGTTTTATTGAATTTTAGGCACCTTGACTTTAAATTTACTATGGTTATTGCTCAGGCTTTCTGATAATGCTGTGTATAGATGTCTGTATTTACAAAAAAATAATCAAAATTCTTTATAAAATATGGCGGGGGGAGGTCATTGAATTGTAGTAAGCTTTTCCATTTAAATTATGGTTTTTACTTAATAACAATATCACCTAACCTGTACAAATTAATATAGAAATTTGAAATATTTAAAACTTTATAAATTATTCTAATTAAAAAAAAAAAAAAAAAAAAAACTCTTGTAAAAATTCATCAGTCATCGAAAATTTTTTTTCCTTAAGACAACAGTGTCCATAATATATCAATTAAAAGATTTTTGAATTAAATAGTGTCTTAGTTTTATCACATTTTTTTTTTATTTTATGATTCAGAGCAGATCTTCAGTAATTGAGATTCCCTTTTTACAAAAAATTTGATGATTTAAATTCTCAAAGGAGTTCTGCATATAACATTAAGCAATACAAAAATGAATTTCTTGAAATTTCATAAAATTAAATAAGTGGGGAGTATCAGATGTAAAAAAAAAAATTTCATTCATCTGCAAATAAGTCCTGAAAGTTTCATTAAAATCCGACAATTATTTGATTTTTGCAAGAATTCCCAAATCAATGTTTTTCAACACAAAAAAAAAGGACTATAAATTTTCCTATACTATAATCTTTTGATTCTTTTGCTGATGTAAGGAAAACCAAATTTTTAACCAATTTTTGAACATTCTAGAAAAAAAAAATGGATAAAAAAATAATTTATTATACAAAACTCCTTTTGTCTTTCCTAAAGATCTTTATAAATCTGTTTTTTTTTAAAGCTGAGGGCATTTTTTCATCATGGTATCCTTGGAGGTACCTAAGAGTAGTTCAATAAAATGTTAAAAGTACTTTTAACTCATCAGTAATTGTATTTCTCTTCTAACTAAAAAACAACAAAAGGACTAATGGCATCAATACAAAATTTCAAAGGTCAATTTTTGAAAATTGCGCTACTGTTTTTCCTTCATTTCAGGACATGTGTAATGTTTACATTGGTCTATTTTTGGAAATCGATCATAAAAGTACCCCTCACCATACAATCATTCCTAAACTATTTTTTTTTATTGTTTTCAGGGATAAAGATCGTGAATTGATTTAATTTAAGAAAAAGATAAAGAAAGATGAAATTATCACGTGTTGCTTAATTGCTTGCCATTTCTCTTCCAGAAGGTCTCGTCCAAAACCAAACTGATAAATAAATTACAGCTGTAAATTAACACTACCACTAGTGTAGATTTTATAAGAAAAAAATGTACACTCATAAATTTGCGATTGGACAGCATTTGCACAGTGTATTAAAGAGAGAAAAAGACATCAACAACAAAAACAAACTGTCGTGTGGAATGACAAACAAAATAAAAAAAAAAAACATGGTCTCACAAACACGCACACACAAAGTGTCAAAGGAAAATCACTTAGGATTTTATTTATCGTAAGAAAATAACACCTGTTCTGGTCACACGAACAACTCTTCTTCACTATTTGCTAACTTTAACTATTTGCTCTTTACTTTAGATATTAACTTCTGTTTTGTCAGAATATCATCTGTTTTACTCTTAAACTTGAAAAACTACTGTGCGTAATTTTACAATTGTTAAATAGAGAAAACAATTTACTGGCCAGAAAAAAGTTTAACACAAGGCCACATGTGATGGAGTACTCCGAGAGGAACCAAAAAGGCGAGCAATCGTACCACCATTACATGAGAGGTACTCGTGTTGAATAAACAGAGTTCTTTAAATAAAAGCCGCAACTGATCAGTTATACTTTTTTTTTTTTTAGAAATGACAGCAATGTAATTAAAAATGAAAGTATATGCCTTTGTGCCCTTTTGGACAAATAGACCCCACCTTTCTGTCAAGTTGTAAAATGTAAATAAATACAATGAAATGCCTCTATTTTTTTTTTTTTTATTATTTTAAAAATTTCAGAAAGATCAAAACAAGCAGAAAATGAAAATGTTAAGAGGGATGGCCTTTGTTTAAGAAAAATCAATTTGAGAATAATAGATCGCAAAAAAAGCACGTGTCATTTACATTCCGCCATTATTAAAGAGACCAAAGAAATATACAAGTTTGATTTCTTTCGAACCAACCAATTCCCAGTGTAAATAAAATCAAAGTGTTTTTTTTTTTTTTTTTTTTTTTTAAAAATTTTCACAAGAAAATATAAATAAATAACACGGGGGTTAAATTTTTGATGTAACTTTTTTCCAGTAAGTAAACAAATGACAACTATTTAATTTAAAACAGATACGATATTAAAATAGTTTTAAATATTTTCAGAATAAAATCGATAATATTAAATAAAAACTGAAATCAGTATGATAGAGAAATATTCGAATCTGAAAATTCCCGCCTAATTTACGACAAACCCAGCAAGTACGGCTGATGAAACGGATTATATTACTGCTATAGGTCATTTCCTCCAAAAATTGGAATATATTTGCAGAAAAAAACTGTGCATAAAGAAAGAAAACACTGAAAATGGGAGTAGTTCTGAACCTGTAGTAAAAATCCAAATTTAAAAAACAACACAAGGAATTTTTAAACATTTTTGTACTATTTTAATTTATGCTGTACATTGCAAAAAAAAAAATGTTTTATTTTTCTTGAAGTTTTTTTACTTTCAAAATTTAGTTTTACTTTTAAAAATCTGGTAACAAATGTATTTTTTTTTCTAAAATTTGAATCAGTGCAAATTCCAATTTTTTAAAGAAAAAGAAAGTCACAACGGAGGTATAGTGTTTCATAACGATATTTTTAAATGTGATATTTCACTAATTAGCTGAAACATTTGGACACATAATGACCCTCTTAATAAGTACCAAACCAAGTCTCGCTTACACTAGCAATTCTTCTAGATTTTTTTAACGGAAGTACTTGGACCAATAGCTGCATTTTAGGCAGAACAATAAGTTTAAAATACGCAAAAATGAAAAATGTTTGTTAGCTTTTTTTTATTTTTTTTTATTTATAACAACGTTTTTCTTCTCTACAGTAAAGTAATAAATTTTCGACAAATTAGCAATAAAAATATTTGTAAAACTTTTTTTTCATGAAATCAAGAACAAGTTTAATAAACTAGTAAATTCAAAGCTGTTAATTCCTGGCTTAAAAAAGCCATATTGTAAACGTGTAGAATAGCTATCCTTATGGTCAGATTAGAAAAGCAGCCGATTGTTTGGTTTTTTTGTTTTTTTTTATTAAAAAATAAATCCTCTCAAAAATTGTGTAATAATATCTAACCACACTGTTGCACGTGTTCATCATTTTTCTTTTTCTTTTTTTTACTCCGACTTTTAAGGAACAGCATTTAAAATTTAACGATAAGAAAGTCGTATAAAACAACCATTTACAGTAATAAATAAATAGAAATATAGTCAGAGTAATCAAATAACACCCTGTCAAGTCTTTTATCTAATATACTAAACAAAAAGAAACTAGATCGGAAGCAACTACTCTACTTCTCTAAGTGAATACCATCAAATAGCAATATTCAGAGAATCAGAGTCTTATTCTCATTTTTTGCAAATTATGGCTTAATTCTACATAAGATGGAATACTATCCACTCGGTAAAATACAAATATTTAATTAAAAAAATAAAATATAAATAAAAGACGAAAAATAGAATCGAACCCTCACTTTGTGACCTCCAGTGGCAAAATGAAATTTAGGAATCTTACCAGAGTTGTCACGATACAGTAGGGAAGGGGGAATTGCTTAAGGGTTTCTTTCCTGGTTTTTTTTTTCATTTTTAATTTTTTTTACACCGTCACAGTGAAAAGAAATAAAATTTAGGAAACACTATAATATTGACATAACGGCAAAACATAAAAACGAGTTAATTTGGTGTCACCACTTCGTAGTTATAAAGGAAAAAGAGACCACATTTCAGTCGTAAAAACGGAACCCCCACTTTGTGACCAGCCACAGAGCTTAACTCTTCTCATTCTGTCCAGGCAGCATTTTTTTTACGCTTAAACGATTATCTCTTTATATTTTACATCGACAGGCAATCAACGTAAAACCAAATCCATAGATAAAATTTTATCTATTTCTAAATAGAATAATGTTGTAACTGTACTTTAAAAAAAAAAAAAAACAATTTCTTTTATTATTATTATTATCATCATTAGAACCTACAAGAAAAAAAAATCAACGTGCATTTATAGCGAACAATATTGAGCACGATGTAAGTCAGACACTGCACATTTTTAAAAATCAAAATCCCTTTAATCGATATTGAGGTGAGGCTTGACAACACCTTAATCAATAAACAAAATCTACAAGTCGAAGATAACAAGAATAATCATTTACTAACACATTTCAAGAGAGAAGTACACGCATGTCCTTACCTGAAGCGGCCATCTTTATTTTAGTACACGCCCGGAAAATGTTAGCCTCAATCTCAACAAAAATTATAAACCCTGTTTGATGCGTAAAAAATAATTTTATTATAGCTTTAATTATTCTTTAAGAAAAAAATAATTTTTACTCGGAAAAAATAAAAATCCATCGCAAAATGTAAAGTAAAATATTATGGATAAATCTCGTCATCGTGTTGCGAGAATTTCCGCTACCAGCTTAGGTATCACGATGGTAAACAATATTTCTGTTCTTAAAAAATGTCTATAAAAATGTCAATTTGGAATTTATTTCCTTACAAATTTCTTGCTTTGCATGATTAATGTTTCTAGTAATTGTCTTGTCTTATTTTCTTATATTGGGAATCAATGTTAGAGATATTAATTTATTGTTTTCAGCCTTTCATTGTCGATGTCATGTGTTACCACGGGTTACGGATTCTTTGAAAGAAGAAACAATCCATTTTTTTTTTTTTTAGTGTAAAAAAAGATTTTTTAAGTTGAATAATTTTTTATTTTACTCATTTACGTCGCTTCAAATTAATGATTAAATATTTTGTTGGAATCCTTTTTTCTTTTCTTTTACAACGAAAAATATTTTTAAAAAATAAAATTATAAGAAAAACAATTATTAAACAAAAAATAGTTTTTCTTTAAAGTTTTTTTTTAACTACACGGAAAAATAAAATAAAAAATGCTTAGTTTGAGGATTTTAAAATCTATATTATTTATTTGTTAAATTCCTAGTTAACTGTCGGCAACTTTAAAACAATATCCTTAAATTTGATATATTTTTTTTAGTCTTCCAAATTATACTTCGACACAAAAAATGTAAAAACATTTTTTTATTTACATCATACACACACAAAAAAATACCTAACTTCCAACTGATGCAAATTGCATTTTTTCACAAGATACAGTCTATCAAAGCAGAAAGACTTTCGATGCTTGTTAACTATCGTGGTCCCAAGCGGAATGCTATCAATAACAACATTCTGCTTGGGATCACGACACAGCTAGCTCGCTTGATCTCTCTCTTTCTTTCACACAAATACACACACAACTTAGCTATTGACATGTTAAAAAAAAAACTACTATCATGAAAATAATTGACCATAGATTAGAAATGGTGAATGTCAAAAATAAATGGAAGATTAAGAAGAAACATTATTGCTTGATCGATGGGTATTTTGTAGACATACATTGCATCCAGCCAACTTTCGTTTTCATTCCTGATAGATTCACTGATAGACCAGCGTCATGCTGAGTCTATTTGACCCGGAACGACCATTTATGACGACAGTTGAAACAATACTTCTACATTGTCAAACAGTAGTCGACCCAATTTCTCATGCACCTACAAACTAGCTGAAAGAATTTAAACTTTCATCCTGGGACCGTGATTCTTAAGAAGTACCAAACTTTTTTTTTCTTTATAATATTGGATTTTCAATAAAAACATGCCTAAAAAAATCTAAAAGTACATTATATTTGCCAAATGGAATGCTATCTTTATTTTAATTAGAGTGAAGATCTAAAATAAATAAGAAATTGGAATATATACTTATCTTTTATAGTTAATAATACTGTTACATGTAATGAAGACAAAATTTGATTATCATTCTCAGGTCAATCTTAATTCAAAGACAATTTGTGTAAAAAAAAACAAAAAAAAACAAAACATTCAGCCAGAGTTGCTCAAAATGTTTCTTCCAGTGTGTCATATCCAGCTGGGTTGGTATTCTTTGGGTAGAATATAACAATATGTACAGATACTATAGAACAGACAATATTTGTTAGTAATTTATTTTAATATATTTTTAATGAAATGCATGAACTTGGCAGTTTCTGAAGATTAATTGAATTTTGGCACAGTTTCAGAAAGATGTACACATATACCATTCTCAATTTATAATCTTGAAATAATGTAATTCGCCTTTAGTTAGATGTTGCTGAAGAACTTTTGTTCATAACCATAAGTGATTACAAAGTCATACAAACTGGAAATGTTTGATTTTATGGAGTATGCATTTAATGTCTGCAGTGTTGCCAAATGTGTCAGGTTTTCATGACTTGCATTTCTTTGCTTGAGTGGAGTGTTGAGGGGATGAAAATTTGGCATTGTAAAAATATTCAATTAGGCCACAAAGAAAAAAAGGAAAGGAAAAGAAGAAAGCAAATAAAATAAAAATACAAAGTTTTATAATTCTGATATAGTTGAAGTAATTTACAAAAAATGTTTTTTTCTTTTTAGTCCAATTTCTTTTTATGAATACAGTTTTTGTATAACAGGAAATAGACTAGACACAAGAAGATTTACTAATGACTTCTCACTTTCCAGTCTTGACAGAGTTCAAAAGTGTCTCTGAGTCCTTGTGGGTGATGAATTATTTTCCACTCTCTAACCTCTCTCACAGGCAGGATGTTGCAAACCTCCCACTACTTCTATAGAAAGTGCTCAGACGAACTACATTCCTTGGTTCTGCCAGGTCTAACCTTCATGGCTAAGACTTGCCATGCCACTTACATAGTAGCAAACCCCCACCCACATTCCTCTGTAGTCCAGTGAGAAGTAAGTTCCACTCGAACAGCTTCTTCTTACAAAACAATGCTCTGTGGAACAGATTCCCAAGAGGATGTTTCCCTGATCACTACAATCTTAACCTGTTCAAGTCTAGAGTTAACCGTTATCTTCTCCTCCTATCCATAACCCTCTAACTCAAGTGGCCCCCTGGGCCTTGTATAGGGTGAGGCTTACTGTAAAAAAAAAAATCTCTTATTAATTTGACTGTTACTCTGACCACTACTCAGACTAACCGCTTGATATGTTGCCTTTTATTTATACCTGTTGCTTGGGCATAGTGAACACAAGATTACTCATGGATATTTAACAGAAAAATGCTCATTTTATTCAATCTCTATTCTAAATTGTATTACTTGAAGGATATAAAAAATCTGATAATAACTATACAAGGTTAAAAGTTGAAATGTTACAGATTAATAATTTGATATTTATTTTAAATGCTGTGCAAATTTTATATTTCTCCATAAATTATAATTTCTTAGTTTCATTTAAGTTGGTATCCACTCAGTAGGCTATTGTATCTTAATAATTTTCAATAAAAAGACATTTTTATTTTGACTGAAATTGATTAATTAATAGGATATATTGTAATAATGAATCCACTATAATTTGAATCTGTCTATTTGTTCATTTTGCCAAATCTCATTTATGAAGATTTTAAAATTTTTTCTTCATTACTGGAATATTCAAAAATTTGATAGGAGCAGATAGGTTCACCTGTTGTCCAGTTCATACTCCTCCTGATCTTTTGAACATGAGTAGAGGTTTATCCCTTGATTCCTGTTTAGAATTGGGTTTCCAGTTCCTTCTAAAGTTTACTTCCATACTATACTTCTAACGTCTCCAACTGAACTCTGAAATGTTATTTACTAATTAAATCTTGACCTCTTCAAGTCCAGAGTTAGCTGTTATCTTTCTTGCACAGCCCCAAGAACTCCGCTTCTTGTCCTTCCTTACACCAATACAACACCACACAGTAACCCCCTATCTTGAGTAACTCTTAGGCATTGTATTGGGTGGATATTAGTATATAAAAAAAATCCTGTGTTTTGACATACTTTACCTACTCCTTTTATTTTCCATGTGTGCTTCTAGGAGGATGTATGCACAGGATTTTGATAACTACCACATCAGACGAAGGCAGATCATTGGTCTGAAATCATAGCTTTCTATTTCCAGCAACTGAGACAGAACTTTAAAACTATCTTTACTCAATCTACTAAATATGATGACTATTGCCTTTTATCTCTGTTGGCTTATGGCTATATCACATTGAAACACTGGTTCTTATATGATCATCAAAGTTAAACAATATTGAGCCTGCACAGTACCTAGATGGATGATTGCTTGGGAATAGCAGGAGATTAAGTTTTTTATTATATTTTTCTTATATTCATACAAATGATTTCTTTTTTGGACATAGTGTGTAAGAACTGCCCAAATGATTTGGGATCTTTTGGCTAATTGATTTACAAGGATTAATTGATTAATCAAGGAGTTTTTTGTTTCTCTGAATATGTGGGCTTTTTTTTCTTATAGCAATAGGAATGTTTTTATTTCTGAACACAGTTAACAGATTATGGCTATGTTCATAATTGATATTGGGAGTTGGTTTTTTCTTTTGCCTTCTTAACACTTCCATTATCTTTAAGTGTTTTCTACATTTAGATTAGTGTATTTTGTTGGTATTTTCTACAAATATGTTGCGAGTAGAAATTGGTAGGTCTCCATGTGTATCTAAATGGGTCATAATAATATATATATATATATATATATATATAAAAGGGAGAGATTATAGTTGTTCCAACGAGAGAAAAGTGTATATTTTAAAGAGAGAAGAAACCATAAACGTTTTTGATTATAATGTGGATTTTTTTTTTTTTATATTATACTTTATTTTCTATATTTTTTTGCCGCACAAGTTTTGGGTCTTGTGACCTGACTTGGGGTGGTAGCACCTGTTAGGGTCCCAGCTATGGGCAAATAGTTGACCCCCAACATGACTCAAAACACTGTGAAAGTGTAAAAATAGGTTTTAATACCAGAAATACTTTGTAAAAAAATTACTACCAGCAATAAATTTTTGAAAAAAAATAATATTACCAGTAATAAAAATCTTATTGGCATTAAATAATCCATTGAGGTTAATATGCCACAAAACAACAAACCAAACTATACATTTTTGAAAAAAAAAAAAATTACCAGCTATACAGTTTTTGAAAAAAATATTAGCAGCAATAAAAATTTTGTTGGCATTAAATAACCTATTGTGGTTGATATATTGTAAAACAAAACAAAACAAACCAAACCTGTGTATAAGATGAACGCAGTTTCAAATACTGCCAAAGAAGATATTCTCTTTACAAGATTCTTACAAAACCCAAGCCAGTGAATGATAATGATACTGTTTAAAAAACAGATGACTACTCAAACACACATATCCACTAAATATAATGTTTATAGTAATGAAAATGATATATATAGTTTAATATATTTTTTGTGACTTAAAAAAGGCATTGTAAAGAAATATTTACATTGTATTTTACATGGTGATGTTGAGAATGACCATGAAATAGACAAGAATATTTTAGTAGACCACCACCTTGGCTCAGCCAAAAGTTTCAGTTGAAATCTATACATTTTACAAACTTTCTTGTAACTTGACACTTTAATATGTTTATCTCTGATGACTGTAGCAGCATGGTTCGCAGCATGGAGTTTGTTACATGCACTTTTCCATGAATTAAAGTTGATTGGAAAGCAAGAGATTCGAAGAGAGTTTTGCAAGAGAAGAAACTGTTAACACAGAACTTATGGTTACATCTAGTCATTTTAACTGTAAAATGATGAGACCTAACTGCCAATCTAATACAGCACTTTAATACTAGAAAAATAGAATGGGGTTAGGAAATGACAGAAAAAGAAGTATTTGCATTGTGGACTTAAACTTCTGTTTCCTGTGTGATGGTTCAGATGAAAGTAAAACGTGTCACACATTTCCAACAGTTAACAGGCTTACGGCCAGATCACTTTCAAACACTGGTTCTTAAACAACCCCAGTTAAGCAACATTGGGCCTGGTCAGTACCTAGATGGGTAACTGCTTAGGAATTCCTCTCTACCAATGTAGGACTTGTATCTTGTAAATCATTATCTCCCCCCAAATTCTTACAATCTAAAATATTTTCTGGCTTTAAATAATATGTAAAAGGTTGATAAACCATAAAAACAAATCAATCAATCCAATGGTTAACAACAAACTAATTTTATTCAGGATATTACATTTGGTGCCTCTCTTGTCTCTATATGCTTGTGTATGTATCTATAGATGTGTGTGCATTTGCTTGCTTATGTGCATACATATACCTATTTACATGTGCATCCATGCTTACCAATAACTGTTCTTGTTTTAGTTTGCATTCATTTACATGCAAATATTCTTGGGTAAGGTATGAATCTATCTCCTTCCTCTAGCTGTAGGTTACATAGTAGAACTTGTATCTGGAAAAATCATTGCTATTCTCAAAAAATTCTTAAGGAAAAAAAAAAAGATATTATCCAAAATCCAAAATATGTTGGGTTGATAGAAAAGATAGGTTCACCTATCGTCCAATTCACACTCTTCCCCATTCTTTTGAATAAGATTTGTACTTTATCCCTTGTTTCCCCATTTATAATTGGGTTTCCAGTTCCTGCTGAAGTTTACTTCACCTCTATACTTCTAACGTCTATGTCTAAACTCTGAAATTTTATTTACTATTTTTATTTTTTCTCTTCAATAGTAGATATGTTTGCCCATAATGCAGTTCACACTTTCCCTGGTCTTTTGAACAGGAGTAGAGGTTTATTCCTTGTTTCCTGTTTAGGGTTTGGTTTCCAGTCCCTTCTAAAGTCACTTTCACGCCCAATAGCTCCTTGTTTTTTACTGGCATTATAGCCTTGCTTGGGGTATTGAAAAAAAACAAATTAGTAAATCATGTAATTCTGTTTTAGTACTTTAAATTTGTTAAGTCACAACAGTTTAAATGCAGTGTCAATTGCTATCTTCTGTTTTCTTAATTCCTGTACTTTTATTGCTTAATAATGTTTTTCTTTTTCTCATATTCTTTCACACTCAGTAACTCCTTGCGTCTTAGTAGCTTTATTGCCTTGCTTGGAGTGAAATGATTAAAAAGAAAATTCAGAATGTTCCTTTCTAATTTATCAATCTTGGATCTTACAGAAATTATTTCAGACTGTGGAAGGAATCAAATTGGTTTTCTTTGATTTTAAGTTAATAAATACAAAGGGTTAAAATTTGAAAAGCTAAGACTATGACTCTTAATTTCTGTTCATTTCTTAAATTATTCTGAGCCATGGGTTGCAATGAAAATTGACTGCCTGATTGTCTGTTGTTTTTACTACAAGTATCAGCTTTTGTTTGCTGATGAATTTTACTTAATTGCTGTTTAAATGCTTGTTTTGTGCTGAAGAACATATCCAATATGGTAACATGATCTTTTTTCTAAAAATTATAAAGACTAAGAAAGGACTGAGCTGTTTTTCTCTTAAAATTGTATATAAGACTGCATATAAAATTCAGGACATTTTAAAAAATAAATTTACTTTTGAGATTTGAAATTTGTAGACTCTTTAAATAAGTGTTGAAATTGCCTGTCGTTTTTATCGTTAACAACAGATATAATGTTCTCAAGGTGGGGGGGGAGAACATGAAACATTTTGTGCAGCTTTTGTAAATAGGACAAATATTAACAAGTTTTCTTCCTCCTTTTTCTTCTTTTTTTTTTGTCCTTCAAAATAAGTTAGCCAGCAAATTTTTCTAAGAGTCTTGAAAATCATTTTAACTGGAACAATTAATAATTTGATATCTTAAAACTAAACTTGTTGAATACAAAAAGCTCTGGAACTCTGAAGGTCAATTTTCACAAAAATTTATGTATACATTGTCTGTTTTGTTAGAAATTAAATACACAATTTTTCTTTTTATAAGCAACTCATTTACAAGTAACTGTACTCAAATTTGACTAAATGTTGAGCAACTCCATTAATGATGTCAGTGTAGTTTAAGCAACAAGGAAAAATAGTTTTGAATTCAAAGTATTCCTTCTCCTAAACTAGTTGCCAACCCATTGTTGAAAAGCCCAATCTGCCCTACTATTTAACCCATAGCTGAGGGAAGAAAGGATGGATTCATACCACTACCAAGAATATTTGAATGAAAGTGAATGTAATGAGCTTGATGAATTTGAGCTTAGTTTTTTTTTTTTTTTTACTAATGATCACCTAATACAAGGCCCAAGGGCCACCCAAGGTATAGGGTTATTTTGTAGGGTTGTATTAGCATAAGAAAGAGCTAGATAACAGGAAAGATAGCTAATTCTAGACTCGAAGAGGTCAAGATTTAAGTAATGAATAAAATTTCAGAGTTCAGGCAGAGATGTTAGGAGTATGGAGTTGAAGTAGACTTTAGAAGGAACCAGAAACCCAATCTTAGCTTATTTCTCATTCTGAGACACTAACAATTAGCAATCACAGATAAGCTAAAACTTTGAAAAGAAATGATTTTCTTTTCATTTTTTATACAAGGTATTGTTACAACTTATTTCTTCAAACTAGTGCTCATGTCCTGGTTGTAACTCTCTCAACATTTTGGCTGTTGTAACTTTAAGCTTTTCTGTAATAGATGATAATGTTTCTGGAATTTCAAATTGAACAACTTTATTCAATCTATAGAGATTGAGTGTTCTCATGTGGATGGTGGAATAAGAATAATCTATACCACTGTTTCCCAATCTTTCTTTTTGGTCCATGCCCCACCTAAGCATCTCTAAAATCATGATACCTTCCTCCTTCCTGTGGCATAATTCTTATTATTCACATGAAGGAATTCTAAAAGGCCATGGTTTAAACAAGCTTCTAAAGAACAGAGACACTGCACATATGCAATCATATTAGCATAGTACTAACAGAATAATTTTATAAATATTGTAAAATTCTAAAATTAAATGATAATATGTACTGTATATAATATATATGTACATACATACACACAAATATTTTTATGTATGCATACTGTATATGCACTGTATGTCTTAACTCACATACACTCATACTCACAAAGACACACTAGACAAAAAAACCCACTTAAGAACTTAAGTTACTCCCCCTGTTGGGAACTATGGATCTATACCAATGGCATATTGGTATAGATCCATAGTATTGGAACAACACCTCATATAAATCTAGCTTTAAAATTAAGATTTAAATTCTTAATTTTTTTTATTATTAGCATAAACATTAAACTTAGGTTTTAATCTTTTACCCCCACTTATTTAATTTTAAGAAATTAAATTTTGACCCCCCCCATAATGTTTATCTTAATCATCAATTTTTTTTTGTAAAACAGAAACACCAGTTACTGAAATCAGTTTTTTAGTAAAAAAAAAACCCTTCTTACAATCAATTTAAATTAGTTTTGAAATCAAGCAACGTCATTTGTTTACATTTGGATATGCCGTGAGCAGATATGAATGTATGTGAGAGAATGATGGAAGATTGTAGTTTAAAGACAGTAAAATCGACCTTGCTAACTGAACGCTCCTCTGTGGCCAAATCGGTTAAAGGCATGTCAGGCTATATGATGGTTCTGTATAGGATACAGGTTCGATTCCTGTTGGAGGACGAATATTTTCTATGAAAATTTCTCAGACATTCATGCCGGTAAATGTTGTTTAATACTGTTTATTATAAACAGAGCATTTACTTAAATATTTGTATCTCTAAAAAGAATGTATAAACATAAAAATGTCTTAAAATATTGATTACTTAAAATCATGTATTTTGGCATAACTTTCATTTTACCTTTTATGAATAGTTAAAAACAATTGTTAATTCTTTTTTTCTTTTTTCCTTTACACCAGTCTTTGTCCCTTGGTCTGAATGAGCACCACTACGCTCAGGTGGTAGCTTATATGCGCTTTGCACGTTATAATAAGGTGCAACAAATGCGTACGATAGACACTTGCTTTGAGGATATGAAATGCAGCAGGTAAGTTATTTGTTTACAGTAAGTTTTCTTGCAACAAAATATTTTCTATAAAATTGAAACAATATTATTTCTGTAAAAAAAAGAAAAAAGATGTCATTGCTTGTATTGGTTGGCCCTTGACACAATATTTGGAAATAGGAGTAGTTGATATAAATTTTAGGACATTAATTTAGGATACAAGTTGTTGTAGCATAGCTACAGATGATAATGGATATGTCCCCATTCACATAAATACAGTAGTAAATACTGTATGTTGGTCAGCAGTTGGAGATCATTGTGGAATTCACTTGACTCGCTTCTAGCAGTTGACTACTACTTCTACGTGCCGCTGGCGAATCTTGTATGTGTTGTTCTTGTCCTAAGTATTACTGTTCATTATCAACCTTTGTTTGATTATTCTGAGTAACCTTCCCTAGATTACAACACAAGTAATTTTATTTAAGTGTATGCATGCAAGATTTGTAGTTGTGGAATAAATAAGACATCCCTGGTAATACAAATGAACTAGGCAAGACGCCTTAAATAAAGAACTCAAAGTGAGCCAGCAGAAGTTAGTTGAAGAGAATTCTAATGATGTCACAGGGAGTAGCCTAAGCAAGACAATATTATAACCTCTAGGAGTGAGTTATAACAGTGGTGACAAGGAGTTGAAACTCATACGAGTAGGAAAAAGTACTTTTTTATGCTTTGGCACTCATGATAACAGTGATGATAAGAAACTAGAACCACATTGTTTTAATTTTTTTCTTTGGTGTGCAAAAAAGAAAAAAAAGAGAAAGCAGGAAAAAAAAAATGGATATTCTTCAAATATGGAAGAATTATTAGTCCATATGGTAAAAATACAGCAACAACAGCAGTTGTTGGAATTCCAGAAACAACAGCAAAATTTAACTGAAATAATGATACAAAAGAAAATGGAAAATTCCCCAAGTTCTTTCACTCCTGATGTGGCAGCAAATGCCATATCTGAATTTACATACAATTCAGATGATGGAATTACCTTTTTTGCTTATTTTAGAAGATATGAGCATATTTTCACAGAAAAATGCAGCAACTGGGAAGATGAGAAAAAAAACAAGACTTTTGTTGAGAAAGTTAGCACTGGTAGTACATGAAAAATACTGTAATTCTATACTACCAAAAGACCCAAGAGAAATTTGCTTTGAAGGAACAGTCAATATTCTGGCTAAAATTTTTAGCAATAAAAGTTTGTTATTCAATACTCATTGGAAGTGTATGAATCTGACGAAAAAAGAAGACAGAGATTTTGTCACATATGTTGGAATCATTAACAAGGAGTGTGAAAGATTCAAATTAAATGAACTGACTGATATGTTTAAAGGGTTAATTTTCATTCAAGGGTTAATGGTGAAAAAAAGAACAAAACTTGGACAGAATCAAAAAATAACTCTACAAGATATATTGGATGAATGTCAGAGTAAATAAGTAACACCAGTAACACAAATGAACTAGGCAAGACACCTAAAATAAAGAATAATGATAATAAAGTGAGTCAGGAGAAGTCCATTGGAGTTAGTTGGAGAGAATTCTAATGATGTCACGGCGAGTAGATATAAGATATAATATTATAACTGCTCAGAGTGAATTATAACAATTGTATAGATATATTTGTTGAACCCTGTGAACTTTGGCACAAGGCAAGTGTAGTGAAAGAGATAATAAGCTATCTCAAAAAAGAGTTTGTGTTTTGTGTGTGATTTGCCAAAGAAAAATTGCCAAAAAGTAGTTAGAAAAAATCTACTTTAAGGACCAGAATCTATGCTAATGTTCTTCCCTTCCCTGAATGGCATGACCAATCAGAAAAATCTCTTATGTGAACAGCTTTGATTTTTTGAGCTTGGTGGATAAATAAAGTTTTTGCTGGGGAGAAGTGAAGGTTGGATTTGTGACCCCATTTTTTCGTTTCTATGTTGTCTGTTGGACTGTTATGACGGACTATCATTTGAACTGTGATTTGGCTACAGGTGTTGCGGTCGAGAGACAGAAGAAATCTATTGCAGACATTTATTGCTACTATAAGTTGACAGTTTTTTTTTCTTTTCTTTACAACTACTGTGAGGTTCTTGATTCATTCAGTAAGTAATAGACCTCATAGCAAGACTTGAATGTTCATGCTTAATTTATGGCTTAGAGTTAGAGACAATATACATCCAATAGTAGCGCTGCCATTTTATTTTTGTGGAAAAGAAATTGGTTACCTTCTACTTTTGAAATTGGGCAAGCACACATGTCCATTGCATCATTGAGAGATGGCTGATTAGCTTGCCTCAACCATTATAAGCCATTTCAAGTAGGTGTCTTCCTCTTTGACAGATTAAGTTAATAAGAGATTTTAAAAAAATGGCATATTTTGAAAATGTGAAAGAAGGTGATTGTTTCTCAGATTTATGACAAGTGAAAGTACTAAGTTTAATTCAGGAAACCTTGGATATATATAAAAATATAAAAGTGAACAATGACGTCAACATGCAGAGGTGACAGTCTGTTTCAGGCTATATATATATATAAATATATATATATATAATACAAATAAAAGGTTTGTCACTTAGCTGATTGATATTACCTTCAGCATCCTGAGTTTCATAGATAGACCCAGGAATCATTCTGTTCACTCATTAGGGGTTATCAGCAATTGACTGTTAATACTGCTTGATTTTTCTTTTTTATATACACTTTTCATTGGTACAAGTGGGGATATTGGAACATGTCTCTTGCTGGTAAGAAGGGGCTACTGTACATGAAGAGAAAAACAAAATACACTGACATGTGAAAAGTTATAGAATGAAAGTATGTAAAGCAATTGTAGGTGGCACCACCATACCTTGATGTCATAGAAATGCCCAGAGCTATATCAATTATGCTTTGACATCTGGTGAGTCAGTGTAAACAATGGTTCGGCTGATCATAGTGATGCAACATAAATTATTGGAGCTTGAATGAGGCATGACAGTAGGTGCAAAACAGATGGAATATTCCATTTCTGAAATTCTGGGGGCATTATTTGATATCACTTGATCAACAGCATCATGTGTATACCAGGAGTACTTAATTGAAGGCATTATGGCACACCGTGGACAGAATGGTGGCCAACTGACTGTAACGATCATGACCAGAGGAGTCTAGCTAGAATTATCTGCAGTAACAAATAAGTAACACTGGCTCACATTACACCCATACTCTATAGTGGAGGTAATAGATGCATGTCTAGCAGGTTAATTCAGTATTATTTAGCTTTCATGGGTTATAGGAGCAAACCCCATGAAACCATGAACCCTAGTTACCAAGACACTGTACAGGCTGGTGGTAGTTCAGTACTGGTGTGAGGTGTTTTCACATTGCATAGGTTGGGTTCACTAGTTTACTGAAGCATATTGATGGGTGATTGCAATGCTTCATGACTATTTGCAGTCATTTTGGGGTACCATCTACCCTCCCAAAAATTATGGTTTACTCTAGCAGGAGGCTTATGGCCATATCCCTTTGAAATATTGGTTTTTGTGCAATTACCAAAGTTAAGCAATGTTGAGCCTTCTTACCAGCAAGAGACATGTTCCAATATCCCCACTTGTACCAATGAAAAGTGTATATACAAAAGAAAAATCAAGCAGTATTAACAGTCAATTGCTGATAACCCCTAATGAGTCGACAGAATAATTCCTGGGTCTATCTATGAAACTCAGGATGCTGAAGGTAATATCAATCAGCTAAGTGACAAATCTTTGAGCCTAGATAGGTGACTGCTTGGAAATACCAGTTGATGTAATAAATAACAGCTTGTAATTGGAGGTTAGAGAGTTTGAGTTCCAATTCCATTCAGGTTTGTTGTATTCATTTATGTGTAAATACCATTAGGAAAGGTATGAATCCACCTCTTTTCCTCCCAGTCATGGGTTGATTAGTAGGACTTGTGTCAGTAAATCATTATCTCCAAAAAAAAAATTCTTACAATCTAAAAATATTTTCCTGCAAAATGTTGATAAGCAATAAAAAGAAAACACTCAATCAATTCCAGCAGAATTATGTACAGAGTCATCAGACCAAAGTTGCCCAGAATTGGTTTGAAGAGCATTCTTGGGACTTTTGACAAATGGTGTGGCCACCGCATTTAGCTAACACAAGTCCAATTGAGCCCATTTGTGGGATGTGGTGGAGAGGTTCATTCATATTCAAGACCTATACTTACAAGTGTCAAGGAGCTTTAGATAGCTATTGAGAGAGAGCATGGCTTAACATCTTTCAACAGGTCTTTTGACTATTTATAGAATTGATGCCATGTCAAGTTACTGCAATTCTCCTTAGGTAATGGAGGTTCTACACAATATCAGGTATCTAACCCATGATTTGGCACATCAGTGTAATATTATGTCTTTGTCATCAGGCACATGAAGTATTTTTAAAAATATTTCTCCGAATTTGTTTTAATTTTTGAAATTCAATTATTTCTATTTTTATGGTAGTTTTTTTTCTTTGCATTATATTGTAATGAGAGAGAAAGAGTTATCTCCCCTGACCCAAAACAAAAAATAGCAATAAAAATTAATTATAAATATTTAAGAGAATAAAAAAAAAGTTACGTGATCTGACAAGACTCACATAAGACCTTGTTAGGCAGGAAAGTCAATCTTTCTCTTTTTGCTCTGTGAAGTTATAGTAACAAGACACAAATTCAGGCTCTTGACACCAGACAGATAAGTACAAAATTTATATTGTTTTTAGCACCCAGACTTTTGAAAGTAGATATATAAAACTTTGTCTTAAGAATTTTTCATATAAAATATATATGTATGTATTTACATACATTGATGATATTCTTATTTTCAGTGATGATTCTTCAGCCTGCATAAAAGACATTGAAACTGTTATAAAAGTCCTACATGATAATCTAAAAATTTCAATAAAAAGTCAACATTTAATGTGACTTAATTTTTTGGGTTATAATATTAGCTCTGACAGTATTAGACCTACACAAAATAATGTTATTGCAGTACAGAATTTTATCCCTCCTAAGAACAGTAAGAATTTTTGTTGTTTTTTAAGCATGGTAAAGTTTTATAGAAAATTAATCCCAAACTTTGCAGGCATAATCATGCCATTAACAGAAAAAAATATGTATATGCAGCAATACTACATTTACATTAAATGACTTGGAATTACAATCATTTAATGATATTAAAAGCAAAATCACTGAATTTCTGTCCTTACCTCTCACTAGTGATCTGTCTGAATATCAATTGATTATAGATAGCAGTAATTATGCAACTGGTGCAGCCCGAGATCAAATTGTAGAAGGAGCATCAATTCCAAAAGGCTTCTTTTCTAAAAAGTTAACTCAAACTAGTTATTCAGTTTTCAATAAGGAACCTTTACAGCATATTCAGCTATGTTATATTTTAAACGTTATCAGAGGAAAACAAGTTTTATTATTAACTGACCATAAGCCTTTGTGTGATGCATTCTGTAATCTAAACCCTGCTAAGTCAGATAGAGAGCAGTGGCAATTAGCAATTCTCACAGAATATATATCAGATATAGGCCACATAAAAGGAGATCAAAACATTATAGCTGATTACTTATCCAGACCTATACTAGCAGTTATGGTAGTTCTGTGTGATTTGCCAGCTGTTGCTGCTGTACAATTTAAGGAACCTGAGTTACAAAAATTTGTAGACTTAAAAAAATACTATTTTAGTACTGATAATAATAGTTCCATATACTGTAATAATGCTACCAGTATTCTCAGACCATACATACCTGGTGAATTATGAAAACTTTTTTCAATAGAATTTATGCAATATTGCAAGAATTAAAACCTTGTGTAAACTTATCAAAACAAGATTTTTTTTGGTATCATATGGACAAAACAATAAAAGAAATGTGTAATGAATGTCAAACTTGCCAAAAAAGTAAAATTCAGAGACATACTAAATCTGTATTCACCCTATTGAATTGCCTACTATTTGCTTTAATATGGTTCACTTGGATATAATTAGTCCACTCCCTGTTACTAGGAGACGTTATGAAACATACAATACTTCTTACAGATACGTGTTAACCTGTATTGAACTCACATCTAAGTAGATCGAAGTAGAATCATTACCAGATATAACAACACAATCTGTGGTGAATGCATTTGTTCATGCGTGGATCACATGTTTGGGTGTTCCACTTCATCTAATAACTGATCATGGTACTCAGTTTGAGAGCAAATTGTCTTCAGAGATAGCCTCAGTAGTCGGCTTCTATAGATTGTGCACAACTAGTTACCATCTAAAAAGAATGAAATGATTGAATGCGCACATAGAACAATTAAGACCATTAATAGCTAGAAAGGAATCATGGTATACTAATAGGTATACATGCCACACCTAATTCTTCCAATACAATACTTCACCCTTCCTTACAGTTGCATGAATGCATATAATGATTCCTCAGTTGCTAGTAGATGATACTAACAATAATATAGAAAATCAGAAGTTTACTAATGTACCTGACACTCCTTACATTCAACAAAGATTATAGCTCTGTAAATAAATCATGTCAATACATTCCTGACAAGGTTAAGACATATGAAAGTGTATGGTTAAGAGTAGACAGAGTTTGCAAGCCCCTGGAAAATCCTTACATTGATCCCTTCCAAGTGTTACATAGAACTGACAAATATTTTGTAATTAAAATGAACAATGAGATACAGTCAACAGTAACAATAGATAGATTAAATACACACATTGAACCTAAAAGTGATAAGCAAGTAATAATGGAAAAGTAACCTCATAGTGATGATATAATAAAGGATACAGAAAACAGATAAAAATAGCTTAGTCATATGAAAGCAAGTAGGGAGGTGTCTTGGAAAAGAGACAATCAATATCACAACTATTAGACTCCATTACTAGGTGAGGAGGTTTGTAGTTTACTCCCCTTGACCCAAAGCAAAAAATAGCAATAAAAATTAATTATAAATATTCAAGAGAATAAAAAAAAACAGTCACATGATCTAACATGATCCATACGAGACATTGTTAGATGGGAAAGTCAATCTTTCTCTTTTTGCTCTGTGAAGTTATAGTAACAAGACAAACAATTTCAGGCTCTAGACACCAGGCAGATAAGTACAAAATTTATATTGTTTCTGGTACCCAGTCTTTTGCAAGTAGATATATGCAAACCTTGTATTAAGAATTTCAAATATATATATATATATATATATATACATACATACATACATACATACATACATACAAGTGTTTTATATGAAGACTTTTGTGCTTTGAACTTTTCATATATTTATGTTTCAAACATCTTAAACAAAGCCAATACTATATATCCTCTCACAACAACATCAAACTGCATACTTTATTAAGCATTTTCTTTAAGTAGTTTTATTATAATTCCAAACTTGTATTTTTACCAACAATAATGTTTCCTCATGGTACAGGTGTTTAAAACTATTTGGGGTCTTTTTATTGTTGAACTTGTGAAAGTCTTTTTTTGTTTAATCAAGTTTAACATTGTTTTGATAGACTTGGAGAAGCCACTTTCACGTCTGATGAAGTGGAGGAAATTTTGGATAGCTTGCAGCAAGTTGTCCATGCTGATGTAGAATCCGAACTGATCAACATGTCTCACACAAACATTCTGATGCTGAGGCAGATGTTCCAGCAGGCTGAGAGTTGGCACCTCAAGTTGCAAGCAGATATATCTGAACTGGAAAATGTGTAAGCATTAGGAATTTCTTTTAACATATACTACTGAAAAATCAAACATTCTAATACTGAAGCAGATGACCCAGCAGGCTGAGAATTGGCACCTGAAGTTGCAAACTGGGTTTAGATTTGACATAGTGAAGCAGTGTATTTTTATATGAAAATGTATTTTTTTATCTAGTTCGATCTGTTTTGTCTAAATGTGACCTTCATTTCTTCTAGAAATTTTATATTTTTGAGAAAATTTTCATTTTAAACTTTGAGCAAGAGAAGTTCTTTAAAGTGGGGATTCGATTTACAATATATATATATATGCAAAACTGGACCTTCACTTTGTGTTCATGTTTATGACAGCAGATCTTTGATTTACAATGTAAATTTAATGTTGAACAGGACCCTGAATTTGTGCCTGTTTTTATGCAGGTGTGTATGTAATTTTAAATAACAGAAGCCTAAAAGGAAAGCAAATATTAAATTGCATTTTCTTTTTCTCATGCAAAATAATTCAGTGTTAGGGTTATTTATTTTTATAACACTGTGAGTTGAGTTCCTGAATAACAAGAAAAAGAAAATGCAACTTATACTTTTTGTTCTTTTACTTTCAAACTATGTACATTATGAAGTAACAAAAATAAGATCAGCCATGTGAATAACAGTGGACATGAAATAGGGCTCTAGTTTAGACTGAACTCCCTTAAGAACTTAAATTCCAACAGAAATAAGTCACAAGACAGAAAAATACATAAGAAAAATATTTTCCTACAAAAATACACTACTAAACTTAATTTTTACTCAGTTTTAAATGGGATAATGGGTAAGCATTGGGAATTTCTCTTAATATACATGTAGTCTCAGTTCAAGAATGAAAGAAACAAGCTTATTTTTGGTGCCTTTATCTTTGTCCAGAACAGGGAAGTAACATACCTTTGCTCAACCCTTTTACTAAATCTGTCATCATAACGTTTTTCCTCCACTCCCACTTGCCTCTGGTCTGTTTCATAAACTACCAAAAAAAGATGTCTTCTTAGTGCAACAGAGCATCCAAAAAAAAAAAAAGGCACTTCCCTCCTCATTTTTATGCTGCCTGCTTACCCACGATTCATATTACCTCCTTTTGTTAGTAAAAAGTATTTAATCTAACATTGTTCAGCTAATGCTTTTACTTTTCTGTTTCCTTTCGCTGGGTAAGTAAGAAGATTTTTTCTTTTTTTTTTTCCTCTTTCTTTTTTCTTCTTCATTTTCTTCAACTACAATACACAACTGCAAAACTGAAGTATTCACCTGAGAACACTCGTTCTTTGATAATTAGAATCAACATTTCACTTTCATTTATACCTGTCATGAGACACATTTAGGGATGAAGATTTTTGTTTGTTTTTAATCTTTCTTGCAAAGTGAAATTTTGTGTTTTTTTTTTTTTTTTTTTTTTACAAATGTTTTGTTTCTGCTAAACAATAGGCTTTAGGTTTGAGTATTGCTTTATGATCAGTTTCTTAGTTTTGGTAGATTTCTAGTTACAATAACTAGACCCTGGACCAACAAACTTCTGTTTCGCAGCCCTTGTTCTGTTTTTCTTCTTCTTTTTTTCATTTGAAGGTTGCCTTCTCATTAGTTGTAAGAGAAGGCTAGAAAGAGAGAGAAAAAGAGATATTGGGTTTTAAAGGAAAGCAAATGTTTTATTTTAATTTTTTTTTAATATTTTATTTTTACATTTGGCTTCACCATAAGGTTACCTGATGTTTTTCCTCCGCCCCTCTTGTCTTTTCATCCTGGGTAAGATGTTAAACTACATCCGTGTCCTGGGTAAGACGTTAAACTACATCCGCGTCCTGGGTAAGACGTTAAACTACATCCGCGTCCTGTGTAAGATGTTAAACAACATGTGTCCTGGGTAAGATGTTAAACTACGTCCAGCAGCAAGGCCTCTAATCAGAAGGTTTTGAGGAGCGTGGAACCACCTCATAATTGCTGGTGTTCCCAGGTCTACCCTGACCTGGGGTGGTAGCACCTGTTAGAGTCCCAGTTATGGGCAAATAGTTAACTATTACCAGCAAAACTTTTTTGAAAAAAATTATCATCAGCAATACAATTTTGAAGGAAATATATTACCAGAAACTTTTTTTTTGACAAAACAAAATATTACTAGCAATAAAAATTTTGTCAGCATTAAATAACCCACTGAGGTTGATATGCCATAAAACAAAATAAACCAAACCAATCTAAACCAAAGATTACATACTCTATTCATACAAATCTATCCTAAAAATGTTGTTGGCATTAAATAACTCATTGAGGTTGATATGCCGTAAAACAAAATAAACCAAACCAAACCAAACCCCTCTTGTACTCAATATGCCCTGTGGATATCAAATTATCCAAGCCATCTTTCCTCATTATGAATCCCAGAAATTTCAGCTTCCTCTTTCTGATTATACAAACAAGTGTCATTTTTGTTCTCATTTTGCTTAAAATTTCCTTGTTGTTTACATGTCTATTTGTGCTCAGAACAAATGGACTTTTGTATAGTTATGTATAACTAAATTCTTTTTGCAGTCATATGTGTGCATAAAAAGCCAGAATTTATTGCAAATTTATTGTATTTTTATTAATTATGTTTGTCAAAGTCTTTGTTTTCCCCCACCACTACCACTAAAAAAAAAATCAAGATAAAATGTTGAGTTGTGATATCAAATTCCAACAGTTTCACATCCTATCATATTTGCTTGTTGGAATAAAAATTTGCTTGCTTGTGTTATGGTTTATTGTTTCAGATAAAGAACTTAGCAACTTGTAAAGTGAAAAGAATGAAAATAATTCTAATGAATGTATTTGCAACGACAGCAACAAAGATGATGAGGACAATAGTCCACATGTAAATATAAATAATGAAAATAAAAACAAATTTTGAGTTTTAAAAATTATTTTAATGTTTTTAATCCAAATATGGCTTTCTGGCACTTGCTTTGGGATATTTACTGATTGCAAGAGCAACAAATGAGACACTCCAGGCTTAGTACTTTGGTCAGAGCTGCAGCAATTGAGACACTACAATCACACACATACCTTCTGTTGGTCATGCTAACTTCAAGAATTGTTTGATGGATTTGGAAAGTTGCTACCCTGGACACTGGTTACTTTAGGACACATTCTTAATTTCTGGTTGGAAATTCTCTATTAAATACTAAAAAAAGTTTTTAATTTTTATTTTTCTTATTTTCATTTTTTGAAGCTCTACTTAAATAAATGGTTGAGTCAAAGCAATCTACAACTCTTCTTTTTTTTCATTGTCCTTAAGATTTTGGCCAACAGTGTATATGCTCCATGTTCTGAAACTAGTTTTAAAAATTGTTCATTCATTGATTTTTTTATGAGCTATTGTATTTCTTCAAATGAAACTGACTACATAGCATCCAAAATAACATTCCAAAGTTCATATGTGATGGTAAATTGTCAATGTAAACCTTCCTTTTAGAATACACACAAAAAGTTTTCAATTTGGTTATGGTTGGGTAAACAAGTTAGCCATAAAATCAATATGCATTTCTTTGAAACCTGTTTTAAGCTAGTCATTAGATTTTTTAACCATATGTGAAGGAGCATTGTCATGCATAAAAATCATCTTATTTTCCTAAATGTTGCGACTTGAGCAACAATGACTGGCAACTGCTGTTAAAATGATAAGTATTTTTACCTTTTAAAGTTTCATTCTTCACAGAAATTATGGTGCCAGAAAAAGTCACTTAAAAAGCATTAAATTCATTTCTCTTGGAAATATTTCTCACTGGCCCTTGGTTTTGTGTTTGTTTCTGAGAATCAGTATGAAAAAATATCGTAGTTTTCAAGGCAGAGATCATTTTATAACCTTTTTTCTATTTTCAGCAACCATTTTTATTTAATTGGTAATGATATATCAGTCGTCTTGATTTTCCAGAGAACTTTTAGATAAAATCAAAGATTTTGAAGAGCAAGAATTTTCTGGCAAAAAGAAAGATTCTACTGTTAAAGTCAAACTCCTACCTATGAATGAAGCAGGAGGGTCTGCTTTACTTCAGAAGGTAAGTAAAATTCATATATAATGTTGTACTGTTTAACATTTTTCAGTGTCAAATTTAATACTTCTTTATTATTATATTTATGGAATGTAGATATCATACTTGCAGATGAAAATATTTTAAGATTTATTTTGAATTAGAAAAAATGTTCTAGTCTTAAATCAAGGGATACCTATTAGCAAAGGAAATATTTTAGATAACAGTATTTACTATACCAAATTTGCAACATTTTTTTTTATTGTTATACCAACATTGTTCAACTTCAGTGGTTAAGAAATTAGTATAAATAATATATTCAACTCCTAAACTCTGTTTGTCTATATTGAGATGAGGTATTATGTACAGTATTTACATTAGTCGGACTATTGTCCTCATCTTTGTCGCCATATTTGTCACAACGTTTCGGCCGTTGTACGCTCCGGCCTTCTTCAGGTGGTTGAAATTTCGAACTGAACCCTTTATTTCGATCACTGGGGTAGACTGTTCTAATTCCATGTGCCATGTTTGATGGATGTCAGTTATCAGTTATCTCCTGCTAATTTTCCCACTGAAAGTTCTCCACTGCCTTAACCAGGAATTGAACTCACCTTCTTTGGGTCTGTCACTGGATCTAACCAACGCCTTTATCCACTGTGCCATGTGTCCTAGGACACATGGCACAGTGGATAAAGGCGTTGGTTAAGGCAGTGGAGAACTTTCAGAGGGAAAATTAGCAGGAGATAACTGATAACTGACATCCATCAAACATGGCACGGGAATTAGAACAGTCTACCCAGTGATCGAAATAAAGGGTTCAGTTCGAATTTCAACCACCTGAAGAAGGCCGGAGCGCACAACGGCCGAAACGTTGTGACAAATATGGCGACAAAGATGAGGACAATAGTCCGACTAATGTAAATACTGTCCTAAACTCTGGTATACATGTCCACATTTACTGTTTTCTTGTTAGTTTCTTTGCTTCCTTCTGTATTAAATTTCACTGAGGCTTTATAGTTATTTTGATATTTTCTAGGGGTCAGGTGTTAAAGAATCTGGCTGCATTAAGCTATTTACATAATTTTAAATTACCTCAATGTTTGGGTTTGGCACACCACCCAATTTAAAATGTACTTATTTCCCTCTCATTTGAATGGATTTATTTTCTTGTAATGTAAATATTTGGCAGATTTTAAATACTTACAGATGTGTAAGTCTTAAGCTGGTGATCTAACTTGATTTGATTTTTACAATATTTATTTACTAATTTTATAAAATTTTACTGGGTTTTCTGTTCAGAGAAAATAAGAAAGTGTCTGATATCTTAGTGTGGAAGTAATGATATATGTGTTAACTGAGTAGAAACATTTAGGAAAATTGGCAAGTCATTCAAAATTATAGATTTTATTTTCTCTTAAAATAACATTTTTTGATTTTGTAGGAAATAGAAATGACTATTTTATTTTAATGCAAGTCTTGTAAAATTTTGGCTTCAGAAATAAAATTTTATGATAAATCATTTTTATTGGAATAAAGAGATTTTGAATACCATATTCAAATTGGATTTGCAATTTTGGAATCAGTCTACAAGTTTTAAATGCAATACATAAAAAAATGAAAAAAAATGAAGTAAAAAGTATTTAAAATCTTTTACTTGGTGTTTTATTGTAGGTTTGCAAATTTCTTAATGTATTCAATTTTTGTAGAATTTTTCTAAAATGCACTTAAACTAATTGTTGACTTGTAAAAGATCAGCATTTATAAACTAATATTGTAATTTTAGATTAAATTTATGGAAAAACAGAACTTGTTTTTATTTGTTAATCAGTGATGTGTAAATATGTTTGATATGACAAGAAACAGCAAAAACTTAAGTTACGTATTTCTCAATTTCTTTAAACCATTCAAATTTCAAAGTTGTTGACCAAAATTATGAAATTCTTTCAGAAAGTCTGGCTGATATTAGATAGAAAATAAAATATGAATTATTAACATAGTAAAATAAAAAAAATGAAAATAGCATTTTGAGGATAATTACAATAATGGTTAGTATTATATTTTCACAATTTATGGTGTATTTTGATTTGTAGAAAGGTTTCTTTTCCCACTAGAAAATATGTACCTTCACCAACACTATTATCAGTAAAAATAAACTGCCAAGTTACAGATCCCAGACTATGCAGTGAAAAAAGATTGTAATAAACATTCATCAATAGTTCAAAAAACATAACACATCATATTTATTTACAAGATAGCAGAAAAACACAAATTACACATAGAGATAACAAATTGAAGCCACATTTACACAATTATTAGAAAATATATGTCTCTAATTGCACACAAATTTTCATCTAGCTAAGTTACACAGATGCTGCACTCTACTCAAAACAAATTTTAAAAGAAACCCGAGTATATCAGATTACTAGCCATTATTGATGTGAATCTTGTTTGCTACAGATGTTTTCAACTATGTCTGCGTGTTTCCCCTTATATAGGCTATAAGAACCCAGATAGTAGCACACCAACAAAAAGTGAAAAGAGACTGCATGCATACATGGCTGACTGCCCGTTTGACCATTAGGCTTTGTAAACAACCTCCTGTAGACACAGTAAATGAACGGATCCTATCAATGCAACAAGCACAAAGTGGTAACTACCAAGCAGTCAGCCAGTGTTAAGCATACTCTTTTTTCACACTCTCACTTCATACCTAGTACATTGCACATTCATCATACAATATATCACTTACCAGAAACACTTTTATAACTTGTATATAAAAATAAATCTTTGATCATTTATCTAAACAAGTATCCAAGTTTGTTTCTTCTAATTGAATCTTGAGATCAACAACAAGGCTGAACATTTTGAATGGACTGTTATGTAAATAATCAATATTTCAGCATCTTTTGATGAATAGAAACCTTGAGAAACATTTAATTCAGTGAATCTTCAAGCAAATATTTACTTAGAATCCTTAATATTTATTTACAGTTTATTTGGGTTATTACATTTCAAAAAAGCTGAAAAATTGTTCTCACAATGGTAAAAGCAAAGTGGATCCATCCCAGAATTTAGTTGTTATTTGACCTGTTGTTACCCTTGCATAAAATGTAATTGAAATTCATTGAAAAATTGTGAGGATATTGTAGGTACAAAATGATAGGAAAACATAGGTGAATACATAACCTTTGACTAGCTTCATTCAATATTTTTCAAATTTCTGCCTTTTAAATTAAAAAGAAAATCCTTTTTCTGTTCATTTTTTTGTTTTGATTTTAGAAAATCAAAGAACTAGAAGAGGATAATGAAAAACTCAAGCAAAGATTATCAAAACTAGAAAATCAGGTAAACTATTTCACATTTGCTTTAGTAAAAGATTCTTACATGAAGGTGGATCAATAAGTCTGTAGCCTGATATTGTTATTAGTAAAATTTTGATCTGGAATCTTCCACTCAGTAATATTCACCTCAATAATAAAGAAGCATTAGATTTAGTGCATTGGCAAGAAATGGAGAGTGTTAAAAAATAAATATTTATTGTGTAACATAAATGCTTTTTCATTATTATACTATGGACTTATTGATATGCCTACATACTTTGCTAAAAAACAACACATCTTCTCACAATCTTTTGTACTGTTTTTTTATTTTAGTTTTATTTACATAAAATATTCATTTGACCATGTTTTTAGGAGAGTTTATTGAACTGCAGGCCATATATAGAGTGCAGCAGGAATACCTTTCACTTATACTTCCCAGAAAATGGTAAGACATTAGTGGCAATGATGTCTTCATCTAGCTGATGTCTTACCATGATGTGGGAGGTATTTCTGCTGCATTCTGTAGTTTCCTCTACCATATGTGCATTATTGCTCTCTGGGTGTAATAATTCATTAAGGGAACATCAGCTTGTTTTGTTTTTTATCCCTCTCCTCTCCAGCACCACCACCATCACTGTTTTATATGCAGTCATAAGATATTTCTTGTTAGCATTTTAAGAAAGACTATGTCTTGTTTCTAAAACCAAGCAATTTGGAAGACTGACATAGCAATTCATATGTACATTATTTTATTTATGTTGAGTTATAACTTGTTCTCTTAAAGTGAATTTTTTTTTTGTAGTCTGTTGAAATTCTTCAAGAAAAAGAACATCTATCGCAAAAACTTGGTATTATGCAGAAATGCATTAGCAATGCTAATGATCAACAACAGGTAATGAAAATGGTATTAGTTGAATATGTATTGCTCACTTTTGTATTATTGATCACTATTAAATGTGTATGTGTGCGGGTATCACAAAAACAGGAAAGGAAACAGAAAATGCTGTAATTGGGTGGCTGTGTAACCAGTTAATATTTCTTTTCAGGAAGTAAATTATAGACTAAAAATGGTGAAACCAAAAAGTTATAGGTATCACCTTGAGTCTAAGCAATTTGTATCTCTTTTACAAATGATAAATAAATAGCCATTTTTATTTTTAACATGATCAGTTTCTTCAAGTCAATGAATAGAAATTCATTTGAAGTTAATCTAACTAAAGAAAAATGTATTGAACAGAGCAATAAGGAATGTAACTCATTAACTGCAATGACAGAAATTCCTATCATTCACAGTTGAACCATAGAACTGCAATAACAAATTCCTTTCATCTGCAGTTTCTCTTTTATAAATATGGGGAAACCTGTAAGATTCATTCTAATATGCCACTGTTACAGTGAACCTGTCAGTAATCTTTCTGTTTATGGGGAAAAGAATAGATCTTTTCAGAAGTATAATTGGATTGTTTGATGTTATCAGTTGTTAATTCTGCATTAACTGACAATTTTTTCATCAGAAAACTTCTTTAGAGAAGCAGGGACAGAAATTTTGTTGTTGACAGCAATAAATAATTACTTTCTGCTAAAACAGTTTGTGACAATAAATTGTTGAAATAGAGAAAAATAAGATATGAAAAAAGCAAAGCCAAATTTGCTTACTACTCATTTATAACAATCAAAGATTCTTTTTCCTTCTTCTCCTCCTCTTTTCCTTTTCCTCATCTTTTTTTATCCTCCCTCTTGCCTTCTTTTTCATCTCCTTTCCCTTTTTTCCTCCTCACCCCTTCATTTCCTTCTTCCATCCTTTACTTTCCTTTCTTCCTTCCTCCTTTACTTTCTTCCTTTCATTTATATATCTTCTCCTGCAGTCTTAACTAATACACCAAAGCATTAGAATCAGTTAAAACCTAGAGCAATCTTCAATCTCAGACATTTCATCACAACCATTCTGAAACATACTAAATTTATGGATCTGAATTTGGTTGATTAGAAAATAACTTCTCTCATCAATTAACCTTGCCTTTCTTTACACTTTGCTTCATTCATAGTAATTTTATTCTTCCTACTTCACTGTGCCCCTTATTCTAATGGATTCTGTTATTGGCATCTTTGTATTCTTAGAATAGCAAAGTAACTTCTTGTAATGTTATGAGGATGAAATAAATAAGTGTAAGAATAAATAAAAATCAATTACCTTTTATTGTTTTTAATCAAATATTTTTAATTACTTGCAAGCAAATTTTTCAAGCCAAAATTTTAGATAAAGTGAAATATATTTTAATTAAGATTTTCTCATAATTTTATAATTTATCTTTATAGCAATTATAAAAGAAAAACATTTTTTTTAGATTTTATTTATATTTATATATGAAAATTCAAATTCCTTATTCATTTGATTGGGTTGGCCCTAAAATTTGTTTTGTGTCTGTCATTAGATGATAGAATGTTTAGTTTTAACTATCTTAATTAGAAAAAGCATGTCTTTTGACTGCATTGCATCAACTCTAATAAGTGTGTGTATAAAAAACAAAATGATCACATTTGGTGCATTTTGTTTACTGATTCTAATATTGAAGATGGAACAAGAAAACAGCATTTTCAGCATGTTATGTATTTTTTTGTTTGTTTTAATAAATGCTAAAAATGCAAATCAAATACAAAAAAAGATTTTTACATTTTATCAAGAAAGTAGTGCGGATAACTGAACATATCAATAGTAGTTTGCAGGGTTGAATACTGGACATTTCTTGCTAAACATCTTCTATGGTTGTGTATATTAGTTGAGGTTGAAAATAATCGATGTTATACAAGACAGGAAATAGCATTCAAAATATTTCAGTCAAGTATTGAAAATCGTTTCTGTCAATTTGGTTACAGTTACTTTACAACAGTGCTGAAAGCAAGAGATTGTAGGGCAAGCAAAATGAACCACCACCACTGTGTACCAAAGGTCAGTCTTCATTCCAAGAAAGTAGAATATAGTGAAATTGGAAGGAAGTCCTCTCTTATGAGTTCCTTCCAGAGAACCAAATGATTGATATGAACAAGTACAGGTTCTAATTAGACAAGTTAATGGCAACAATCTATGGAAGATGTTCGGAATTAGTTAAAAGAAAGAGCATATAACTCAACCAGGATAAAACTGAAATACATGTCTCTTTATTGACTAGAGGCGAATAAAGAAAACAGCAACCAGCAAATAAATTCAACCTCTCCCAACTGGTATTTCAACCTTGAGTCGTTCCTTCTTGAGTTCTGTCTCAAAATCACACTAACAGACTGTTCTTGCCGCCAATCGTGAACGTCACTAGAAGAACTGCCCCACTGGGAAAAAAGTAGTTGCTTTTATATTTGTCCATATACCCATAATCCCTTGCGTCTTCATGTGATCCTATAATTCATTGCGTCCATGTCCCATAATGCATTGCATCTTTATTGCATAAAAATGCAAATCAAGTCCCCCCTCATTCTTTTACGTTATCTGGCCGAGGACGGATTACGGCAGAGTGGTAAGTGCTTTTTTCTCCCTCATTTCAACTGCAGTAGCTTTACATGCTAAGCAAATACGGGCTCTTTTTTGGCGGGGACAAGGCAAGTCGCGACCAGTTGTGCTCATCCCAGGTTCTGTCTCATGTCCGCCACACTCCCCCCTGATCTCCTGATCACACAGATGACAGTGCGGATACAGTCTTTTGTTCCGGGTGCTCCTCCGAAGGGGGATTGGTTGAACTTCTTCATCAGAGGAGCTCTCATTAGACACGTCCCGATCTATTGGCAAACTACCGCTATCGGAGTGATTGGTTGTTGAATCCAACTCTGTGTATATTGGCTGTCCACTATCCTCCGTGTCTTCTTTGTCAGTTGTGGGATTTGAGCCCAAAAAAGGGTGCAGGTCTCTAACATGACGAGGCGTTCCATCGACCCGCACTGACTGCTGACTCACCACCTCGGTCACACGTCCGGTTCCAAATTTGGTTGTGCATTTAGCACGTGGAGTCTTAACCCAGACAATGTCCCCTTTCTTGTATTCCCCTTCGGTTATTTGTGATTCAGGCGGGGACGTCGCGTTGATGCCTCTCACCCGGACGTGGTATGTGTGCAGTACATCAGCCGGTGCCGTGGAAGGTGAAAGGTTGTCCTTAGGTGTGACGTTATGCCAGTAAACTGCTTCCAAGACTGAACAATTTTTCCTGGCCGCTATGGTTTTGACCCTTCTGTGGTTGCGTTCTACAATGCCATTTCCAGACGGCACGCAAGCGCACTGGAACCTCAAATGCATGCCCCAGCTGCTTACAAATTCCTTAAATTGTCTGCAAGTGAACGTGGTGTCATTGTCAGTCAGTATTTCAGTCGGCGGGCCTCGTTCGTAGAAGACTGTCTCCAGCTGATGAATGACACCAGCTGAGTCTTGCCGTCTCAGAGGCTGCCATACTGCAAAACGGGAGGGACCACAGTCAATGAGCATAAGAAAATGGCTACCATTGTAATGGGTCACGTCCATTGCTAACCTGCTCCAGTTTCTTCTCACACTCAAATTTCCTTTTTTCCAATGCACTGGTGCTGGATCGATCGATTGGCAGGCTTCACAAGTTCTAACAACATATTTTACCAGTTCCTTAGACACCATTGGATCTACGGTCCTAGCAAAGTACATTGTTATTTTAACACCTGGGTGCCCACTCTGCTGGTGGATGTGGGTCACCTGACGTTTGTTCAACTGGCTCGTTGCAGTGGCACAACTCACTTGCACCGGTTCTCCTCCTTTCTTGTGCATCTCTAACCAGTGTTGTGGCACTCTGGTGAGGCTGTCAGTGTGGTTCTGACAAGATTTTACCAACATCACAGTCATAGTCAGTGCGTACTCCTCCACCAAAGCTTGCAGTGTCTCTAAGCGCCGCCTCATCGGCATTTCACCTGACATCTTCGTGTTCATGTGCGTCTTTTCTGTCAGGGTGTCAGACACCCACCGATGAACACATGCTGAATCAGTGACCACATGCATAACTGGTGCCTACCACTGCAGGGAAAGATTCACGCCCTTGATCACCGCATCAAGCTCAGCAAGATTAATGTGTTTGGCATCATTGGTTGGACACAACCAGCAAGCATCTCCCACAACGCTCCCATTCATCTCTAGTGCTACTCTCGTAGCCACAGAGCTTGCATCCACCCAAACTGTCATTTTATTGCAGTTCACACACTAGTCTCCACCGACAGGATCTGATTCCCGCACTCTGGCCACTGTTTCCTCCAGCATATGTCCAAGAGGGGCATCCTTTATCTTGTCGTCCCATCCTTTGGTTAGTGTACTTGCATAACGCTTAATAAATGCAGTTGCCACCCTAAGCCAACCGTACACAGGGAAATGACCCACGAGTTTCCCGCACAAGGAAAATACGCTTCGGCGGGTCACCATTTGAGCAATTTCTGGAACCTGACCTCCCCGCTTCCATCGAAGGGAGTTGCTTTCTTCCCAGACTTGCAGATCCAGGACCTTAGTTCCGTCTCTCAATCGCTCCGGATCTTTACAGACTAGCCTGTAATCTGCAAAGTGCTGTCTTACGCACGCTGCAGAAACTAGGCCTTCATTTATGAAGATATCGTTGACGTATGCTGACGTGGCACTCTTAATGTTCTGATCCTGGAACGTTATCGTGTCGATCACTGACTTCATGACAAGTGGTGCCACATTCAGGCCAAAACCCAAACACGTAAGGCAAAACTGCTTACCCTTAATGACCACTGTTTGAAATGGCCATAGTGATTTGTCAATGTGAATCTGTAGGTACACATTTCTCAAATCCAACAGCAATACGTCAGCTCCTTGTCGTCGCCAGTCTCGTAATTTCTGCGCACACACCTCTGCGTCAGCCGTGAATGTGTCTACAAAGCCGTTCAACTCCCGATAGTCAAGTACTGGCCAGATCTTCTGTTTGTGTTCTTGTACGACTGCCATTAAGGGAATTAATCCCTTGGGTGGGCCAAGCTCTTTCTCGGGATATGGCAGTAGCCATCTGTCTCGCTGCCACCGTGCTAGTTCTTCATCGTATGCATACTGGACGTGGCCAGGTACTGTGTACTCCTGTACTTTATTGACCAACTTGCTAGGTGAATGACCACTCGTCCACTTCCACAATGCAGTCCACATTTTCGTCACTCTAAAGTCAGGTTTGTTGATAAGAATGGCGGCACATGTGTTCAGGTTTCCGAAACGCGCTTCGCCTGATTCGGTCAAGTGAACACCTCCGAGCACTTTGATTGCATCAATCCCAAGAAGAAGATCGAATCCTAGCAACTGCCCTTCCACGACCAGAGCCTCAACAGTCACGGGCTGAATCTGCTCGACGCCCAACTTAATTTTACCGTATCCACAGCACTTCAGGGTCATCTCGTTGGCAGTCAACACTCCCACCTCTTCCTGCTTCCAGCAGCAACACACAGCCTTGCTCACCAGCGTCTGTGAGCATCCCGAATCCACTAGAGCTATGCACTCTACTCCATTTACAAATACTTGTACGGTGGGTAACTTCCGGGTTTTTACTTGCTCGGGGAGAAGGCTGGCGCTGACGCCTTCTCCCCTTGGGCATTTCCCTGGCATTCTGAGGAAATGTGTCCAATGCCATTGCATCGAAAACACCACTTGTCGCGGCCAGACCTTTGCATTCTGTTTGACCTCTCCTGACGTCCTTGTGTACAATTCTTCGCCATATGGTTGGGTCCAGAGCACTTGTAGCAGGTAATCGTTCTGCTAACAGGTTTGGCAGGGGGAACCTCAGCTTCTGAGTGTGGTAGCTCTATGGATGCGGCGGCCAATACCTGGCACCCTTCGTCATCTGTCATAATAGCCCTTGCTCGGGTCAGAATCTGTTCTGGATTCATGTCGTCCATCCTGGACGAAGCTTTGAGAAGCTGCCTGACATGATGTGGCAGCCCTGACACAAATGCACATGCCATCCACCGATCAGGTAGCGGTTCTCCTATTAGCTGCGCCAAACGATGCATTTCAGCCAGGAATTCATCCACCGTTTCCCCTCGGTGAAGACGCATCCCATAAATTGGTCGAACGCATTAAATATGTCAGTCGCGTATGCTGTCATAAGGGCCCGTTTAATTTGTTCCGCGTCTGCCCTCTGCTCTCCATTGAGTTGTCTATACACAGCAAGGGCACCGCCTCGAAGTCGTAATGGCAAGATGGGCTCGATCTTGTCCATGGCACAAAGTTCGCAAACCAATTCCACATTTTCTATCCATTCAACAATGGGCATATCCGTTGGGGCGCTGCTGAATTCTGGAATCAAACGGACGTCAAAGACCTTGCCTTCCATTTTGAAGAATCAATATGCCGAAATAGCTTGAGGCGAATAAAGAAAACAGCAACCAGCGAGTAAATTCAATCTCTCCCAACTGGTATTTCAACCTTGAGTCGTTCCTTCTTGAGTTCTGTCTCAAAATCACACTAACAGACTGTTCTTGCCGCCAACTGTGAACGTCACTAGAAGAACTGCCCCACTGGGAAAAAAGTAGTTGCTTTTATATTTGTCCATATACCCATAATTCATTGCGTCCATGTCCCATAATGCATTGCATCTTTATTGCATAAAAATGCAATGCAAGTCCCCCCTCATTCTTTTACGTTATCTGGCCGAGGACGGATTACGGGAGAGCGGTAAGTGCTTTTTTCTCCCTCATTTCAACTGCAGTAGCTTTACATGCTAAGCAAATCACGGGCTCTTTTTTGCGGGGACAAGGCAAGTCGCGACCAGTTGTGCTCATCCCAGGTTCTGTCTCATGTCCGCCACAGAGGCAAATGTGATTTAAGCCTTGAATTTGCAAAATTTTCACTCATCTATAATATTCATCAACTATTGCACCTTCAGATGGCCATTCATTCCACTCTTTAGGATTTGTTTTATTGAAAAAATGAAGGCACCTACAGCACTTCTTTGCTGAGAAAAATGACAAGGAATTAGGAAGTTGCTTGAAAGATTGCAAAAGTTAGTGAAAGAAAATGGTAGATATCTTGTTCAATAAAGTTAGCATAAAAAATAAAATAAAATTTGTCTTTTTTAATTTTTGTACTTAACAACCTTCTTAACGAACCAAACAAAATCTGAATTCACATTATTTGGGTCCTTAAACACTATTTTTCAAGCATTATTTACTTTTTGACAGTCATAAAATTAAGGAAAAAGAAAGAAATCATTTTGCTCCTAATTTCCTGTACCACCCCACCGAAAAAACAAAGCAAAAAACAATTGTGTCTTTACTATTTTATTACTAGTTTGTCTTTATCTTATTACTGTTGCATATGATTTAGAAACTGTACTGTTCAACTTATTTTAAACAGAACAAGGGCAATAACTGTAATATTAAAAGTGGCCCAGTTTGAATTGATTAAATTTTTTAAGCTCCTCACTTACATAGCTCTAGTTGATTACAGCTCATTAGCCTTTGTAAATTTAATATACTAAATATGTATATTATATATTTCAGTATATGTTCTGCTTTTAGATAAGCATTAAATTCTTTTAATTTCTGCATTCAATTTAAACTAGTTTCATAGAAATTCTATCAAAAGTTAAGATTTAGTTGGAAATGTGAACTGATTTCTTTTTAATTTGTTTTCTATGTAAATTTCAATCTTTCTGTAGAAATCCCAAAACAATGAAGAATTGAAACAGTTAGAAGCACAGATGGCAAACTTAAGGAGTGAACTGAAGCAAGTAAGTATCTACTTGAAACATTTGTATACAAATTAAAGATTTTCTATCTAACTAATGGTTGAGAGATTGTCCCTAACCTGTAGAGATGGCCAATACATGTGACAAGAAATTGAGACAAACTGTTATCTCTTCTCTTTTTAAAGCAATCTTTAATTGTTCAAAAGATTTTTTTTGTTTTCTCCAAGTTAAAGGGTTACTGTATATTTCCACATATAAGGTGACGTTTAGATAAGATGAAGTCAAAAAATATAACAAATTTTCATGAATTTATCCTATATCTATAGTATAAGATGACTGCTTATTGATTATATAAAGATGACATTATTGGATATACTGTTACTTACTGTATCCTTAGAAATTCAAAATAACTGAAATAACAAAACCAATTCTATATCATTTTTCCTACATACATCCCCTAAGAGGGAAACCATTGTTTTGTTTGCATTTCATCACGTGATCTCTTGCGAATACTGATTCTTCTTCCTCTTCCTATATCTAAACAGAAACAACCTGATGTACTAATGTCCATTTACTTATACTTCATCAACAATCACAAAATACCACTAATAACAGTATGATAATGTACGATGATAGTAAATTCTGCCTTCAACGTTTTTTTTTTATTCAGTCTTTTATTCATTATTGAAAGTTGAGCGAAAGATAAAGATTTCTGTGAACATAATCATAACTTGTTTACATTTTCTCAGCTGAGCTTGCATGGATAGAAGTTGATTTTCATTTCATATGGAATTATTCTTTGAATAGGCAATTTATTATGAAGTTATACCTGTAATATATAAGGTACAAACGGTTTTATTAATTTGATAATGTTAATCTTTTCATGTATGTTATTGGTTATTGCACTGCTGCCAAGGTTAGCCTACCAACAAATGTATCAGGTTTCTTTTTCAGAATTGTAGCATGAGACAACCCCCAATTTTTAAGGGTGATTTTTAGGATTTAAAGGTTGTCTTATATGTGGAAATATAAAGTAAATGCTTTTTGATTTTCTTTTGTCTGCATTTTATAATTTATACAGCCAGACAAATGTTCTCCTCACAATGTTTCAGCTGTTGCGCTTTTTGGCTTTCTTCAGGTGTCTGCTTATCTGGATCGGCTTCAGTGAATTTCAAACTGATCCCTTTATTTAATCTATGGGGGTAGATTGTTCCTATTCCATTATGTCTAGAGATATATTGTCTTGTTCACTTTTTTAATTAAATACTGCTCAGTTATTGCTAGCTCTGTTTTCATTAAATTTGAGTCTGTACTACCTGGCCCAGGGACTGAACTCACAATTACTATAGAACCAAATTCACAAGTTAACGCTTTAATTCTTTACGATATTGTCCCATGGGAGAACACCACAAACAAAAGATGACGACATTAGCCTAACTGTGAATTATATAAATAAGAACAATTTTGTTTGTTTTACAATTATAAAAAGAAATAAATCTTAGTACTACATACTTATATAATGTAATATGAAAGTGATTATTGCTTTGTATGATAGAACATGATATAAAGATATAGAAGAAAAAAAGCCCTTAGAAAATGATACCAATTGCTGAATCATATTTATCATCAGCTTATTGTTTTTTATTATTAATTTTTTCCAAACTTAGTATTGGTTTCAATCTAATTGTTGTAATGACAACAAAACACTTTCCCCTTCCCAATTTATAGGCAGAAGCACGCTAATGCATGCTGGGATTTCTTCCCAGCTGATAAAATAGGCCAGTTCTTGGTTTCATATGATTCAATCTTGGTCTGTCTTGTTTATGTTCATTTATACAAATTGGCTCTTGTGTCAACCCCAATTCTTAGTTTGTGAACTTTTTGCCATATTACTATTACCGTTAATTTACTATCATCGTACATTATTGTTTGCTTGCTTTATATTATTTCTTTTTTAACCTGTTCTTTTCCTTTCTTTTTCTTGTTATTGTTTTATTGCAAATTTTGTCAATTCTGTTTGTTGGACAGTTCTGTCATTTATTTACAATTAACCATGGCTACTCACTCTATAATTAGCATTGTTGAGAGACAAAGAATGGAAAGAGATTAGAGAAAAATAGTTTTTGAAACTATTGGTTGCATATTATTCATGTTTCCTTTCTGTTGAGAACAATTTGATAATTTCTACCATTCTGTAAAGAAAAGTGTGTACGAGTTAGAGATATTCATGGAAAGAAAATAAGAGATTTAAGTGTTATACAGGGGCATGAGCAAAGGAATTATTGGTAGAAGTTAGTGATGATAAGGTAGAAGAAAGCATGACCATTGCTCATTATTCCTTTTTATAAGCCAGTGTGTGATTCAGATGAATATTGAGGGCATCTGAAGACAGAAAAGAGAGAAGAAAAAAGTTTGACAAATTAATAAGGATTTTTTTTCTACAACCAACCATTTGTTTTGTTCCAGTAGTTGAAATGAAGACAAGAAAAAAAGAATATAAAAGCTTTCTTAAATCACCAGCAATTTTGGCCTTTCCTTTGACATGAAATGGAGGCAAGTGTGTGGGGAATGTAATTGAATAGTAACACCATGAAACCATTTAGCTGGGAAGGAAACATAGTTACATGGTTTGCAATACTGAAATGGGTTGCAAAGCTGTAGAAAATTTTCAATCTTCTTTTTTTCAATCTATTTTTGGAGGGAAGTGCTTTGGCACTCTACCTCAAAATGAATGATGAAGATAAGCTGGGAATGATGAGATAGACTGGAGAGTTGGCAGATGTTTATAACAACAATATCAGAAAGTTGGTGTAATTGCTAGATTGAATTGTGAAGTTGATGTTTGTTAATGGCTTCTCAGAGAGCATTCCAATAACCCCCCAACAATTACCCAGGATAGTTACTAAGGATATGAGTAATTTGAAATGCACTGCTAGGGATATTGACAGCCTGTAGAATGCAAAGTTTGGAATGGTAGCAGCTGCATGAGGGAGAGTGGGGAGCTATTGTGCCAATGGTTACTCTTTTAATCTAGTAGCTGCATGCCACAAAACAATTTCAATAATCTAAGTGTTGGCAGAGAGAAAAAAGGCAAAAGTGTGTACATTAGTAACCTCAAATCTGGTAAATAATTGAAATGGAAGAAGTGGTATAAAGGTGGTTGATGCAAGAGAGGTGAGATTTAGAGGAATTAATACAGTAGAGTTGGAAGTATGAGGGGGGTGACTAAAAGTGAAAGTGATAGTCATTGACTGACTGTATTATCGATGGTGTAACAAGAAAGGATGAAATCAGTCAACATCAACAAGGATGGCATAAAGTTTGAGAAGGCATGTTGTGCAATGTGTGTGTGTATAATCAATAGTTGTGGATGGTGAGAAAATTACAAAATCAAGAACAGACATGTCTGTACAGAGTTTGACTGAGAAGTGGATGGTTGAGTGGGAAGAACATAGCATGCAATAGAATGTTGCTTTTTATAGCAGTAATCCAACTAACAAAACAGAAGGTCAAGGCAGTATTGGACATCCATATGATATGATATGTGATCAATATGGTGATTTTCTAAGCATAGCTTAGATGTGGTGTAAGGCCAAAAGTATAGAACACCCAGTGAGGATCGAACTCACTACTCAGTCATAACTGTTCTAGCAAGACAAGCTTGCTAACCATTGCACCATGTCAAGGTGCCCTGATGGGATCAATATGTGTGGAGAACCTATTCAAAAATGGAGGCAGATGAATGGAGCTTCCACAATTGTAGCTCTGAACTCTGTCATATGTATCTGCAGGTAGGCAAAAAAGGAAAGACATACTGCCTTTAGCTAATTAAGATTTGGGCTGATTGTTGCACCAAAAATCATGGCAGTAATATTAAAAATAGTACTAAGAAAGGTGGCTAAAACAAAAAAAAAAGACCATTGATTCTTACATTGGTGTCATCTTGGTAGCAGAAACAGCAATACTTGCAGTAAAGAGTATAAGACATCTAAAATAATTGGTTTTAAAGTAAAGCTCCAGGAATTGTTTCAGACAGATATAGAAGGAAATTGAAATGAAAACGAGAAGACCAAAAGAATTTGATTTGCTGAAAATTAATTTTTTTGTTAAACCATTTGTTCTGTTTTCATGGTTGAAGTGAAAACAAGAATAAAACGTATCAAATCTGCTAATTCCCAAATGACACATCCCAAATCAACTTTGTACAGTTTATTATTGTGATTTGTTTTATTTATTTTTAGAGCAAGAAAGTTTCTGATAATTTTGAATTGATGGAATCAGATCTCTCCAGCACCAAACACGAACTTCTTAAAGTCAATGAAATGCTTGAAATGGCTGAAAAGGTAGATATTTTCCTGTTTATTCTAACAAGTTGAATATTAATTCAGGAAATGTTTGTAACTCACATCTTTTATTTACAAATCAACAAATCTTTCCTCATCTTTTGAGGGTCATTCTTTTTTATTACTTCAAATGCTATTTTCAGTGGATACCCGTATTTGAAATAGATGCCCTGTTATGTTAAATATTGTGCATTATGTCTATCAGTCTGTACACTCGAGAAGACTTAATAAAGAAGATATGTGCTCCAACAGATCTTGAACCGGTGCCTCCTCCCACTTTGTAGGAGAAACCATCATTTGATCCAGCCTGCTTTAATAAAAATGGTCATTCTTTCTGAACTTACATTCTTTATACAACATGATTATCCAGTATATGAAAATTTTATTTTACTATTTTAAAAATGTTAGCTTTGAATAAATATTTAATTGTTTAGGTTATTTTTTAATGCACTATTTTTTTAATATACTATTATGTTTTACTATTTCTACTAGACAAAATTTTTGTGTCTGGCACAAGAACTTAGATTTGGTAGGGAATAACATTTTTATAAGTAAGAATTGATTTAAATTTCGTGAGGTTTCTTCTTATGCTTTTCTTATTTTGCTTAGAATACAGCTCCTTCTAAAAAGATATTGTTTAGTTAACCAATACCTGACTTAGAACATTTCCATTCCTTTATTTACATTCTGCAAATGATGCAAATAGATATTGAAATATTAAAACCATTGAACTTTTTCTCTACTTGTCAAATTTTTATTAACTTATATTAAGAACTATAAGTAAAATAATTTCATAATAAATATTAAGTAGGTACCTCCACAAAATCACTAAAAAATTACCGTACTGTGATGAAAAATGCTCTAAACTTAATGGAAACAAAGTTTTATCAACAAAATTTCTATTATTAAGAGGAAAGATCAAAGTATTTTTGTGATATGTAACTAAATTTTTTTAATCCTTTTTAGAACATTCAAAATTTTATTTTTCTTGTGTTAGCGGATTTTCTATAAATAAGCATAGCAAATTTCGTCCTTTTTTTTACAGTGAAAGATACATTAATTTTGAAACTCTTGGAAAAATCAAATAATTGTCTGATTTTAATGAAGCTTTCAGCACTTATTCACAAATGAATGGAATTATTTTAGAAATTTCATTTTTTTTTTTAAGAAAATCTTGGTAAAAATATTTTTTTTTTTTTTTTTACATGTGTTTCACCCCACTTAATTTTATGAAAACTGGAGAAATTTTATGAAAACTCATGATAATCTTTAGTGACTATATTAGTTAAAAGCTGAACTCTTTGGCGAATTTAAATCATCAGTTTTTTGTAAAATCGGACCCTATCTTACTAAAAATATGCATTGTAAAATAAAAAGCGATATAAAACTAAGACTGTTTAATTAGAGAGGCTCTTAATTGTTTTATGAATAAGATATATTAAGAACAATACTGTCTTAAGAAAAAAAAATTGATGAAAAATGAATATTTACAAGATTTGTTTTCATGTTTTTTATAATTTTAAATCTTAAAATTCAGTTTCAGTGGTGTAACTCTTAGAAAATATTGTTATTACTAATCATATATTGTAAAGCTTATTACAATCTGAGAAACCCCAAGTATTTTTAAAAGAATTTTGAATTGTTTTTTATGTGTATAAATGTGCTGATTTTTAGAGATATGGTGGCGCATACACAACATTTTCAGAAAATTAAAAGCAATAACTACAGTAAATTTAGAACAAAATTCCTTAAAATTCAGTAAAACATTAGATTATGGAGAATATTTTCTTAAATTTTTAAGATTACTGAATATTTAAAAGGCATTTACATTATATTCTTCAATTACTTTTTTATGGTTAAAGTCCCCTTATAATAACGTTAGATAAAAATCTGTCATCAAGTTGTCAACATAAATAAACAAGCTACCGTTATGTAAAAAATATGCATCTCTGCAATATTTTAAACTTAAAATAAATATACTGTTTTCAAATCGAATTAATTATACTTTAAATCAGCTAATATTCCTCAAATAAAATTTTTGGAAGATTTTTTAATAAAGAGATTTACATTTTAAAACTGCTAAAAAATGGCGCTAAATTAAAAATTTTTTAGAAATTTCTAAACGAAAACTCCTTCCAATCGATATAAATTAGTTTTGAAACATGGCATCAGCTTGAAATTAAAACTAAAAGATTTTTCGTTATTACAAATTCGTTTTAAATATTAGGTATCGTGTTTTTGTGGATGTACCTAATATTAATTATTTATGAAGTTTAGCTTTGTTTTGTACAAAATCACAAGTATGTGGGTACCCAGTGAGGATCACACGGCAGGAATAATAGACTGCTTAGGTATGTGATAACAAAACATTTATTGCAAAGAATAGATGCCATAAAGATGTATGCTATAAAATACTTGCAGAAAAGAGTTCTATGGCTTTTCTCAGTCAAAGGTTTCATTGATATGGAATGAAAATTGACTGCTTATTGGGGTTTGCTCACAAATTGTGTTGACTTTGGTTTCTATAATTATAAAGTATAATAAAATCAATTCCTGATAATAAAGTATTTAATATTTCTTCTTTTCTTTAGGAATTAGAAAAGAAAGTCTCTCAAACAACTCCTTTCAAAAATCTCAAATTAATGCTACAGAAAAAGAATGAACAAATGAAAGAACTCCGGCAAAGACTTTCTAAGTGAGTTTTTTTGAATTGTCAAATTTTCTTTAACAGTTCCTAATATTACAGATTCTTCTGTGAAGAAACTGACATCAGAAATTTATTTCTCAATTCTTTTATCAAAAATCTATTTTCATTAGCATGTGAAAATTGTTTTTTTTTAACTGAAATAAGTATATTTCCAAATTTCATGCAATGTTGATATTTTTAGTCTGTATTGTAACAGGGCAAATTAAATTTTAATTTCAACATTTAACTTGAAGATAGTAGTATGACTACTACTACTATCATCAAATAACATTTCACAATATTCAAATGATTTTATTTTATATTTCTTGCAACAATTTCAAGCAAATTTTGAATACAAATTCCTTTTAGTTCCAAATGAAGTAGATTAAAATAGTTTAATTAGATATGAGCAGAAATGTCTTATGTACAAATAATTTTTATTCATTTTAATTAAAGCTTTTGAAAAAAAAAAAAAAAACTTCCTTTGTCTTCGTTGCAGATATGAAGAAACCTGTGATGAATGAATAATTGAGTCAGCTGCATAATTTTTCCGTCCAGCTAAAATTTGCCTTTTTCAACATCCATTCCAGTATTGATCAGAATATTGCATAGCACGCCAGTCAAACTCACCTTTATGCTATCAGTTCAAACTTTTATTGTAAAGATATTCAGCATATTATTGTTATTTTTTTTAAACAAATTTCAAAGTTATTTTCTGAATATTTTTCAAACTTTGACTGCCTTCCACCCCTGCCAGGTTTTTTAAACATTGTTCCTGATGAAATATGCTGTTATTTTACTAAGCTTTACTTAGTCTGGAACAAGGCGACAAACACTTTGCCCAATTAAGAATTATTGAAGTCTTTTTAATTTGTGCAATTTTATTTTTATGGCAAATAAAACCATTTTTTTTCATTTGCATTGAACAATAATCTCTAATTTTTCAATTGTAATTTATAGTTTGTCCCATCATTCAGTCTTTACAGTTTTCAAAAAGAAATTTTCCTTCAAGTCATTCCTGAATGACAACTGATAATTTATAAAATGTTAATTAAAAAAAAAAAAAAAAAAAAAATGAATGAGGAAGCATGATTTCTTATCAGATTACTGAAATCTGATTGTTTTTTATTTGATTCATACAAATGTTATTAATTAATTTTTCTATCATTCTTTTCTTTTCCTTGTGATCATCAACAAATCTGTTTTTAGTATTATTTTTCTTTTTACCTTATTGAAAATATTTAGTTTTTAGGAACATTACTAGATCGGGTTCCAAGTAGCAAATTGGGATACATTTGAAAGTCTAGTGCTATAAAACTTTAAATTTACTACATAAATAAACTGGTCTACATGTAAAAACAGGGAAAACTTCCCGGAGAATTATGTTTGTAGATTAGCATTCTTTAGACTGTGACACTTGTCAGAAAAAAAAAAAAAAAAAATTGATTTTTTTTTTTTTATTGATTTAGAAGAGAGGGGGTAGGGGCTTGTTCAGATTATGAATAGTCTCAACTGATCCCTGGCTTTTATAGAGTTATCAGCACTTAGGTTTTATTTACAAATGTCATGATTTAAAATGTGTATAGATCATTTATATCTGCTTGCAAAAAAAAAAAAAAAAAAAAAAAAATTTTTTTAATTTTACAAAATTTCATTTTGTTCTGCAGTTTCTCTTTTTGTTTTGGTGGGTTGGGGAAGGGTGCTCATCCTTTCCATTTGTTCTACATCTTCAGGGTTCACCTACAAGATTTTCTTCTGCTCAGACACAAATGGTCCTCTTCAGGTATTAATATTTCAGATTATAACAACTGCCTTTACAAACTTATCTGTATATTTTATAATATAAAACAAATAAGTGAACACAACTTGGGTTATAATAATGGAATATTAGTAAATAGGGGAGATCAGACTGCTAATATTTTTACATTTTTTTTGGCTATTTTTACTTAATTTTTAAAATCATGTGACAATAGAGTTAATTTTATAGATAAAATGCCTAGATTATTCACACAAAATATACCCAATGCAATTAACTGTTTGGAATATATTTAGTCAAGGCTGTATATGAAAGGAAATTTGAGTCAGAGTTTAATTTGTTTTTTCATATTAGTCTCAGAATGATCAAAATATCCCCGCAATGATTTCTGCTATAAAACAAATTTCTGAATTACTGTAAAACTTTTACATTTAAATTGAGCAATTTTTGATTAACTCAAACATTGAGTTGATCATATAAAATTTATTTTTTATATTAGAAGCCTATTTAATTTCAATCAGTCATATAGAAAAAAAAAATTCAATGTAATTTTATTTTTTTGTTACAAAAAGTAATTTGTAAAGTAATTATTTCTTGAGATGATTTTATTCAAGACTTTTGGGAAATTCTTTTTGTGTCACTTATCTTTGTAATGTTGATTACACTTAGAAATTTGGTTGAGAAATAAACAATCTAAACTATTCCAATTCTACTTATAGTTTTTTTTTTTTTTTTATTATTATTACTCATTTTGGGAATGAAGTGTTATTTACATGTGGACTATTGTCCATGTTTCAGCCATTGTGCCCTTTGACCGTAGTCATATTCTTGCCGATCTGGGTATCCTTCAGGGAATTTTAAGTGGAACCCCTTATTTAATCTACAAGACTAGATTGTTCTTGTTTCACTGATCATGTCTTGGGATCTCATCTAGTTCTTATTTACTACTGCACAATTATTACTTGCTCCATTTCCACCGAGTGAAAGTCTGCACGGCTCTGCCTCAGGATTGAACTCCTGATTTCTTTATCACCAAATTCACTAGGCTATTGTGTGAACTAGATGAGATATCCTCAGACATGGTCAGCAGAATGAGAAAATCTACCTCTGCAGATTATATATTAAAAAAAAAAAAAAAAAAAAAAGTTCAGTCTGAAATTCCTTGGAGGTTACCTGATGAAGGCTAGAGGGAACAACAGCTGAAGCATTTATTGGCAATATTTGCTTTAAGTCTGCCTTTTCTTTCATTGGTTTATTGAAGACATCACTCCAACCTGATCAGTCCAGTTGATTTTTCTCCTTTAATTCAACTGCTATATTAAATGTTTATGGGAGAGGCACAAAAAGAATAGAAGATATGCCTTCCCCATCATTAAGATCTTTATTATGCAATTAGCAAATTGAACACCGATATCTATATTGCTAGCCTAAAATTAAGCAGTGACAAGTCCGATTAGTACTTAAATGAGAGAGACTGCCTGGGAGCATTCTATAATCCTCAATGTTTCAGCTTTAGATAACTCACTTTGGGGTTAAGAAGCAAAAAACAAAAGAACTATATTGTTAGCAACATAGTACAAATTTTAAACTTCTTAAACTCACTCTTGTACCTACTTATGTATGGTATGAATAACATGCTGGGACCTTACAAAATTACCTTGCTCTCCATAGATCAGTTAAAAATTCTATTGACATTAAAAAGCCTAAGGTGAAACTTTACTTGCTGTAAGAGATGAAAAAAATATTGACAAAATTGAGGAACAAATAGACAGGTTTGCTTCTTCTGCATGAAAATATTGACAGTATTTACATAAAATCCTCTGAAAAATACTGATTTATCAATATTTAAGATAAAGTGCTAGTTTTATTAAAACATTCTTCCACTTTGTGTATAAATGAGGGTTCGATCATTTTTTTTTTTTTGTAAATTTGACAATTATTTAAACATATTTTCTTGAAGCAGATCTGTCAAATGATTTATGGCTGACAGTGAGAATCTGACATCTGAGAAATACTCCATCACCCTCAGTTCAAGGAGATTTTTTTTTTTTTTTTGACTAACAATGTTTCTGTTTTAAGCAGTAAGACTGCAAGATATCTTGAGAAATAAAGACTGGGAACTTCACAAATGTCTCACGCAATCCATTAAAATATTTAAATAAATAAATATATTAACAAGATTTGTTAAGTCACTTTCATTCTTTTAGCAATTTTGTAATGGAAAAAAAAAAAAAAAAGCAGTATTTGCATGCATAAATGTTTATTTACCAATAAACAAAACCTGAAATAATTTTTTTCTTTTTTGGGCCAGTGAAAGTCCCACCTTCTTACAAGTGACCAAAGTTTTTGTCAAAAAAGTCTGCTATATTCTTTCATTAATTTAACTCATACCCATTATCAAGCTACATTCACAAAAGGTGACGTGTGTTAATTTCTCTTGTTTCAGTGGCAACAAGTTTCATGTAATGTGTTGGACATTTTGCTGCAGAAGGTTTTTATTAACCAATTGGGACACAATTACAGGCATTTGAATGTGGTGGTGTGGGGAGGTTTAAAATGACATTGTCAATAAGAAGGAAGACAATTGAGTACAAAGTATTTTGTTCTTTTGATTAAAAACAAATTTCTTCATTGCTAGGCCTTTCTCACTAAATCAGCCGAGGACAACATTTTTGATTGGTATGACCGAATTTATTCAGTTGCAAAGATGAAAAGTACACTTGTTTAAGGTATTTAGAATCACAGAATTTTTAAACCATCTTGAAATAAATATTTTTTTTGTGATGGAAATAAGTTTCAGGTGGTCAAAATCTGAGAATTGGGACAGTCAAAGGAACAAAAAAAAAAAAAGTTAAAAATTATAGGCAGTAATAACACTTCACAAAATTTATCAACAAAATTGATTCATTAAAAAAATATTAATTGCAAATAAAAAAAATAAAAAAAAATATGGATGGCAATTTTGACTTCCTTAATGTTTTTAGAAAATAAAATATTCAATGAACATAGAATTACTGAAATATATTGTCATTCTAAAGCCAGTATTTTGAATTTTGGCAGTGAAAGCAGAAACTCAAGAGTGCAGGTGTTGAATTTATATTTTGGGGTGTGTGTGTGTGAAAATTTCCAGTTTCAAATATTGCATCTTTCAATTTGAATTTTATTTAAAAAATGGCTTTAACAACAACCTGAGTGAAATTCTGACAAAGTTTATTTAATTGGATTTGCTTCATTGTTAACAGCAGTAGACACTGCAATGACATAAATTCTCATCAGGTACTGAGGGATTAATTTAATTTGTAAGAGAAATTTTGGGGAAATTAGGATTTTCTTAAAAGATAAATTTATACACAAAAAAGTATTAAATTATTTTTGCCTAATTTAGTTTTGAATGGTGATTTTTCTAAGCGTATGTGGCACATGGCCAGAAGTTTCGGGCACCCAGTGAGGATTGAACTCACTATTCAGTTTGAATTGATCTAGTGAAACTAGCTTGTTATAATTCAGTTTTTAATGAATCGCATTTATCCTGCATGTTAAAAAAAGGGGGGAGTAGTTAATTCATCCTTGAATACATTAAAATAGATTTATTCAAATAAAATTCAATCTAGAAAAGATTTCAGTAATTAGTGAAAAACATTAAAGAGTAGAACTATTACATGGATTTGCATTCTTTCATTATAATGTGAAATTAAAGAAAAAAATGAATCTAAATTCGTCTACCCATAATGGGAACTTTTGGAAAATGTCATTTGATAAGTCATCTAAAATTATTTCTTTTAGAAGCATTTGCATCATGAATGGAAATCTACATTTAAAACAGAGCTAAGCATTGTGATAAGATTTTTATGACAGTGAGTTTTGGTGACAAGCAATTGACATTAAGATGAAAGAAATGCTAATCAAAAATTAATTAATGATTGACAATACTTCATCTAATAAAAATTCAAATTAATATTACTACTGGCTTACTAACAGCTGCAGAATGACATTTTTTTTTTTACTTTCTATGAAAAGCAACTAAATTTAAAATGAAAGAAATACTAGTCAAAATTAATAATGGAAAATGAAACATTTTCAATGAGTGTAGTCAGTTTGTTGCTTTTCATAAATGAACAGTACAATTTTTTAGATTTTTTTTTTATTCTTTTAATTCCTTATAATTACCAAGCCAGCAAATTAGTTTTTAGTAGGACCCTACCTCCACTTTTCTTTGAAAATCTAGTGGATTAATTACTAAGATTAAAAATGCAAAAAATGATTTGTTTTAATAAAGAAATTCTGACTACAATACTATATCATCAACTGTGGGAAAAAAAATTCTGTCATCCACAGTTGATAGGTTAAATTGTACTGGTGGTATTTGTAAATTATGCTCTTTTTAGTTCAATTCTCTTCTCCATTACACTTTTACATAAATTTCTTAAAACTGTCTCAAGATTCTTTAGCACAAAGTATCAAATCTTTGTGTTGCTAAAGTCATTATTTTTAAGGTTAAATTAATAACACTAGACAATCTCGTCACAAATGAAGAAAAAAACTGGAAACAGATGAGATGTGGTTCTACAGATGAGTGTTGAGAATATCATGGACAGAGTATGTGACAAATGAAGAAGAATAAAAATTACAAAAGAAACTTGTTGAAAATTTGGTGAATTTAACATTTAGAGAGGTCATTGAAGGCAAGAGTGACAGGAAAGCAGTTTGAGCAAATGGATGGAGGAACAAGTACCATTTAAAAAAAAAAAAAAAATATATATATATATGTGTGTGTGTATATATATATATATATATATATATATATATATATATATATATGTATGTATGTATGTGGTACAAGATCAAATTTAAAGTGGTGATTCTATATGAGACGAGAGTCCAAAAATAGTCTAGTCCCCTCAGAACTTCTCCTTTTGGGGGACACCTCAGGCAACAGGTAATGACTGTAGCCTCTTCCTAAGGGAGAGGTATTTAGTGCCTGGGGAGATGGCCCCCCTGAGACTCGACTTAACGTGTGACTCTCAGACCAAAAGCACCAAGTCATTGCTTAGAGAAACAAAGGAAGCTGTGGAAAATCATGACTGCCCACTTGGTATTCAACTGATCTGAAGCAACCTATATATCGTATGTATTCTCAGTTTGCCAAAACATCCTGACTCACTTAGGAAGCTGAAAGAAAACAAATCTTGATCTGTCTAGTGGAATTTCCAAGGAGTACTGCATTTTGACCCTGTTCCACACAGTTGTATTATCAATGCTAAACTAAATTGCCACCAACAGCTTGTACAAAAAACCAAAGGAGTATTTGGTCAATTGAGGTCAAGATTTGTTTCAACAAGACCACACACTGCCAGGTTGAGTAAAAAGTTCAAACAGATGGACAGTGTTGAAATTTTTGCACATCCACCATTCAGTCCTGATGCAGCTCCAAGTGACTATGGCCTATTTTGCTCAGTGACACACTTCCTCTGCAACTAGCAATTCAACACTTTTGATGAAGTGGGGGAAGCTTGTTTACACTTTCTTTGATTCCAAGCCAGTGAACTGGTATCTGGGATACAGATGCTGGCTGATCACTAGCAGAAAATCAGTGAGAATGACAGACTTTATTTTGAAGAATAAATGTTGGTGTTGCTTCATAAAATTGTTTTCTTTCCACTTTGTAAGTGAGTCGGGACTTTCTGGTCAGCCTAAAGTATGTGTGCGTGTGTGTGTGAGAGAGAGAGCGAGAGAGGTTGCATTTCCAAAGTGGCAAAAATATTAAGTGTCTGCTTTCCTCTACAGTTCAAATGTCAATGATAATTAAGTCAGGTAACTTGAAAATTTATCTGTCTATACTCAAAACTTTGATTGCTTATATAAAAAAAAAAAAAAAAAGAGTGCATTATGAAGATTAGTCTGATGCACCTGAATTTAGAAATAAAATGGTCATTTTATATTATTCAACTTAGATGATTAATTTAAGCATTGGTTTTATTAAATGCATTGACAACAAAGGAAATTAATGTTGAAAAATAGTGATATAAAAATTTTTTTTTTTTTTTTTTTAACAGTCTACAGAATAAAAATATTTGTACATACACAAACATTAGTTAACCAAAACAAAAAAATGTTCTATTTTAATTTTAAAATCATTAATTTAATTTTAAAACAATAAATCATAAGTGTTTAGAAGTACAAAGGAAATGTCTGTGAAGTTACCTTCTCTTTTCTTACCCATAATCCTCTTTCAAAATGGCTGCCACTTTTGGGTACATGTAGAGATCAAAGAGCTGTGATAGAATTTGTTTTTGTTAGAGAAAAAGCTGCAAATCATTCACAGGGAGTAAATGAATGTTTATGGAAAGGCTGCATTTGCTATAAGCACAGTAAAGAGAAAGGATCAGTAGAGTTCATGGCAGACCTAGACAGAAAGGAGAAACTAACATGTTCAAGTGGCAGGCCAGCTACTGCTGCTACAAATGAGGTTAAGGCCAAACAGCTGATACATTCATTACAACTTAACAAATCACTTTTGAAAAACTCTGAAAATCTTTAGATGAGACATGGTAGTACCTATAGTTTAGTGCAGTCTTTTTGGCTACTCAAAGGTTTGTGCAAAGTCGGTTCTCAGAATGTTGACAGACTGTAAAGAAGCAACAGCCGATTGTTGATCAACACAGATGGCAGTATATGAACAATGAAGAGAAATGGGCAGACTGCACATGGCTAAGAAAGCAGCCAAGAAACTTCTATGAGGTGACTAGACATGCCCTAACCATAATTAAGAAAGGAAGATTGTGTTGAGACTAAAATTAGAATCCTGAGACTGTCATGATTACTTTGATTTATTCTGTATGCTTATATTAACTCAGTTGTAAAAACAGGCATTACTTTGTACTCAACCCTTGTATGTGTCATATATATTATTATAAACATTACTAAAAAATTCACTGAATGTATATATCTTGCACTTTGAGTTCTGGTATTAATAAAATAGTGCTTGATGCAATATAACAGATATAAACTATATATTAATAAATATTTTTCCAGACCAGTAACATGAGTTTCATGCACAATGCACTCTTCAGGTGCCAAGTCTTAACTCACCTGAATTTTGCATTGCACATGAAACTGGTTTGGAAAAATATGTATATTTATTAATATATAGTGTAATATAAACATTTGTATTTTGTTAATAGTTAGTTCAAGTGTATATGCTTACAAGTTTTCAACATTAACCCAGTTTAAAGAATGTTTAAAGAACAAAGCTGGGCAATCTTTGTAGCTGTCATCTTTAACATATACAATGTTGTCAAAAAGTCATGCTGTAATAAGAAAAGAATGGGGATTTTTGAAACAGTAACAGGACAAAATTTGTGAAATGTTCCATAATTAAACCAATATTTCCAGATGATATATTGTCATATATAGAAATATTTCAGAAATTAATATAAAAATGTCTTCTCCCCACAGTTTTTCAATGGTAATGTAACTTTTAGGCAACCCTATATTACTCCTTAAATCTTGTCCTGAAACACTTAAAATTTCACTGATCTTAGACGAAAAAAAAAAAACAACAAAAAACAAAAACACTTTATCTCAAAAAGGATGAAGAAAAATAAAGCAACAATAATCAAATATATTATGAACAATCCCCAAAATTTAGCAAATGGAAAATTAACACAATGTATCCTTTTTTTGTCCCATGTAAAGCAAGACTGACTGACAAGTCAGAAACAAGAAAAATGAAAGAGATTAGTAGATGAAGGCAAATTTGCTGTATCCAAAACACCAATATTGTTCCCTGAAGCACATTAGAGGTTTAAAAAAAAAAAAAAAAAAAAAGGAGACAAACATTTAACAAATTCATTTACATTCATTAAGGATTTAATTTAAAAGTTAACCAGAATTTTTTTTTAAACTTTTTCATGTACATCTAAATTTGAGAAATTACAAGTTGAAATTTTCTTAACTTTGCATTTGGATGAAGAGTTTGAAAGGTTTTAGGAGTATAGAAAAATGACCATATGCAATGCATAAATACATATGCACACACAATTAAATTTGCAGTTTTCAAAACTAGTTCTTAATATTTAGAGCAGAATACTCTAATAAAATTTATCTTCTCTATTAATTGAATGAAAAGGTAAGGCAGATTTTGTAGCTAGGTTTTGTCATTACCTTTCATCTGTAATTTAAAAAAAAAAAATATTCCAAAACAACCTTTTCTTGGCAATAGTTTATAAAAAGAAAAGGAAATTTAGAATCATGCAATATGGGCAAATCAAGCAGGTAAACTTTCGTTTTTTGATTTTGAAAAAAATTAATGAAATTAAATGACTTCCTTTGTATCTGATGTGCAGATAGAATAGAGATCAATTATTGTTGTGAATAAAATTTTCATTTAAATAGGAAAAAAAAATAGCTGTGCTATTGTATGTAGGAGGATATTAATTATTAAAACTTTTTTATGTGGTGTTGGTGATTTCCATCTTGAGGAACAAAGTAAGGATTTGGAAATAGAAGAAAAAAAAAATTTAATTTTCAAAGGATTTTTTTTTTTTAAAGTGAACTTTGAAAAAACATGAAAATTTATTGCAATAAATCATTGTTATGCACTACTGAATAGTTTTGACTTCACTTTATCATATTTTTGCTCTTTCCAAAGAGATGAGAGAAAGCAGTTAACACCACAAATTGAGATTATTAAGTCTATAACTATTATTTATATAAATCTCCAAAGAACTAACTGATGATTTTTTTTTATTCCAATATTTTAATTACTTCAAATGTTAATTTTAATGGATACCCATATTTGAGTAGACTTCTCATTTTTTTTTTAAATGTTTATTTTGCCTACTGGCTTGCACACTTGAGAAAACTTAAGAAAATCTTGCTGGAGAACATATTTCTTTTATGAAGTTTTCTCCAGTTCACAGATTGGTAGATGAAATAAATAGTTTAAAAAAATATGGAGTGTCTACTCATATACGGGTAGACATTAAAAATAACACACGTGTGTGTGTGTGTGTGTGTAAAAATTCAGCTATAACTAAAAATATACTTGTAAAAAGACAAAAGAAAAACTTTTCATACATTGATGGACTTTATCAAAGCAAATGTAAGGATTTTATTTTGCAACAAGTATTTATAAATATAAGTAAAAATGTTCTTATTTTTTCAGAATTTTTATGAGCATTCTTAATTTTCAAAATTCAGAAAAACTAACATTTTTTCTTCTGTTTATAAATATTTGTAAAATAAAACCCTTACATTTGCTTTGATAAAGTTCATCAGAGGACAAAGCTTGTCAGCTAAGAACTTTCCCTTTTGTCTTTATAAAAATTGAAGAAAACATGCATATTTTTTTTGATAATGTATTTTCATAATGTTTATGAGGAAATTTTTTTATCAATAAAAAAAATATGCTTAAACATTCTTACAGTTTGGCGAGAGATTGAAAAAGAAAACACTAACATTAGCCATTTGATAAAAAAGGAGTGGGGGAAGTAAAACTTAAGAATTTTGTCAATTTCTTAAAAAAAAAAAAAAAAAAAAAAAAATCCTTGTTTCTGTAAGTAGTTCATTTTGGCAACATTATTATCATTATTTTATTACAAAATTCAAATTGCTTTTCAACAAGGATAAAAGTAAAAATGAAACAGTCATTCACAATTAAAAGGTCAGCACGTTCCCAATTATTATTAACATTCAGAATTGTTACGATTCAAAATTTATTTCACAATCATTTGAAATGTTTTCTGGTCAATAAAATATTTGTAGACGTTTCATGGCTTCTTTTAATTTGATCCCCAATTTGATAATCTCCTCAGAAAGTAATAACCATACAACTATTCTGGTCACTCATGATTGAGAGCAATGTGAAAGAAAACATTAAAATCCTCCTGTGCTTCTTAACTGAAACTTGATTTGACCATTACTAAAAAGGACCAACCAATTGAGTCATGTACAGTAGAATCCCTAACAAGCAAATTGGTCAAAAGATGTAAGACAAGAATAAAGAAGAGCACAAAATAGTCATGGCTAATAACTTTATATTAAGAAAACTGCTTCTTATGTTTTCATTTTGAAAAATGATATTGAATTCACTTTGAATTGTCCATTGGCCTGGATAAGTAAGCTTGACTGAGACTAATATGCAAATTCCATAGTTTCAACAGTCTCTAGCGCCCAGCACTAGCGTCAGGAAGCCAACTTCGATGGCACTTTTCCATCAACAATTGCTTTGATATCATCAGAGTCCAATGTTTCATACTTCATCAAAGCCTGAGCAAGAGCTTTGTGCTCTGTACTATGACTTTTTACGATCTGACGAGCTCTTTCATAGGATTCCTGAAAAAAAATGGAAAATTAGATTTGAAAAATTCAATTAGATAAATTCCTGTGTTGGAGAATGCTAGATATATTCGACCAACTATAGCAAAGAAAATGGCCACGATTAGTATGCATTTATTGTGATGTGTGGAAGAAGTAGCCAACAAATATTTGGTGGTGTCCTTCTGCAGCCCAAGCAAATGACTTTGCTATATTTAAGTGAAGCACAAGAAAATCCTCAGTTTACTTGAGGATTGCCTAAAGTGGCAAGTGTGCTCACAGTACAATTCATTTCAAATTTGTAACAGTTGGGTGTTTTGTTGTGATTGAAGATTGAATCATGATGGTTTGAGTCATGTTTGTGTAGGTTCATGCAAATTCTTAAAACAAACTATAATAGTATGTGTCTCGATAGCAAATAAATTTGATCTCAAACTCAAACCAGAGTCTGGCAAGAGAGAACCCAACCAGTCCACTGTAAAATAGATAAAAAAAGCAGACTTAGTAGACCATCTGCGTGGGGTAAAAAAGATAGCATGTGTGATTCTGAGGAGGGGAAAGGAGGAAAAGGAGGGGGAAGAGAGAGAAAGAGGGGGAAAGAAGGAAAATGGAAACAAAAAAGAAAAAAAGAAAAAGAAAAAAGAAAAAAAAAAAAGAAAAAAAAAGAAAAATGAGAAACAATGAAAAGTAAACCTTGATATTTTTATGAGAGAAAGAGAGTGATTATTTTTTTGTAGGAAAAATGGCAACATTAGATCAGTAAGTTTATATTAAAAAAGACAGACACAAAATCTTGAAAAGATTTCCATTTTAATAGTTATGTTGAAGTAAATCAGCTAGCATAAAAGTTGCTTTACAAATTCAAGAAAGCATATGAATTTCTCACTTGGTACTTTCTCCTCTGTTGAAATTAAATAAAACACAATCCCCCACCACTTATCTTTTAAAGGGAAGAAAGCCAAATGGAAATGAAAGGCATAGATATAAACATTTTGGTCATGCTCTGATGATTGCTTAAGGCTGCCAGTCAGTGTTGAGTTATATGCCCATCCTAATTTTTGATCATGCTTTCCCAAAATCATAAATATAGGAAATTAAAACTAAACTAAAATTTTGTGTCTTCATTGGCTAAATCTGGTATCAACAACTTCTCATATCTTATTTTCTTCTCTTTCCTTTGTATCTGTAAAATTTGGATATACTCCTCTCCTTTTTCCTTTCTTTCTCTTGGTAGTAGGGTGGATTTCTTATGCTTTCTTATGCCTTTCTTTTCATTTCTTATTTTCTTTTTTTTAACTTTAATTTGCTTTTTTCTTTCATGGAATAAATAATTTTTTTTTATATACATTTGTTTCTTTGTCTTCTGTGGAAAATTTTCAAAAATGTAAAAAGAAGTGATGTTTCATAAATTATATTTTTTAAATAAGATCGTTTATTACCACCATCATTAAGCGCCAGACGAGATGTTGGATAATGAAATAAATATGCATTCTTCTTGCGGTAACTTGCATGTTCCAATGTAACAGTTTATAATATTTATTTATTGCTTTACTCTTGTTTGAGCCCTTTTTTAAATTAATGTTATGAGCGCTTGAATTTATATTCTTTTCCATTTGGAGATATATATATATATATATATATATATATATATATAAAGCCTCTAAGAGTTGACCTCAATGTTCACTTTTATATTTACACATGCTCTATCTCTGATATTGAGCACTTTATCCCATAAATATAGCACACCTTAAAAGTATATATATATATATATATGACAAAATAGGCCAGTTAATAAAATTTGAGGAATAAAAAGCCAACAATATTGACAATAAGATTGATGATATTAATAATATATTAGCCTTTTGATTAAATTGAAGCACAAAGTGAAAGATTTTAAAATTGGAATTTTTGGACACATTGTGTCCTTTTTCAATAAGATGTGGAATAAACAAAGAAGTGGGATACACTCTTTCCCAGGATTTCTTTCTTTTCCTGTTTCAACGTAGTCAAAGGCTAATATATAATAAATATCATCAATCTTATTGTCAATATTATAAGAATTTTGTTGCCTTTTTATTCCTCAAATTTTATTAACTGGAATATTAAATGTACATATTATGAAAAGCACACGTAGACCATCTTTTGTTTTAATCATTCATTATAGTCACATAGACAATATATTAAAAAAACTTTTAAAAACTTTGGGGACGGGTTCCTCACACCAAAACAAGGACAAAAGTCCATATAAACATAGGTCCGCAAATCCTTCATTTTTGAGTTAAGTTTAAGGAAAGTTTATGATAGATGGCGCTGTGCTGCCACATTGACTAGATTACATTTGTCATTTGTGGCTAGTCTGACTTCAATGTTTAACGTGTGTAGTAGTAAGTTAATAATGAAGTGTTCGTATAACAATGGAAGGATATTCAGATCATGATTTTTGCATATGGCTGCGTGAATGGTAATGGACACATGGCTGCACAGCTGTATCAGATTGTGTTTCCAGACTGAAGGTAACAGAGTCATCCAACCTTTGCTTCTGTTTATTGCTTCATTGCTGAGACACAATCTGTGGTACCACAAACTATGGATCAAAGAAAACCAGGATCTGCTCATACACCTGACCAAAAAAAAAAAAAAAAAAAAAAAAAAAAAAACACACACACACACACACATTCTACAGGCTGTCGGAGCTAATCCAGGTATCAGCACACATTGAGTGGTCCTAGCATGCAGTACATCTCATAGGTATGGAGGGTACTACAAGAGCAGCTCCTGTATCTGTATCATTTGCAACATGTGCCCTCTGATCACTCACCACAAGAGAACTTTTGCCAGTGGTTTATTGCACAAACTGCCAATCCATTGTTTGTCTCTTCAGTCTTGTTTATGGATGAGGCAATATTTGGAAGAAATGGAATAAGAAAATTTACACAACCAATATTTGTGGGAAGATCAGAATCTCCATGGTACAATACCAGCTAGACACTAGCATCAGTTTATAATTAATGTGTGGGCTGGAATTGTAAGTGAATATCTGCTGTTCTCCCAGCATGTGTTCCAGGGGGCACCTAAAAAAATTATGCAGCAGACATTAATAATGCCGAGACGCTTCATCAATGTGTCATGGGAGCCTGTTAAACCATTCAACACTGTGTGGGAGTATTTGAAAGTGTATGCCCGTCAATAATTCGTCAAGTGCATGCCCGTGTAGAAGCAAGCAGAGGACATTTTGAATATTTGTTATGAGTTGCTGTTGAGGTACAATGATCGCCTTTTGGACATGTTTATATGGATATTTTACCTTGTTCTGGTATTAGGAACCTGTCCCCAAGCTTGTAAAAGTATTTTTGGATTGTATCTTTGATTGTACATTTAACAGTGTCTACTGTAAACTCAAAAATGATGGATATGAGGACATATGTTTATATGAACTTTTGTCCTTGTTTTGGTTTGAGGAACTTGTCCCCAAAGTTTGTAAAAGCATTTTCTTAAACACACACTATATATATATATATATATATATATATATATATATATATATATATATATATATGACACATACTCATTTCTCTGTGAAACCATTCTATATATCATATGTAGAATATCTGAACAAAAGTGGAGCTAATGAGAAAGAGGAAAAGCATGTACAGACAGAGCATTTCACAGACTCAATGAGAGAGACTGTGTGGAAAGAAAGTGTGTTGGAATTTTTAAGGAAAGGATAATAAATAACCTTATTAGGTACCAAGGCAAGGAAGTGCAATATGGATTTTCCACTGGATTTTAAATTAGCCCCGATCTGTATTTTTTTTCTCTGTTTGTTTGCATACTGTATTGTGCTACTATTGCTCTTGTGACGATATTTATGATACATATATATTTAAATTTGAAATGTAATACTTGGGGTGGGGAAGGGCCAGGATGTAACTAACAACACAATGACCAAGGCAGATGAAAATACTGAAACAAAACCCAAACAAAACCCAAACAAAGACAGTTTATCCACAATTTTGATTTGATTGTATAACAATTTGTTTGAAAATTGTAAAAGAATTATTAAAAAAAAAACAAAAAAAAATGATGGGAATTGGTTGAATTTAAAAAAATGTTAAGAGTCTGCTAAAAAATGTATACACACTTCAGGAAAAGAAAAATGTATAGATATTGTAACACTAAATTTATACAGGTATCACAATTACCTTTGGACTCTACAATACAAGAGATGCTCAAAATGGTGGCCTATAACTTCCAGATATTTATTAGTACAGTGAACTACTACTTTGGCAACTTTGGCCCAAGTGTCCAGTGGGATTGCTGCACATGCATTTCAATTTGTTTTCTAAGGGCCGCCAATGTAGTCTCTTTTCTACGATACACAACAGCCTTTAGGGTCCCCAATAGGTAAAAGTCTGCAGGGGTTAAATTAGGAAATTTGATAAAACTGCAAAAGACATGTTTTTCCTTTCTCAAAAGGTGTACATATGCATGAGTGGGTGTGTGTGTGCGTGTGTGTGGGGGGGAATGGGAGCACACAAACTGGTGCAAAGAGATCAGCAGATTCAAAAAATCCCATATATATGTTTTTCTGGGTATTAAAATTGTAGCCCTTTATTTTGGTAATTTAGGATCAAAAGACATTTCAAAATCAAGGTTGGTTTAAAAATTCCTTTGTTTATTCTTTCTAATGTACTTGTTGAATGTATTTTGGTCAATGGAAGAATACAGGTGTAGGTAAGATTTGTTTTCTTTTCCTATTTAACAATATCTGTACTTATGATAAACTGCTTCTTATGGGATACAATGAACACAGGATAGAAATTAGATTAGAATTAATAGGTTGGGTTAATGGCATTATATAATACACCTGTATTTACTGAAATGTGATTTTCTCACCTGTAAGATTCGTTTAATTTCTGTATCCACTTGTTCTTGTATAGCAGGGCTCAATTCATTCACCTTCAGCATTGAGAGTCCACTGTCAAAAGGATCATTATCATCAAAGACTCGAACACCAATCTGGAGAAAAAGAAAATAATTGAAAGTGAAATGTGAAATCCCATTAATCTATAATAATAAAATGTATGACATAGGAGTTATTGGATTCTAACCTTTTCTGTGATGATCCTCAATAACCTAATGACAAGCAATCAACACAGAAATTGAAATTTTTCAGCAAGCCAAAGATGGTAGAATTAATAAGTGATACTTGAGAGATTATTTTATAACAAATGACAAGAGCCACAATTGTTTTTTTTTTTTTTTTTTTTTTTTTTTTTACAAAAATAAAATAAAAATGAAAGAAAAATAAAAAAGAAAGAAAAATAAAAATGGGAAAAAAATGGAAAAAAATGGGAAAAAAATGAAAGAAAAATGGAAAAAAAATGAAAGAAAAATGGAAAAAAAAAAGAAAATGGAAAAAATGGAAAAATGAAAAAAAAAAATGAAAAAAAATGAAAAAAAAAAAAAAATGAAAAAAAATAAAAATGAAAAAAAAAAAAAAAAAAAAAAAAAAAAAAATAAAATGAAAAAAAAATAAAAATGAAAAAAAAAAAATGAAAAAAAATAAAAATGAAAAAAATAAAAATGAAAAAAAAAAAAAAAAAAAAAAATGAAAAAAAAAAAAAAATGAAAAAAAAATAAAAATGAAAAAAAATAAAAATGAAAAAAAAAAATAAAAATGAAAAAAAAAAAATGAAAAAAAAAAAAAATGGAAAAAAATAAAAATGGAAAAAATGAAAAAAAATGGAAAAAAAAAAAGAAAAATGGAAAAAATGAAAGAAAATGGAAAAAAAAATGAAAGAAAATGGAAAAAAATGAAAAAAAAAAAAAAAAAAAAAAAAAAAAATAAAATGAAAAAAAAAAAATGAAAAAAAAATAAAAATGAAAAAAAAATAAAAATGAAAAAAAAATAAAAATGAAAAAAAAATAAAAATGAAAAAAAAATAAAAATGAAAAAAAAATAAAAATGGAAAAAAAATAAAAATGGAAAAAAATGAAAGAAAAATGGAAAAAAATGAAAGAAAAATGGAAAAAAATGAAAGAAAAATGGAAAAAAATGAAAGAAAAATGGAAAAAAATGAAAGAAAAATAAAAATGGAAAAAAATGAAAGAAAAATAAAAATGGAAAAAAATGAAAGGAAAATAAAAAGGGAAAAAAATGAAAGAAAAATAAAAAGGGAAAAAAATGAAAGAAAAATAAAAAGGGAAAAAAATGAAAGAAATATAAAAAGGGAAAAAAATGAAAGAAAAATAAAAAGGGAAAAAAAATGAAAGAAAAATAAAAAATAAAAAAATGAAATAAAAAAAATGAAAGAAAATGGAAAAAAAAACAAAAACTTTACTATTCCTCTTGCTTTTTCCTCTCCATTTTATGAGAATAAAAGTCGAAAAAGATTAGAATGGTGGGGGTTAAATGAACCTAACAAATTTTATAAAATCCTTTGATTTTTCTTTGCCTTTAGGCCAATGTAACTGTTGTCTTTTCTCTGAATTGTGTAAGAGAGGAAGTAAAACATTTAAAGAACCAGGGATGCCAACCATAGAGATGGTTAATAAGCTTGTCAAGCAGACCAATTGGTTGATGTAATGATAGTGATCCTTACTGACTTCTATAGAGTAGTGCCAGACTAAAAGTAATGAATTTATTTGACCAACATCGAACTCAGCAGCAATACATGACACATTGTCAGCTTGTGTTCAATTAACATTCACAGATTTGGGTTTTGCATGCAAATCAACTGCTTTAGTTTCTCAATCCTGATTGAGTTCAAAATATTTCTGCTCTTCAATGTTAACAGGACAAAGAGGTCCTTTCTTTTTGCATACCCTCCATTTTTCCTTCAACATAAGGTTTCCATCTTCCCAGAATTTGGTGGTTTCTCAGCAAAAAACTCATTAAGTTGTTTTTTATATGTCATCCAAAGAATTAAGATTTTTACCATTGAGTTTATTTTGCAAGAACCTGAATAAATGAAAATCTGAAAGCGCAATGTCTGGTGAATATGGTAGGTGGGCAACACATTCCAGCCAAGCTGCAACAGTTTTTGCCAGGTCACCAAATAAATGTGAGATCTAGCATTATCCTGATGGAAAACAGCACCTTACCTGTTCACCAATTCTGGATGTTTTTCTTGAATTGCTGCCTTTAATTCATCCAGTTGTGAGCAATACTTCTCAGAATCAACAGACTGGTTACTTGGCAGAAGCTCATAGTACATAATTCCTTTCCAATCCCACCAGATACACAGCATAACTTGAAGACCTGCTTTTGAGGTGGCTAAAGTTGGCTCATGTTGCTTACCCCAGGAACTTTTTCACTGAACATTGTTGTAAATGATCCATTTCTCATCATCATTCACAATTTGCTTCAAAGAGGGTGCATTTTCATTAAGTTTATACAGCAAATCACAGATGAAATGCAATCCAAAAGATTCTTTTCACCCAGATCATGTGGTACCCAAACATCATAGTGATTTGAGTACCGAAGATTCAGTAAGCACTCATGGATAGTGGATTTTGAGTGTTTCTGACAATCCTCGTGTTGTGTAATGTGGGTTATTCTCAATCAATATCTTGATTTGTTCATCATCTGTAGTGGTGGGGTCTGCCTAAGCATTCTTCATCTATAAAGCTACAATCACCAACTCTAAACTTAGCAAACCACTTCTGTACAGTTCTGTCAGCTAAAGTACCTTCACTTTACACAGACATATCTTTTTTGTTGCTTGTGAGGCATTTTTGCATTTACAGTAGAGAGAAAAAAGCATCAAGTGTCTAAAATGCACCATATAATCTTCCATTTTCACAGGGCTGCGACAATGACAAAAATTTTAAACTTTCTTTTTCAAGCAACACTTTGAAGTGTGCTCTAATCAGAAATGTAAGCAAATTATATCTGTTGATAAATTTGGCATGTTTTAATGTGTTGGAATATGAACGTCTAAAAATTGGTACAAACTTTCTGGACAGCCCAATACAATTAAGGATTGTTAACAAGAGTCAAATCTCACAACCCAAATAACATTTGGGTTACGAGGTTTCACTCGTTACCAATTTGCTTATTTCCTTAACAGGAATTGGTGAGTATGAGCAGTTCTTCATTCTTGTTTACTATATTTAAACCACATTTTTCAATTCAGAACTTGAGCATCTGGGAGTTAGCCAATTCTGAGGAGTGCATTATACGCATGGGGGATATATATACAGGGTGTGACAAAAATACCTCCCACATAATGGTAAGATTAGTGGCAATGGTGTCTTCATCTAACTAATGTCTTAGCAGGTTTTTCCAAGAGGTATTTCTGCTGCACACTGTATAATGACATCTAATCCACATATTCTTCTTGACACACACTAACATCTAATTTTCATAGAAGTAGCCATAATAGCATGGTACACTAATTATTAAATCTTGCTCAGGTAGGAATGAATCATATTAAATTTCCTAATTTATGAATTAGGAACTGATACTTTTAGATTTATAATGGAATAGCAGTTAAAAAAAAAAAAAAATCTGGGCTTAGTTATTGCTAGATAATGTACATATTTTCATAAGCACCCCAAAAGCATTTTGTATCAAAGTGTAATTGGCCTTTGGATGGATGTTGGATTTAACGGCATGTCAACTCCTATTTGGGTCAATTTATGCCGAAGCCTTATTAATTTATGAATTTAAGTTGGTTATTTTGTATAAAAAGATGAAAGGTTGTTGGGTTTCATAATTTTCTGTATTTTTTGGGATTGCTTTTTGTGACCGCTTCTGATTGTGTATTTTACTGTTTACATTCATAGATGCATATATATGTCTATAAGCATATATATATATATATACTATTTATATTTTATTGAGGATTTTTATTTCCTTGAGAAAACTGTATATTTTTTCTGTGTCTGTATTTTTGAATATTTCTTTTAAATCTTTTTCATTGAGATATTTCTGTCTTATTCTAGTTATGATTTTGCATTCTGATAGAATATGTCTTATTGTGATTAGGCTTCCACATTTACATTTTGGTGGATTTGTCTTTTTTAATATGTGAGAATGAGTTAAATATGTGTGTCCTATATGTGTTCTGGTTATGACAACTTGTTTTTTCCGAGTGTAATTGGCCTTTGGACTGAGGGAAGTGATAACACATCAAAATATTCCAGAGAATTCAAGAATTAAACACATCAGGTATATTATATGACAGGAAAAAAAAAAAAACAAAAAAAAACCCTTTATTTTTACTGTGTGCCTTTTAAAAGATTTTTGCAAATATATGCTGCCTGCCAGGTTTCAAAAAGACAAAGAAATGAACAGGGATAAATGTTGCTTTTGTGATGAATAACAAGCATAGATGGTAGCAATAAGAAAAAAAAAAAAAAAAAAAAATAAAACTCAAGAAAAAGAATGAAAAAAGATTTTGTCTACTTGTGATGGAAAAAACCTCCCCTTCTTCCTAGCCAATAAAAATGGATAATTTTCAGTTTTATTCTCACATTTATTTTTCTTTCTATCTTTGAAGTCAAAAGACTATAACCATTGGACTGTATCCCTCTTGTGCATTAACAATATTTCTATTTTGTGAATTTTTTACTTTGTTACTGTCTTATTGTTGCTTTGCTTTTGACTTTCAGTTTTTTAATCATTTCACTCCCAGCAAAATAATAAAGCCACTAAAATCAAGGATTTACTGAGTGCTAGAGAATATGAGGGGGAAAAAAAAAAAAAAAAAAAAAAAAAAAGAGATCCCATTTACCTTTTCAGACATTCCAAACTTTTTGACCATGGCTTCTGCAATAACTGTGGCTTTTTGGAAATCGGATTCAGCACCTAGAAATAAGTCATTTTTTTTTTTTATATTTTTTTTTTTTAAAATCAAGCATATGAATAATAATTGTCTGGTGTGTATAATTTTAAAAATTATAAATTGTTTTTTTTGAAGATTAGAATTTTCTGAATAAGAAAAATAGAGATTTGCATCTAAATTTGCAAACAGTTTCAATTTCTAAGAACTGATAATGTCTTACCTGAAATCTATATAACAAAGTGAAAAACTTCTTAATTCTAACATCTCAGGAATTTGTAAATGGTTCAAGTTACTGTTCTAATTTACTTGAAACACACTTCCTTTTTAAGATTGCAGGTATCATAGATTTTTGTATTTAAAATGTAAACATGTCTTTAGATTATCATATGAACATAAAGATTTTCAAAATGTATAATTTCAAACAAATTTTTTTTTTATTTTATTTTAGAATTTACTTTTGTTCACAAAATTCAGTTATCAATTTCTTAGAATTTAGCAGGATTCAAATCAAATCAAAATAGAATTGCATTTGGTAGAAACAGGATGCAATGAAAGAATTGGTAAAACAAATCTTTACCTGTTGTTACTTTATCAGTCCCATAGACAAATTCTTCAGCAACACGTCCACCCATACACACATCTATTTCTGCTAGAAGCTGAGCTTTTGTTTTGTTATAGGTCTCCTTCTCTGGGATAAACGACGTCTAACAGAATTAAATCAAAGAAAGGTTTCAACAATATGAAAAGTCTAAACATGAAATATTGCAAAGATTGTTCAAACTGTAAAGATTGATGTGATTCATTTAAATATTTATTTACTAATATTGTAAAGTGAGGAAATGATAGAGTCACAAAGTTGTGAAGACCAAAGAAGATTATGGGCATCTTTTTACAATCTCCAAAACATAGCACATGTAATTGTCTTTTGTCCACTATAAAAAAAAAAAAAATAATTGTATTGACTTTTAACCAACAAATAATACTGAAGATTTTTAATCAGAAAGAAATGAACTTGTATAAATCTGATAGATTTCCATCATAAACCCACCACCAAAACAAAAAAAAAAAAAAACAAACAAACAAAACATTGTTTGCTCTAAAATCGAAAGCTTTGTGTTTATGAGTATTTATTCTCACGTATAATATGACACAAGGTTAAAGTTTAAAGTGCCATTTGGAAGCCATAAAAAATTGCTCAAGCCCTCTTGGCACTTCTCTTTTTGGGGGATATCTTATGAATCATGTGTGTGCGTGTGTATATATATCTCACACACACAAATGGATAAATATAAATAAATGTATGTGTAAGTGTTCACACACACACACATATATATATATATATAATCTTTTGGTTTAAGAAAAACAGTGCTCAATGCTAAATAACAGAGTTATTAAGTATATACTAATTAGGTACCTCCAATAAATTTGCTAAAAATCGGTATAGCATAATAATAAAAGACCTCAAACTTAATAAAAACAAAGTTTTATTGTTAAAATGTTTATGTTATTATTAAGAGGAAAGAACAAAGTATTTCTTAATTATTTTTAAAAATTTTTTCCTTCTTTCTAACACGCTCTAAATTTGGATTAAAAATATTTTTTTGTCAACTTTGTACTATTTGTGGGAATGGCCATTTTAGTGTACCAGTTTCTGAGGGAAAACCCATTAATTTGGAAATTCTTGCAAAAAAAAAAAAAAAATCAAATAATTTTCAGAAAATCTTGGTAAAAATGTTTTTTTTCTACATCTGTTACCTCCCCCACCAAATTAATTTTATGAAATTTTCTAGAATTTCAATCAGTTCGCAAATTGTCTTATTTATAAGCAAGAATCCTTGGATAAATCATCAATTTCTTTTTTTTTCATAACTACTGCCAACTTTTTAAAAATCTGCTCCAAATCATAAAATAAAAACTGCAATAAAACTATCTAATTATCGAATTTGATAGGCTTTTATTTGCTTTTATAAATAATATACATTAAGGACATTAAGAAAAAAAATTTTTTTCGATATATAAAGAATTTTTACAAGAATTGTTTGCATTTTTTTTTTAGTTTTTTTTTTTCATTTTTCTTTAATTTTAAAAAATGTTTAGGATAAGTTTTTAAGTGAAGACTATATTTACTAAGCGAAAATTAAAAGCTTAATACAAATGCTACCAAAATCTTTTTACCATAATTAAAAGGTATTTTTTTTTTGTGCATCAAAATGCTATATTTTTTTTAGTATGATATCTTGTAAGTGACATTATGGTTAAGAGGTCACATGTTTCAAAGCTTGTCCCCTTCTTAGAGAAAACCCCTTGATATATAAAGGTCTTCAGCTTATGTCACTCTCAGTTATTAAATTAAAAATTAAATTGAGATAATAAAATTATCCCATTTATCAATTTAAACAATAACTGAGTGAGATATTTTAATTATTAATATAATAATAATTTTATTAGTTATTATCTCAGTTATTAAATTAAAAATGTAATAATAATTAATAAAATTATTTATCATTATCTTAGCTATTAAATAATGAAATACATTATAGATGTAATTCAATAATGTAAGAAATTTTTATAGTATTTTAAAAAAAACGTTATGTCAATTTTGGTGTACTGTACATTCAGCCATCAAATTATTGATGGAGACATGAAAATAATACACCAAGGTCAAGAAATGTTTGTCTCGAAGATTTTATGCTATAAGTAAGTGATATTTGTTTCAGAAAAGATTAATTTAACTTTAAATTTGCTAATTTTATGAAAGTAACATTTCAGAAATGTATATCTTATTTTAGTGGGATATTCAAAAAGGAAAAAATAAGTTTTGTCTAAATTTCTCTAAAAAGGTTAAAAATGGCCGTTTCGGTTGGTTTTTCGGAAGCATGGATTAAAAATCATTCAAATTTCTATTTGAAATACTCCATGGTTTTTTTTTTTTTTTTTTCTGGATTTAGAAAATTCAATCTTTTAGCCTTCAATTGAAGCTGGGGGAAGGTTTGAAAAGGATTTTTTCTTTATGAAAAATATACTTAAACCGTAGGTATACGAATTTTTGGAGGTACCTAATATTAATAAATATACATAATACCCTATATGCCGAATGTATGACTGAGTTTCATGCAGTCATCAGATAAACCTCACAAATGTCCTTCTGTATTATATCAAACAAGAAAACCTTGACTTCCAACATATCAAAATGCTTTCTCCTTTCATTTAAATGAATAAAACAAGACATTTAATCTGTGTTTGCTCAAACTTTTGCTTTCTTTTTTCAGAAAAAAAAAATAGTTTATCAATTCAGTCTGTTTTTGCCACATCTGGTGATAAGAATCCTTTTCTGTTAATTTATTTTTTATTGAAATAAACAAAAAAATTTCTTCTTACATGACCAAGACTCAGTCCACGATGTGTAATAGTAACTTTATGGAGGGGAGTAGCTTCTTGAGTAAAATATGCAACAATTGTATGTCCTGCTTCATGGTAGGCAGTTAACCAGCTGACCTCATCAGGAAGACGTGCTTTTTTGGCTGGACCTGAAAAAATATAAACAAAATTGTATTAGGAAAAAAAAAAGAAAATAAAAAAAGGTTATCAAAAGAAAAAAAAAAACAACGGAAATGATTTAAATCTTTGTTTATGAGGATTTATTTTTTTTTATTGTTTTTGTGACACCCTAAGACACTGAAAAAGTTAATAGATATACTGAGATGATGGAAAAGTCAGTAGATTGCTCAATAGTTATACCGAAAACTATGTGATCAGATTTTGTAAATTCAGAGCAAGATAGGGCTGGAACATCAGATTTATTTTCCCCATAAAAAAAAAAAGGAAAATGGATTTTTTTTTTAAAAAAACTTTATTTTATTAGGTCTCAGCAGAAAAGAATGAATTTGGCAAATCTGAATCATGAAGCAATATCATTGTTTAAAAGGTAATCTGGATTAGTGAATTGTCCACAAGTCATGAAAAAAAAAAAAAAAAAGAGGTGAAGTTGTTATAATTGAGAAAGAATATATTTCCTCATAGGTGATAAGGGACCAAAGATCATTTGGTAAATTTCAAACTTGGCCGAATTTTGAGAAAGTGTGTTCCAGTCATCAAGGATCCCCCCCTTACAAATACTAGGTAACAGGACAATGGAGTTGTGATTGATGACAGGGAAATTGAAATGCAAAAACAATGTCATGAAAATGAATAAAAACCAGATGCCATGATGCTAGGCTGATTGTCCCAAGGATGGGGAGTGAAGTGAAGGGGAAAAAGTTAATTCCTCCTGACCATAAAGTATTCAATGAGAATAGTTTCAGGTAGATGGAAGAGAGAGTGGTCTCTGCCAATCAGAAATGCTGGTGGGAGACATGACTTTAAAGCAGTGAGAGTAACTGGGAGGAGCCAGGCCTGTGCCCTCTATCCGCGGAATGAGATAACTTTCAAATTGGGAAAAAAATTACGGAAAAATTCTAAACAAAGGAACTTTATTAGAATTTAATTGATCTGAGAATTAGGAAAAACCCTAAGACTCCCACCACTCCCCAGGTTGGAGCTGGGGCCCATAAGAAGCAGAGCATTTGCAGAGAAAGACAGATGAAGAGTGAAAACAAGAGAGATTGAGCTGCTGACAGCTGCTTCACCAGATACTATGCAACTCCTGCCCAGTGAAGACCTCAGAATTCAACCATGCTCCAGAAACATTCTCAACTATAAGAAACAAGAGTGTTGCAAACTTATACACAACATGAGAGATGATGATGAGAACAGTAGGAGAGAGAGAGAGAGACAACCATTCCACATGAATCCTATCATTGAAGAAGGCCTTCGACTTTGATCTATGTTCCAGAGTACTTATCTAGACTTAGTCATAATGAACAAGGGTTGAGTGACTTTGCATGTTAAGATGTGTCTGCATGAAGAACCTATAATCTTGTATGGGGAACAAAACTTGTATTACACGCTGTGTATAAAGAAAAAACATAAAATATTATTCATTTTATTTTTACAACTTATGTGACTTCACTTGTCTGGTCTAGTTCAATGATTCTCATTGACAAATGACTCTTGCCAAACTTATGATCTAAATTAAATATAACATGGGATAAGACAAGGCTTTGGTCGAAGTAATTGATATCAGTAGTGGTCACTGGACAGAAAGACTGGGTGGACATGTGGAGGGGTACAATATTATATTTTAATGTAATTTTAAATTTTTCTTTAAGAAAAATTCCAAATGACATTAAACCAGTTCAAAAAAAAATTTCCTCAGAAACAAAGACCTTAAATAGAGTTTTGTGGTCAGAGAAAATTTTGATTGGAATAAATAGAAAATGGGTTCAGCCATTAAACCTGGCATTGTCAGCTAAAATCCAAAAAGTAACTGACCAATCCAAAATTAAAAATAACCTTTACAGAAATTAGGAAACAAGTTATTTTGTTAAATAATTCTTATGCAGTAATTTGCTTGGGCTAGTGTCCCCATCTTTGTTTTCAAGTGTCTGTTGTAGTTTGTAACCTTCCATGAATTTCAAAATTGAATTTTTATTCAATCTACAAAAGGTAAATCAATTTCTGTCTACCGCTCATGCTCAAGGATATTTGGTATCATTTAATTCTATAGGGTTAATTTGCCCCTGCAAAGTTGCTGGTTTCTTTCAATGATACAGAGTATATGACATTTTACAATCAAGGGATTGAACTCAAAACTATTAAGTACTTTAACGACTCTCTTGACACCTTAAGACATGGGTTGAAAAAATATGCTCAGATAATTTAAAATTCCAGATAAATGAATACCTAAATTAGTGAAAAAGAATGAAGAATAAGAATAATTTTCAGGGGTGTGGCAGTGGTGGTGGGTTTGGAGAAAGGAAAAGAAAAAATATCAAATAACATTTTCAAATGCTTTGTTCAAGGCTTTATCCAATTTATTTTTTATGAAAAAAAAAAAAAAAAAAAAAAAATGTCAATTTTTGTTTCTATCTGGTCTCACATTTTTTCTGTCCTTATCTCTTGAAGTTGGATTAAAGTAGATGTATTTGTATGGGTAACTTCTGGTTAGAATGCACAACCAACTGAAACATTTATCAAACATCACTGCTCTAGTGTTTTTGCCCATGTTGAACATCATGAGGGGCAGAGATGCTGAGACGTGCACATCCTGCATCCCTGACATATAAAAATATTAAAGGATGCAGTAACTGCCATCTGTGCATCTCTTGGATGTGACCAAAGTTTCCCCATGAAAAGCAATACATTGCACAAAATCAATATAACTAATATATCCATTCTGTAACTGAATGTGAATCATTTATCAAATGAACTAGATATTGGTGGTACATAGATATTTTTTTTTTTTTTTTTTTAAAGACATTGTATTTTTGTTGTTAACATACTTTTTTAAATTATGAGATTAGTACAAAACGTTTTAAGAAGAGATGACACTCAGTTCACTGTTGAAATAACATTTAGCAGGGTTCAAAAATGTCTTCAAACAAAATAAATTTTTACTGTATAGATTGATAGACTGTAGAGAGGCTATCATTTTTTATAATTTTAAATAATAAAAACTGCATTATTCATTTGATGTTATTCTTTCAAATACTTTTTACTAGTTCTTTCACTTCACTGACTCTTTCCTTTTATTGGGCTATGGGATATGTTGGTGGCATGAAATTGACGTCAATGTCACCTTACCAGACACTTTCTTGGTTGTTTTGGGTTCTTTTTTAATTTAGTTTTGTATTTAATTAAAAGAAAGTTTTTGTTCTGTCAATTTAAAAAAAAAAAAAAAAAAAAAAAAAACTTTGTTGTTGTAATTCTCAAAAACAGTTTCTCAATTGAACTGTGATTAAATGTAAATACTGTTTTTGTTTTAAATTTATTGAATGTTAAACAAAAAACAAAAAAACAAAAACAAACTTGTTCCATCATAATTCTCAAAAAATATAGTTTCTAAATTGAATTACTTTTGTAATGAATTTTTGTATTTAACAAAAAAAACTTTTGTCAATTTAAAAAAAAAACAAACAAACAAAAAAAAACTTTGTTGTAATTCTCAAAAAAAATATAGTTTCTTAATTAAACTGGTGTTAAATGATTTTATGAAGTGCTGGGCAAAAAAACAAAAAAACAGACAATCTAAAAAAATTCATGTGTCACGTGCATCAGAGAGTTTCATAAGCCATAATTTCTGGTGAGACGAAGCTCTAATAATTCAAATGTATGCTTTTTGTATAAAAGCAACAAAGAAATTAAGAATTAATTGAACTGATTTTACCAGTATTTTTACCAAATGCTGAGTATGGCTTTCTAAATTCTGAAAATGCTCATCAGATTTTTTTTTCTCTTCCTTTGAAATTGAGACATGGATAATTGAGGAAGTATTGTAATCTGATCCACTTAACCAATGCTTTTATCCACAAGATCAGGAGTCCTGTATGGTCATTCAATGGTGAAAATTTAGAGCCTTAAACCTAATGTTATATTGGCAACAACCAAGACAAGAACACAAATCCAAACAAATTCATAATAATAATAATAATTCTTTGTATAATAAATTAAAAAAAAAGAAAAGAATTTTGTTTTGACCAATCAATGACCAAATGCAAACCAGTTCAGACCTTTCCAGTTAATACTTGCCATGCCACACACACACCAGGTTGAATCATCCTCATTCCCTTCACATTGGTAAAAAGCAGGTTCCACTCAGACAGCATTTTCCTGAGAACTGTTATTTTGTGGAACAGACTCTTGCATTGTTGCTTCCCCAGTCAGTACAATCTTAACATCTTCAAGTCTGGGGCCAACTGTTTATCCTATATATCCTCATAATCTGTATTTACTTCCTCCTCCATACAACAATCTCATTCAGTAATCCTCTATCTTAAGTAATTCTTGGGCCTTGTATTAGGTGAACATAAAAAAAACCCAAAAAAAACCACCACCTTTTCTTAATATGCCTCTATTTTGAAAAGGGCTCTTATTGCTACCAAATTATTTGCCCAACATTAATCCCTCTTGACATACACTCATATACTAACACCTTTCCCTCATGCTGACTGACACTACATTTCTGATTGCCAAATATTCTTGCTTAGGTAGGAATAAATCAACTTAGATCTATCTGAAAAATTATGAAGTGATACTTTTAAATTTATGATGAAATCACAGTTAAAAACACCAATTTGAAATGTAATGGTTAAAATTTTGTTCTCAGCTACATTGAGCTTATTGTATTTCATTGCTACATGATAAACATTTCTGAGTTTTTATTTACAAAACTAATTTCAGATTGATAAACAATGATTCATATGTCATTTTCCCCTTTGTTAAGAGAATCTTTTTTATGAATGAAACTTCTAGTTCTGAGTTATCTGATGTGGGCAGAAGACCTTATAAGTGGAGGTCTTTCATCCAAGTATTCACATTCATTTGTTGGTGCCAAATTAAGCTAGTCCCCTGACTAAGTCAGTTTTTGCTGAAACCTACTTCAGTGCAGTTCATTTATTACCCTTCACTGACCTAACATGTAAACTATACCACAAAACCCAGCAACTCCCATCTGAAGTTATTTTGAAGTGTTTCTAACTTCTTGTCGGTAAGCTTTTTAAGTTTTTTTTTTTTTTTAGCCACTGACCAAATCACTAAAATTAAAACAAAACCTTTTTTGTTAACTATAAAACCTACTTGGCATTCTCACCATTCAATTTGTTTTTTTTTTTTCTTTCTTTTGTCATACACATGATATTCTTGACTTATAATTACTGTTAAGGTTGACAGGTAAATCTCAGCCACTTTATTACTTTTTAACAAAAGTGTTTTTACTTCAAATATGAGCATTTTTAATTGTTTATTCATGTTCCCACTCACAGATTATGACACCTAGTTAAAGTTTCAAGTCCTATTTGGAAGCCATACAAAAATTGGTGAAATCCCCTTGGGATTTCTCTTTTTAGGGATGCCTCATGTACCAAGTAATAACCTCAACTCTCTCCTTAAAGCTCAAAAATGATATTCATTTGAACCCTCCACTTCAACTGTATGTATATGCAAAATCGTTTCCTAATTTACAATCAATAACATCCTGTCAAATAAAGCTTTAATTGAAAAAAAAAAAAAATATGGCAAAGTACCCCTGCTTACCCATGAGAACTTTATCTCTGGCAAATTCCATGTGCTCCATGCTGACATTAACTGCTCCATCCATTGCTGCTTTTAAGGCTGCTTGGTTCACCAGATTCTCAAGATCTGCACCTGGAAGAAAAAAAGAAAAAAAAAAAATAAAGAAAAAAAGAAAAAAAAGAAAAAAAGAAAAAAAAAGAAATTCAAATTTTGTTCTTAAAAGCCACAATAATTAGTCACCAAAAATAGAAAAAGGAAATTCAGAGTTAGCCGCAAAGTACATTTTTAACTAATGTCCCTAAAATAAAGCATTTAAAGTCAACATGTTTCTTTATGTATATTTTAACCATAACTGAAAATCTTGTTTTGAAACTTCAAATTTTGTTTGCATCATTTTGCACAGAACACTCATGAAAGATGAATGGACAGTACTTAAATTGATCCATTTCTTAAAAAAAAAAAAAAAAAAAAAAAAAGGGAGGGGGTTATTTTTTAATTTTTGGAGATTAGAATTCATTAGATCTTTCTCAAGTCACATGTCAGATATTTTTTTCTAAAAATTATAAGGGTGCACTGTTAATATAAATCCAGTATCAAATTGATCCATGATTTCTTTAGCAATTTGCTCTACTTTGTTTTCATTTACAAATATCAACTTTCAAACTATGTTTGCATCATTAACAGTATACTATTATGAATTAGAAAAAAATTACATCAGTAGGATAAGTTAGCAGAGTTTCAAACTTGGCTTTTATAAATGAAAAAAAAGTACAGGTAACTCAGTAAAAAGTCGGGAATCCATTTTACACTGTAATTATATTAAAAATAGTAACCCCTTTCTAAATAAAAACATTCAATATTTTTTTTTTTATTCTGATAAATGCCACAGGAAGGTGTAATGAAGGCTAATCTACAAAAATTATTCTACCCACAAAATTTCCCTATATGTTTTTTTTTTTAATGATCGGACCAATCAATTTAAGTAGTGCCAATGAATGCAACACTTCTTGTGCTCAAAACCCAACCAGTTTGTGATTTTGCTAAGTAAATGTTCAATCAAACATAATTCTCCTCTCCTAGAATTAGCTTCCCAATCAATAGCAGTCAAGTAGCTAATGTATCGATTATTAATTATGATAAACAGAAGTTAATCAATGTACATTAATATTTTAAGTTACCCATGTCTGGCATTCCCTTTTCCTATGTCTCTACCAAATGCTTAAAATATGTATTTATCATATTTTAGTTTCCCCCATGCCAACTCTTCATTGACAGTTGAAGGACTTCTGTCCACCATAGAGTAAAGAATTTTATTAAGGACATCAGATTAGAAGATTTTACAACAGATATTCATACATTCATTTGTTTGAGTGAAAGAAAAATAGAAGAAAACTAAAAATTATTTTGGAATTATAAAAAAAAACAAAAAACAAGCAAAAAAAAAAACAAAAAAAAACATCAGTTGCTTAATAAAAAGTAAATTTTGTGAAACATTGGAAGGTACAAAGTTAAATTCTGAGTGCAGGTGATTAAGATGCTTTGTGATTTATATAATAGCTTTAGAAATTGGAGAATTGTACATGAATGAAGATAATTCTATGAAGAAACCAGTCATAAAGAAAAAAAAATAATTCCTTGTACAACTTTTAACTTTGATGAGAAAAAAAAAAAAAAAAAAAAAAAAAAAAACTTTAATTTCATAAATAGATTTGTCCATATCAAATAGCACCAGACCAGATATAGCTGCTGCTACATCTGGTCTGGTGTTTCTGCCATGTATTCAGAGATTCTTGATAAAATACAAAGAATCTGCAATGTTATTGGTCCTGACCTCCCATCTTGGCTTAAATCACTTTCCCACTGGCATAATGTAGTTTCCCTGTGCCTTTTCTATAAATATTTGCATGGTAATTTTTCTAATGAGTTTTCCTCTTTATGTTCCTGCCACAATTTAAGATTTGGGGGGTGGGGCTTTCATTAATAACATTATTTCGTTTAGTTTTGTAAATAGAATTTTGAACATTGTAAATAAGGCTCGAATTTTAAAAATTGTTGTTTTATCTCTCACCCACCAAGAGAAATTGTAAATATGGGGACTTGTTAGGAGAGCATTGAGACATTGTCTTATTATGGTGACTGTAGAAAGAATGGCAAATAAGAATGTGTTGTTTTGGTGTAAGGAATATTATAGTGTGTTTGGATCAGGGATTGTGGTTAGCTAAGTAAGTCCCTAGGTTATGACAGTCCTGACCTATGATGATTTGTGGTCATGATGCAATCTCCATTAATCTTATTTTGATTTATGCTGCGGTGGAAGACTTCATCATTTCATCTACCAAGAGCCAATGACATCACTGGCAATAAATATACAAGCAGCTTAAAACAATTTAATTTCATTATATGTATTATACTTATGGCCTCTATGTCTCATCTTTTTAGTCCTAATTTTGTTAACATGTCATAGAAATGCGTTGTTATGTCATAGATTATTACTGAACTATTGCATTAGCATGTGAGTGATGCAAATGCTTATTTATAGAAAATCACAGGTACGTTACAACTTACATGAAAAAAACACATTACAGCATATCGTAGGAACAGAACAGTTGTAAGTAAAGACACCCCACCACAATATAAGACAGATAAAGACCAGACTTCCCTGTCCCCACTTTTGGCCTTGTACCCCATTTTCTCTAATTTTATGGAAATAAATATTGCTTTCCTCTTTGGTACCTCAACTTTACGAATCTAACCATAGTACTAGATTGGCAGTTAGGTCTTATCATTTAACTGATGAGATTCCTAGATGTGACCATAAATTCTATTCTAATATTTTCTGTCACAATTCCCATTTGTGGAACACTCTTCTGGTTTCTTGCTTTCCTGTCAATTATGATCTTCAAAAAGTTAAATGCAATGTCAATCTTTTGTCTGCTTAATTCCTGTTTTTTTTATTGTTCTCTCTTCTTAATGTTTTTCTTTTTCTCATATTATTTCACACTCAGTAACCCTTTAGCTTTATTGCCTTGCATGGGGTGAAATAAAAAAAAAAAAGAAAAAAAAGAAAAGGGGCTTTTTATCCTGATGAAATGACAATGCAACTAAATCCCATAACACTGGGGAAAAATAAAATCGAGGTTCTCAATTTACCTGTAAAGCCAGTGGTCCCCTTGGCTAAAAATTCAACATCAACATCTGAAAAATAAAAATTTTACAAATAATTGATACAACTATAAGTAAATAAATCAAATATACACAATATATCAATACTTAGGTTAATTTTCATAAAAACCAAGAGAAGACCTTAATTTCATCTTTTAGAATTAAGTAAGTAAAATATCCAAATTTGAAATCCTATTGAATATTGTCCTCAAAATTAGGAACCAAAGAGGACATACCACTTTCCATTTTGATCTTGCACATGTAATACTCAAGAATTTCCTTTCTGCCTTTTAAATCTGGTGGGAAGACTCTCACTTCAACATCAAAACGACCAGGACGTAAAAGTGCTCTTCAAAAACAAGAAAAGAAAAGGTGTTAAGAGGAAAAAATTATTGTTGTTAAATAAGAACACAAATGAGTGCTGAAAGTTTTTGCATAACCTACTTCCCAAAATCAGTATTTCAATGACCAACATAGTGATTCTGGGAAGTGTGTGAGGTTAAAAGATTTTCAGCACCCTATTGAATTATAATTGCTTAGTTGGTAGCAAATGGCTTACTTAACTCCCATTATTACAAAAAGAGAGTATATATATTTTATAATATTTTTAGATCTTTTAGAATCAAATAAGTGTACAGCTTGAAGACAATAGCAAATAAAAATACATTTCACACAAAGAACAATTTTTTGTGTATCTAAAATGAAAGGAAAATGACTAAATACAAGAGAGTGCTGGAAAGTTCTCAGCTTGATTCAATTTCCAAATGAGTAAACACCAGAAAGTTTTTAGGAAGAGCTTCTTGATTAGACTGAGATCTTTTCAGCAAGCTCTTGTAGAGTTTAAAAAAAAAAAAAAAAAAAAAATGCATATGGATTTTTAAGTTTTCCAGGAAATTTAAATCTCAATTTTTCCAGATAAATTAATTTTGGCAAACCCGGTCACTGCTGGATAAACAATTTGTTTTTTTTTTTTTTTTTTAAATTTCTTAGCAAGTAGTAGAGAGAGGATGATAATGTAGTTTATGAAAAGAAAATGGAATCAACAACTCACTTGTCAAGGTTGTCTCTTCTGTTTGTGGCACCTAAAACAATAACTCCTTCATTTTGATGAAATCTGAAAGAAAATCGATACAAACATTGACAATTTGAAAAAATAAAATAGATTAGTAAGAAAGTTCTGTTTTGTCATGACAATTTTAACATTATTGCTTGATTATATAAAGTAAAAGTTATGCATATAAGTTATTGTTTTAATCTTTTCTTTTTTTTTGTTCGTTTTATTAGACATTAAAAAGATGTCGGTAGATAATTAGTCCCTTAGTACATTACATTCAATTTCACTAGTTATTTAAAAAATAAAAAAATAAAAAAATTTACATAGAAAAATAATCTTTGAAATACAAAAAACAGCTATTCTGGATAGACAGCAAAAAAAAAAAAAAAAAAAATCACTTGTTTTTAATAAAGTTAGAACTAAACACCCCTAATGCCATCTAATAGTAAAAACTGAAATAACTTTTGGGACTAATATTTTTTTTAAATTGGAAGTAACTTTTGAAAAGATTTTAAAATTTTGTGATGCTCTCTTAATACTATTACCCACAAATGTCTCCACAGATCCCATAAAAAAAAAAAAAAAAAAAAAAAAATCACCCAAACACTTACCCATCCATCTCTGAGAGCAGTTGATTGATTGTTTGATTTGCATAAGGATGGATCTGGGAACTTGTTCGCTTAGCACCAACTGTATCAATTTCATCAATGAAAATCACACAGGGTGCTCTCATTTTACCAGCAGCTGTATAAGAAAGATTACATGATGAACAACAAAAATCACACAATAGATTTAAAAACAAAAAAAATTCTAACAGGAAGTAATATAATCATTTCATGCCTTTTTAGGAACACACTTCTATCATTTGTCTTTACTGTTTTAGGTAATTGTTATTCGTGTGTGTAATGAGAAAAAAATGAATACAGGTCTGAAGAAGTCATTGAATTAAAGTGAATGCAAGTGGATTTGACTCAATAAGTTAATAATGATTCTCAATGCAGGACCAGTGTTAGGGTTTCCCCTTCTCCAAAACTTTGATACAGGGCCCCTCCCTCTATGACATATCAATTTCAAAGTTACCAAACCTGAGGGCCACAAACCCTTGAAAATCTGGGAAATCCAATTTAAATGAAAATTTCGGTACATATTCATTAATTATTTAATTTTATAATAAACAGGATTTTTTATTTTTAAAAAAATCTGATAAAATGTTATTCTTTTTGTAATAACCACCAATATTTTCATAACTAAATTTTACTTGAAATAAAATGTTTAAGTCATAATTTTTTACATTTCCATAAAAATTAATTGTAGACACATCTCCACTGAAAAAAAAAAAAAAAAAAAAATCCCAACTCAACCCAAACGAGATTGTCTTAAAAATTTGTTTTAAAAAACAGTAAGTCAGTTTTCGGGAAATTTTTCATGTGTTGAAATCTTTAAACATTTATATTTTTTTTAAGCGATCATTTTCTCAATATTATCTTTCTTGAAATCTAAAAATATAGGGACTAGAAATTTTATTTTAATTACTAGCTGTGAACTTCTGTTAGTATTATTATTAGTAAAAAAAAAAAAAAAAAAAAAACAAAACAAACAACGGAGATCCTCCTTAGTGGATAATCTCAGAATAAAAAATGATTTTATCAAGATATATTACCCTCTTAAATGATTTAAAAGAACTGTTCAAAAAAAAAAAAAAAAAAAAAAAAAAAATTACAATTTAAAAAAATAAGTGCTAGTGAAATTAGCACTTCTGCCCTCCACCTCTCCAGTAGGCATCTTAATACTTTGCTTAGCTTTTTGAAGGCATCATCTTCTATTCCAATGTGCATTTGGATTTCAGTGTCATATTTTTCATTCTGTTAAAACACTTCCCAGATATTTAAACTTCTGTACTACTTGTTTGATGTTGACATCCCAATTTGTAACTCTCATTTCAGGCATTTTTGCTTGTTGACAATCGTATATTGTTTTACAATTGAGGGTTAGTCTTTTCTAGAAAGGGTTCCATTCATACTATTTTGGCTGTGTTTCCATAATTGAGTGATTAATTGGTCGGTTATTTAACAAGCATATCAACCACTATGGATCATTAATGCCAAAACAGTTGGTTGATTTTGTTCAATGGCATGACAATATTCATGGATCATTCAATGTTGAAATCCAAATATTTTGTATGCAACTTTATACTTTCATGGTAGATGTATTTTTTTTTTTTGAGATATAATTTATAGATAATAAGATGTAGTGTGCTTTCTTCTATTAATAGAAGCAGCCTATTTCTTTCAGGAAGCCTATTATTTGAGAAACAGATACATTTTTGAAAAGCATATTGAGGTTTTGTACATCATATTTGTCGTGCATTTTTTGCAGTCTATTAGGATATACTTGCAATTCATCACAAGAGATGCACTGAGGTGCAGTTTTTGTTTTGAGTAAGTATTTGTGTATAAGATGCATATGTCAAATTCAGCTTCTTCTTAGCACTAAGCCCTGTCTTCGATCAAGTAATGGTTTTCTATTTTTCAGTCTGTCAACTAATGTTTGTACAGTTTGTTTGGAAACATATCCCAAATTGTTTGCCATTTTCTGTTAATGTATTCTGCGATCTTATTTTTGTAATCTGTCTAATCTTGGTTATTGCCATTTTGGCTGACTCCTTTGCTACTGCATCAACTTTCTGATTTCCCTTAATGCCTTCATGACCAAGAAGCCAGGCCATGATTATATAAAATTAAAAAAAGAACAAAAACTATTATGTCAGTGATTGCAGATTAGCAGTAGTGGTTTTGATTCTCCATTCTTGTTGATTACAGAAGGTCCTCAGGTTACATCGGACCCGACGTACAGCATTTCGTTGTTACAGCGCCATCTCCCATTAACTTGTTACTGCTGTGTATGTGCTCCATGTGTTTATTTTTTATTTATCTACCACAGGAGTAAAGGTCAGGAATTGTTCTCTTTTGTTATTTTTTATTGTTTCACTTCATTACTGTACTTTACTCTGTACTGTATGTGTATGTGCTTCATGTGAGCAACGTGGGTGCTTATCTAGGTGAGTTCCAACCTATGTCGAAAATCAGGTTACATCACGCTGTAGCAATAGATCTCTGACATAAGTCGAGGATCCCCTGTACTTGTTTTCATTGCTCAATCTATCAATGTGATGCACCCAAGAACCGAGTGCATAACACTGCAGGGAAGACTGGCTTGTTGCTCTGGTCACGAAATGTAGCACTAAATGCTGTGGGATTTTCTATGGTAAGCTCAAAATATAGAATCCTTGGTTGTTCACTATATCTGGGTGGGGATCTCTTTGCTGCTGCATTCTTTTTTTTTTTTCCTTAATTTTTGTTTATGGCATAGATGACAGGAGTAGATATGTTTGTCTATCATTCGGTACACATTCCTCCCTGGTCTTTTGAACAGGAGTAGAGGTTTATCTCTTGTTTTCTGTTTAGGATTGGGTTTCTGGTTCCTTATAAAGTCTTCTCATTCTCTTTCACTCCCAGTAGCCCCTTGTGTCTTAGTGGCATTATCACCTTTCTTGGGGTCAATTGATTACAAAAGTAAAAAGGTAGTAGTGTAGTAGTAGTAGCATAATAGTCAGGTGTGTTAATCAGTTGTTCTGGTCACTTGGTTTGACAATGTTCTGGATAGAAGAATCCCCCACCTATGTTAGGTTTAGATAAAATCTTTAGTTTTAAGCTCAGGGTTGAAACATAACAGCTATATGTCACACAAGACTAAAGTTGGCAGATTCCCAAGATTGATCAACATCATGAAAGAATGATGAAAAAAAAGACTGCAATAATTCAATATTTTAACAAAAAAATTTATTTTAGCTGTCGATTATATTGAGGTTTAAAACTAATGTCTCCCAATTCCAATGCCTGACAGTTGTTTGAACTTTGATTCACTTGTTCTCTTTCCAAGAGCCAAAACAATATTGAGGATTGTAAAATTCTAAAAAGAATTGGAGTTTTGTTATGGCTCAGTGGGTTTTTTTTCTCTTTGGTAGAAATTCTTCAGCCTTTCTTTTTCCATCCAACATAAAATGTATAAGTCCATGTTTTAAAAATAAAATTGACATGATTATGTGACAAAATGAACTCATTAATAAATATTTTTTAATTACTGGTAACAAAGTAAAGGCAGTTTTTTTTTTTTTACTATCAACTGCAACTGTACAAGAGAATGAAGAAAAGCAGAACAATATTCTTCAGACAAAAGCATAGGAATGTTTGGCATTCTTACCAAATAACTGTCTAACTCTTTTTGCACCTGTTCCAACAAAAATCTCATCAAACTCTGAGCCTGAGGCATGGAAAAATGGGACACCAGCTTCACCTGAGAAAAAGAAAAGCTTACTCTTTAAATCTCATTATAAAAACGTGTTGCATTTAAGATATACACATTTATTTTTCTGATCTTCCTTTAGTGCAAAAGTTTGTCTTAAAGGTTATATAAATTTGAGGGTAAATTTAACTGGAGAAGAAACTAAGATATATAAAAAAACATCACAGTATCTTTATTATATGTAATTTTTATATAATATCATATAATAATAATAATAATAATTATAATAATTATATTATATATAATAATTATAATAATTATATTATATATAAAAATAATTATTATTATGATGATGATGAGGAGGAGTGTATGTTAGGTTTCCTGCTTTGTATCCTGGAAAGCAGAGTTTAAACTATGGCCCTTACAACCTATAGGAGAATTGTCATTCAATTGATAGCACTTTTCTTAGTATATGGGATGTTCCTAGCAGGGCGATCTTCTGGGGAACTTGGATGTTGAACTTAACCTGGGACACTGTTATTAAATTTGTCCATACCTTGTCTCATGAGGCCCAGAGCTCCTATTACTATTGGTACAGTCTCAGTCTTCATTCACCACATCCTGTTAATTTCGATCTCTAGGTCCATGCCTTTGGGCAATTTCTTGATAGTTTTTATGAAGATATTTCTCTCAGATGGTACTACTATTGGCTTTTATTTCCCTGTCAGTTTGAATTGGCATCTCCCAGAAGATAGTTACATTGTTATTATTATACATAATTATGTTATATTATTATATATAACTAATTATATAATTGTTATTATAATTAATTATATATTTATTATTCACATATATAAATAGCATATGCAATGTAAGAAAAATCTATTAGTATGACCAAATATAAATAACATATCCTAAAACTATTCCCAGTACCAAAAATTGATTTCTATTTTAAGTCTTTATGACCATTATACCAAATGCCAAGGTCAAAATTGTTTGTCAAATCTAAATCCAAGGCCTACTTACTCCTGTTGGAGAAACCATGTTGTCAGGAGTGTAGTCGTACTCACTATGCTTGGCTAATTGCGGGCTGGTGAGGCTATTTAACTGGAGATTTTGAATTCAGAGTTATCCTTCTTCTAGGATCGGTTGTCATCCAAGGCTATAGGACCCAGTCTGTCCTGCTATTTACTCATAGTTGGTGGGAGAAAAGATGGATTCATACCTTTCCCAAAGGTATTTACATGTAAATGAATGTAATGAACTCAACTGGAATTCAAACTGCTCTCCAATTCTTCAATCTGAGCCACTATCCATTACTCTTCAGTCTTGATTGTCATAAATTCTGATAACAAAAAAAATTTGTTACCAAGAATTTTATAGATTGGTAAATTTAGTGGTTATATTTTGGTTAAAAATGAATATTTAACAATTCCAGAGTTTGATTGATACAAAAGAATTTAAAAAAACAATTACATCAGAAACTACTTACCTGCAACAGCTCGTGCTAAAAGAGTTTTACCAATACCTGGAGGTCCAACTAACAAGACACCTAAAAAAAAAAAAAAAAAAGTTTAAAATTCAACATTGCAAAAATGTATAAAAAGCAAAAGCAGACTTGTTTCATATATTAGAAATATAAACATATGATCATTCATTTCAAGTGAAGCCTATGTGTTATGCATTTTGTAATATTGTATCTGGTTGAAAGGAAAGTTCTCCTAGTTTACTGAATGTTAAATTTAAAAACTACAAGGTTTTCTTCCAACCAAATATAAAGTAATATTTATGAAGAAAATTATCTGAAGATACTGATAGATAATGTCTAACCTTTTGGCAGCTTTGCACCAAGAGCTGTGAACTTTTCTGGATTTTTTAAATATTCAACAATGTCTTTAAGTTCTTGCTTGGCTTCCTCAACCTAAAAATAAAACGAGAGATACAAAATAAGAAAAACTAGTTTGGTCTTAATTATAAAGAATTAAAACCTTTAATTATAAAGAATTAAAACATTATTATTCATTTTTGACAAGTATTTACTTTCAACATACTTTTTTTAGTTTTTAGTTACTTTTTTTTTTTTTTTTTAAAAAAATCAAAATCTGCCAGTCTATGACTGAATGATTAAAAAGATTCAAAATCAGGGTAGCATTTTTTAACTGCTAAGGTACAAGAACAATTCATCACCATATTTGGTTTTACACTAGTAGCAGTAGTATTATATTTATTTGTATCAATAGATGGTAGTAAGTAAACTGTGCAAGATCACCAAGAGCTCATCTTTTATTTCTAATACTGTAAAGTTAGAGGATTATTTTATAAGTAAATTTTGCATTGAAAATTTTAAATAAAGTATATTTGAAAAAAAATACAAAAAAAACCGTTTTAGCTTTTCTGTAGAAGCCCTTAGAATTTTTATATTAATGACTTCAAAATGAAACTATTTTTATTTAACTATCATAGGAAAACCTTTCTTCTTCCTATCAGCATGGTTGATGCTCAACTTCATGAGAGCATCTCACTGCACCTTCTTAGTGTCACGTTTTCCACTGACCTTGAGGTGGAACAGCTACATTAAATCAATAGCTGGCTCTACTGCAAGGAAAGTTGATTCTTTGTGTCGTGCCAGAAGGTTTTCCTTGTCTGAGTCCATCCTTCACATCTACAAATCTACCATTTGTCCATGCATTGAATACTGTTGCCATATATGGTCTGGTGCCCCTGCTGTTCATCTCGAGGTTCTCAACAAAATCCAAAGACGGATATGCAATGTGATCGGTCATGACTTGGCATATCAACTCCAGTCACTTTCCCCACAGACGTGATGTGGCTTCCCTGTCTTTTCTACAAATGTTTTCATGGCAACTGCTCTGATGAGCTATTTTCCTTGGTACCCCAACTGCATGAATTTAAGCATGCTACTAGGTTGGCATCTAGGTCCCACCCTTTTATTGTCAAAACAATTAAATGTAACTGCCTCTTCTACTCCAACAGTTTCTTCTCTCGCACTTCCAGACAGTGGAAATCAACCCCCCCCCTAGATCCAGTCTTTTCTCTTACTTTCACTCTCTGAAACCTCTTGCATACTAGTGGCACTCCTACCTCCTAAAAAAAAAAAAAAAACAAAACTAAATGAATGTGTACTTACCCCTTTGACATCATCAAAAGTTACTGTAATGTCTTCTGGGTTCACTTCGTACTGATCTCTATTCAATACACCAAAGCCACGGATTCCAGCTATGAAAGTAAATAATAGTTGTAATGATAATAAAGCTGTTCAAACTGATAAGAAAAGGAAATTTTTTCTTCCAATTATTATTATTATTATTATGTCGTTCACATATTTGAGGTAAAAAAAAAAAAAAATAAAAAAAAAAGATGCAAACAGTCACAACCATCTGCAACAGCTGTGCTATGGACTGCATCATAAAAATTGGCTTGTTTAATCATAGTTGATACTGAGTGCACACCATAGTCTAACTAGACAGATGAAAGCAAAGAAACAAATTTTTTTTTTTTTTTTTTTTTTAAATAAAAGAGTCATGTAAAAAATTCTGGAAACATTACAGAAATCAAGTTCATTTTGGATATAATAATAATAATAAAAAAAAACAAAAGAAAATGATAACATCCATTGATAATGATGGAAGGTTGTTTATTTGGCTTCATGCACAAAAGTGCAGCAAAGTAGATAAATACAAAATTGTTAATGAATCCTAGCAAAAAATCAAAGCTTTTTTCTTTCTTTAAATCAACTCTCAAAATACTCAAATTTTAAATGTTTGTCTTCTACACATGACATATTTTACAAACTGATTTTTATGCAGGTTGCCATCATCAATAAATATATTTCATCATTTTGAATAAAATGGTTTCATATTTTACAGATGAGGAGCTAATCCAAGATAACAACAAAGGAAATACTTACTCCCACCAACACTTCCCAACACTTGTATCACCTGCAGAATGATCCAAAGGAGAAATAAGTAGAAGAACACCCGGAAAATACGATTGACCATTGTGTTCTTGATATCAGGCTCTCGACGTTCTCGAGCAGTATATCCTTCAGCAAATGCAACCTTGAGTTTTTCTTTGAATTCAGGATTTGTGTCATAATCGTCAACCAGGGACTTAAAATGGTCCGTCTTTTTGGAAGCTTTTACGGATTCAGGAAATAGTCTTTCATAAACCTGGTAAAAAAAAAAAAAAAAAAAAAAAAAAAAAGATTCAAAGTTGCATTTGAAAGAAAAAAAAAATTAAATATTGTAGGCAGGAGAGGATTTTTTAAAATAATTAAGCACATACACTAAATAGATATTCATAAGTGTTCAAGTTTCTATAAAGTTTTTATTCAAGTTTCTTTTTAATGGAAGAGTTAAAATATAGCCATAAAAATTAAAAGCATCCCCATAAAATAAATAAGAAAATTGTGTATTTTCAAAACTGAATGTTGTAACATTTCGAAAGAAAGAAAAAAATTATTTTCTAAGACTTAAAATCAATACAAATCTTATTTTAAGCCCTCTGCTCTATCAATGAATGGTATTGGATTACTCAACAGATATGAAAGGCATTCTATATTATTCAAATCTTGAATACAAAATACATATTTAACAGCAATATGCAGAATTTTTGCCAGATTTTACGATAAAAAAAGTGTCATTAACACTTGATAACAATTCATAGAAATGGATACTGACCGAGCGTCGAAGATCTTCCAAGGAAGAATTGTGCAAAGATCCTTTTCCAATTCCTGTTTTTCCAGTACTGCGATGAGTTTTAAACATTCTCGTTTGTTGCTGAGCAACTGAAAAGGAGAGAAAAAATTTTTTTTCTTTTTAATCTTAACATTCAGTCATGGGAGTTGATTTTGGATCAGATGACAGCTAAAACTTTTAGCAGAATGCATTTAGAATGGAAAAAAATAAATTCTACAGTAAAATAAATCATCAAAACTAAAGTATCTTTATTTTATGCCTAGTAAAGATATGTTGGTTGTTATACACACAACGTTTCAGCCATTGTAATTTCTGGCTTTCTTCAGACCTCTTCCAAATATAACCTACTCGGAATTTTGAACTAAACTGAAGAAGGTGGGAGGAGCACAATGGGTGAAACTATGATTTAACAATTAATATATGTATACCAGTTTCAAGGCAGAGACATATTAGTAGGCATCTGCCAATCTTGGGAAACTATGGGGTCTGCTTCTTTGATGATTAGCTAATCCATGTTGCATTTATGTTTCTTCAACATGCACAGTACAATAAGGCTGAACAGACCTTAGTTACAGTTATATTATCAAGATGTTACCTTTTTGATAAATTAACCCTGGTGAGATTCAAACCCAGGGTGTAATGTTGGAGCACTGATGTTCTAACCACTCAACCATACACCAATATATGCAAAGACATATGAGAATAATTTCCCATCTCAAAAATTTTGATATAAATCATGGTGTGCTTTACTAAAGGTCAGGTCATAGTGCAACTCACCCAGAACTGGAGGCCTATCTCAAATCTTGTTTCACTGTTGTAGTTGGCTTAAGAATTTTTTGCTTTTACATTTAGAATAACTGTAATTAATTTAGTATAAAATTTACTTATTTCCTTTGGACTTTCTATATTATTTTATTTTTGCATTGCAATAAGAAAATATATATATATATATATGTACAAAATTTACTAAAAAAAATAATTTAGAAAACTGGGTCATGTTACATTAATGTTTTTCACTAAAATTTAATATCCTCCTCTATAAAATCCTTATTCATAAAAGCAAATAAACTAATGATCAACTTTATTTTTGTGTAATCTTTATTTCTAACAAACGAAAAAATTATGTGTAATTTTTACAATGCTTCTTATACTAAAATGTTAACATTTTAATATTACTAGATTTAAAAAAAAAAAAAAAAAAAATTAATCCCATTTTTTTTCTAGTTTTTCTTATTACAAATGTTACAAACTCTTGCTCAAGAAATTTAATTTTAGTGTATTGTTGTTTAATTTTTAACAGATTTCTAAAGTATTTTATTTTTTATTTGATTGTTTTGCAAAATTTAAAAAATTCTATTGTTACATAATATTAATTTAATATTTTTCAGCGTTTATAACAAATATAGTGATAAAATGTAAATTTTTATGAGTAATTTGTGTTTTTTCTTTCTAAAAGATATTTAAAAGAAAGCATGTTGAATTTAAATTTAGTTTACCATAAAAAAACAGAACAAAATAGGAGTAAACAAAATTATACTAAAAACTTAATGAAAAATCATTTATTAAGAATGTTACTATGTAAAGTTAACATTGTAATTAAATTCAATAAATTTAACCTGATAACTTTATATATTGTAAACAAGATTTACTTCTATAATCATAAAAAATACATTTATGACAAAATCTTTTTATGTGCCATGTCCTTTCAGGATATGGGCGATCATGGCTCTCCACCTCCCTCTATCCCTTGCAGCTCTCAACAAGTTCCTTCCCTCTGCTTCCTCCCCCAGACCACATTCTGTCATCCACCTGCTCAAACTCACCATAACAAAATAAGTCAGCATAATAGTTACTTTATTTCTAAACAATGAAATAAAGAAGTTACTTTCATGTTTTATTTTGTTTCAGATGCATTTTTTTTTCCCATTAAAACAGTTTTAGTAATTAATTCAACAATTAAAATGCATATAACATTTCGTACATTCATGTTAACAGAGTTGGAAGTGATGGATCCAAATTTTCACCAAATTACATATTAATCATAATAAGACATTATATATATATATATATATATATATATATATATATATATTACAGGTAATAGATCCATTGGTATATAATCAGGTGGATCCTAGTAACATTAATTATTAAAACTGATCCACAGAGAGCTTGATGTATTTATTATAACAGAGTGTGTATATATATATATATATATATATATATATATATATATATATATATTACAGGTAATAGATCCATTGGTATATAATCAGGTGGATCCTAGTAACATTAATTATTAAAACTGATCCACAGAGAGCTTGATGTATTTATTATAACAGAGTGTGTATATATATATATATATATATATATATATTTTTTTTTACAGCAAAAAATAAAAAAAATAAAAAATTACTTCAACATATTTCAAACAAATATATATTGAGATAAAGGGGACCAACTTTTTAAGACAAATTAATTATTCTCTTAATCTCTACTTTTTTCTTTTAAGCCAACTGCAGCAGCTAACTCTTACAAACCCAAAATGAAACTAAAAATGTTTGCACCAAGTAAAATGATGAGATTTGAAATTGGCCTTTCAGTTCTAGGTGAGTGATGTACTATGACTTGGCCTTCAGTAAAACCTGCCATGATATAAATTAAAGTATCTTTACAAATGTTTTTATATTGTGGGGGAAAAAAAGACAATTATACATATCTACTTAATGACTTTTAATAAATAAAGAGTTTCTGCAAAGTCATTTTATACTTTTGTCTATAAATGTTTTAAGGATCACAATGCCAGTAATATAACATCCAAAATCTTTACTTAAAAATGGCAAAATCTATAGAATGTATAATGTTGTATGCTCTTGATCACCAATCAAGAGCATACACAAAACCTTAATATGGACACAGAGAAATATTGGGAGAAAGAAAGAAAGAAAGATCAATCCCCTCTCTATCCAAAATCTTAAACAATTTAGAGAGTTGAATTAAGAATCACACAAAGCCAATATTAGGCCAACTCATGTTATACCAGGTACAACTTGATTTGGCTATGTTTCTTGTGATTTTGGTGGGAGAGATAACTGATAAATAACAACTTTCCGAACATTCCACCTGGTTTTAATTGGTAAATTCTGTTTTATTGTTTATTATTTTAAACTTATCAACTATCTTCTTTGATAAGGATTAATTGAAAAGCTGGTCACTAAAGATTTATGCCATTTATTTTTTTTTTTTCAACAGTAAGCTTCAACACATCTCCATGTCAAGCTGTATGTAAATTTTGTATCATCAGGAAATTGTTTAAATTATTAGAATCAAAATCCATTAAAAATTGATTGAAAAAAGTTAATTGTGTTTTGTAAAGAATCAAATGACCGACTTTGCAAAAAATTAATATTTACATAAAAGGTAGGTTTTAATTTGACATGCAAAAAAAAAAAAAAAAAAAAAAAAAAAAAAAGGGTTAAACCTTGGCAATTCAAAAGAAATAAGAACAGTCAGTCATTTAAAATGTGCTGGTAGGCAGGGAGTCATAAGTGAGACCAAAGGCAGAATAAGAAATGTTAACCAAAGATGAAATAATAGAGCAGAAAATAAATTTGAACATGCAGAGTTATTGTTCTACTGTCCACTCTTGAACAATTTGCACTAAATCTTTTAAGACAAAAAAATAAAAAAAAAAATAAAAGAAAAAAAGTCATAACTTACATGCATTAGTGAGTCCATTTTTAAGTAAATGGTTGAGATTATGATTACTGAATATAGAAGCTGTTCCACAACCAAGTTTCAGTTTCAAGTGCTGCTCTGGAAATCCTGACAAAAAAAGAAAAAAAAAAAAAAAAAAAAAAAAAAAAAAAGATTATATTAGGATTTAAAAATTATTGATTCCATTATCATTATTTTTCTTTTACTGCATAATGAAAACTCAGAGTCTAGTTTGGCTTAATGTGCCTTTATTGAACGTAACTGAAGTGTCTTGCTCTTTTGGCTAAGACGGTGTGTCTTATACAAATCATATGATGGGGTTAGGTAATCGGGTTGTCTTACCACATTCTACCTGGCTTTGTTTTCTCCTATTACAACACAAAATTATCCAGTTGACTGGATCTCTTGACAATTCTCTGGGATTGTCTTGGTGGCAGCTGATATGAGCTTTCAGGTATTATGGGAACAGTTGGCCAGAAGTATTTTGTTTCATATTGTTTTTGTCTCCTTCTTGGAATAGGACGCTATGATTCTGAAAGGTGATTATCAGAGGCTGTGGTAGTATGCTCTCGTTTAGAGGGAGCTATTCTGGTATCGATCTCTGAATTGTCTGTCACTATTGGACCTTGTTCCTCAGGAGAATCCAATGGCATTATGCCATCTTTCCTATCGAGAGAGAGAGATATTGCTTCTGGGGAGAGCTGCTTCTCCCTATGGTTTGATAATTCATTGGCAGGGGCCAAATCTCTGAGGGGAATGCTTGATTGTCTCCTGTCGGGGGTGATAGATGTACACATAGGGTGGGTTTGCCTTGAGCAGTTCCACCTTATTCACAGGAGAATCATACTTGCTTTGTTGAACATGGTTTCCAAGTAAAACAGTAACCGGCTTGCCTTGGAAATTAAAAAAACTTTCATGAGGTGTTGCATTAGTTCTTGTACATAATAGTGTTCCTGTAGTGTAGAACCTTGGTTATTATGTCTCCCCAATGTCTAATTGGAAGGTTTTGGTTTTCAAGTGCTAACTGTATGGTTTTCTATATTATGCCATTGTATCTTTCACACTGTCCATTCCCTTGAGGATTGTATGGGGTAGTCTGGCTTATGGCCAATTCCTGTACGAATAGGAATCTTGTTAGTTGGTCAGGCATAAAAGAGGTCCTGTGATCTGTATGAATATAAACTAGCACTCTGAATATTGAGAACAGTGTGTAAAGATAATGTATGACCGTTGTTGCACTTAAATCTGGATAGGGAGAAGCAAAAGCGCAGGTAATTTAGCTAGGTAACAATAAACTTATATGATCAAAATATTAATGAAGATTTTTTTTTTTATTTCTGTGATAGCTATATTAAAATGATTTGTGAATTCATAAAATAATGGTTGAATCATTAGAAAAATTTAAAGCTTTAAAAGACAAGCTCACCTCAAGATTTCTAAAGTGTTTGATTAAAACCCGCAATATTGTAGTTACTCAGTCTTAAATGAAAAACAGTTGTAATGAACATTTGCTGTGGTCTTGTAAATGAAGCAATTTATTTTATGATTACTTGTTAGATTAAATATGGTTTTTGATCTACAAACTTTAAAAATTGAGAGTTCAAACATGTTTTATTCACTGATGTACAAATATTGCTGAGGGACTCAAATTTCTTCCTTTTTTTCTTTTATAATATTAGACAAAACATGTGTATTAATCTTCTAACCGTGGAGAATTCTTTAAAAATATATGCATTTCAAAAAACCACAATAATTAAACTTTTATGATAAACAATAAATGACTCAATTGATGCACTGTGTCTCAGAATGGTTATAATTCTTGGCTTTTTTGATATTACAGGTTGCATAAAAATTATCTGTAATTAAGCAAAATAGAGGATTCAACCTATGAGGTGAAAGACATGCCGAAAAGTTCTAAGCTTGACCCACTTTCTCAAATCTGACCAAATGATCCTGTCATCAGATATTTTTTTGGAAGAGCCTCTTAATCAGGGCAAGAGATTTTTGGTACTATCTTGTGGTCCTGATGGTGACGGTCTTCTGGCCCTTGAATCCTACTTTTTATGCATAGGGGAGGTCAAGGCTCAGCAGGGTTTTCCAATCTGTGGCAGGTGGTACCCCACAGTGTTCTGTCGGCTTATAAAAAATTGAAACTCCGGTAAGTTGTTTTTGAAAACTTGTCAAAATTGTGGCCAGATTTGTTTTGGTGAATGACTAGTGCATTTAAAATGTTATGCATCATATATGTGCAATGTTCATATACTCTTTTTTTTTTCCTTTAAGGAGAGAAAAAGGATTTACTATGAAGAAAATCCATTGAGAGAACACTGATCTCACAGTTCCTGAAGATAAACCCAAGACCAGGCTCATACATAATATCACCAATCATTGCAAAAGCAATAGTGGCAATATGGTATGCAAGCAAATAGAGAGACGAACAGTGGGTTAGTTTCAAGTCCAGCAGAGACTGGCAGCTCTAGTAAGAAAAAAAAAAAAAAAGTTTTGTTCTTCCATTATGACTAGAAGATGTCAACCTCATATATATATATATATATATATATATATATATATATATAGGGGTATGGAGAAAATGCAAAAAAACAAAAAACAAAAACGAAAAACACAAAACGAAGTGTGAAACTCTTTTATACAGTGGTGGTGGGGAAAAAAAAAAAAAAAAGCTATAATTTTCTTACCTGATCTATTTTCAAAAAAAGTCTCAGCAGATATGTGTGATTCCAGCCATTTTGATTGGTTACTTTTAAAGCACGATGTGTTTAGAAGAGCCAAAACTGGGGACAATTCAGTAACAGAAATGTCTGTAGGTATATCAAGAAATCCACTGTTTTTAGAGACTGTAGCTAGCAAGGGTTTGTCCTTAAAGAAAAGAGAATTAGAAATACTTAATGCTTTCATTAAGAAGTTGTAATTAAAAAAAACAAAAATCAAAATTCTTTTCAATTCATTTATAATGTTCATTAAAAATTAAACTAAAAGAAAATTGTTCTTTTTATCATGATCACATACAGAATTTCATAGCAATCAACCTTGTGGTTTAAATGAGAGAATACTGAAAAGATCTTCATGTAACCAGCTTCCTGAAATCTGACCAAAGTTTTATTTTGGAAGAGCTTTTTGGTTAGTTCAAGAAATTTTGATCACCCCCCCTTGTATAATCGCAAGCAGCAAAAGAGAAAAATGAAACATTTAAATCAATTTCCTTTTCAATTTTCTCAAGTGAAATCAAATTTGCCCATTTCTTCTCTCATAACAATTAAACACAGCAATATACACACTTATTTTACACATATCAGGTCATCCCATAAGTTCTGTCCGAATTTTGAATAAAGAAAACAAGTGACCAAATGTTACATTTAATTACAGATTCAATCAACAATGTATTTTTCCTGATTATCTATGACTTCCTTCCATCTATTAACAAGCTTTCATTACTGTAAAATTCTTTTGGCTTTGATTCGAAGAACTCACAAATGTCAGTTTTAACCTCTTCCTGAGTTACAAAAGCTGTTTTTACCAAATGATTCTGTAAGCTACGAAACAAATGGTAGTCTGAAGGAGCAAGATCGGGAGAATAAGGTGGATGAGGAATTTTCTCCCAACCAAATTCTTCGATCTTTTGTAACGTGATTCTTGCTGTGTGTGGTCGCATATTGTCCTGATGAAACATCACCTCTTTTTGATTCACTAGAGCAGGTCTTTTTTTTCCTCAAAGCTTGGTTCAAACGCTCTAATTGCTGACAGTATATTTGAGTATTAAATGTTGCATTAGGTGGTAAGAATTCAAAGTGGATTATTCCTTGGCGATCCCACCAGATTGAAAGAAGAACCTTTTGTCCATGAAGTTCCCTTCTCGGCTGTGGCTGGGGTCCTTCCCCTTTACCAAGCCACTGTCTACGATGCTTAACATTTCGATAAGAGATCCATTTTTCATCGCCAGTCACAAGTCTATCCAAAAAAGGTGAAACAAGTTGGCGAGAATGGAGAGAAGAGCAGATGTCAACTCAGGATTTGAGGTTGTTTTCAGACAATTCATGAGGCACCCATTTTCCAAGTTAAGGAACTTTTCCAAGTTGTTGAAGATGATGAACAATTGTATGGTTTGAACTGAGAACCACTGCCAATTCCTCAACTGATAAAGCAGGATTTTCTTCAAGGGCTGCTTCAAGAAGCTTTTCATCAAACTCAACTGGATGTCCGGTTCGATCTTCATCTTCAAGGGTGAAATCTCCACCTCTGAATTTTGCAAACCATCTTCTGCAAGTTCTTTCATCCACACATTCCTCTCCATAAACTGAGTGAATGTTTCTAGCTGCTTCGGCTGCTGAGTTTCATTTCTTGAACTCATAAAGCATTATGTGTCTCAAATGATTCTTGGGTACTTCCATGTTAGCAGGGTTTTAATCAAACAAAATTTAATTTTATTGTTCTGTGAAATAAAATTTGATCAGTTTAAATGCATCTAAACATAAAAATAATGTTCAGATCCATTAGACATTATAAAATACTCTTTAAATTTTGTTCATTTAAAAAAAAAAAAAAAAAAAAAAAAAAAAAAATTCGGACAGAACTTATGGGATGACCCGATATTTTGTTGTTCATCAACCAATTACAAATAGATATTTTACTTACTACAGAGTAGAAAATCAATAGTCTTTTGACTAAAGTTTAATATTTGAATTTTACAGTGATAATTTGCTAGAGGAAAGAGAAAAAAAAAATTTCATCCTATTTAAATCAGGTTTTTTTTTTTTTTTGTTATCTCCATTGTTCTGATAAGAAATGCAGATCTATCAGTAGCTATGCATGTATAACTTTAAATGTTCTCCAAACAAAAAGTGAGTAAAACTTATCTAATCAGATTTGGTTATCTACACCTGCTATACCTTTTCACTTTCAATTGGAGAATAGCAACTTTTAAAATAGAACACTAACTTTAAATTTGAAAATAGTAACATTTGAAATGAATAGAAAATATAAAAAATAATTCTATAGAAGAAAATGAGTTAATCTTCATTATAAATAAAGCATGTTAATTAAAGTGTCATGTTTCCCAGATTTAAGGTTTTCGTGATTTTGCCTTGGATGCCTGCAATGAAATTTGAGCACATTGCTGGTGTCACCATTGCAAGGGCAGCATTTATATAATTTTCTAGGGTCTGGAGCCTATGCTCTTTGATGCTCAAAGTTATCCCTTCTCTCATTAGAATTTCTTGGGTATTTTCAGCCAATTTCCTCTTTACTTCAGCTTTGAAAATTGACCAAACATTCTCAATTTGGTCGAGCATGGGGCTGTAAGGTCCTAGCCACAAAATTTGATCATCAGAAAATTCCTCTTCATCTAAGAATGATTCAATTTTTGAGTGGCAGGGTGCATGGTCAATGACAAGACAGACAGATTTACCATACTTTTTCTTGGCTACATGCAGAGCCTTTTTAACAAAATCACACACCAAGTTACTTGTGCACAGTCCCTGCCTGACCTCACTGTAAATTAGACCAAAGTTGTTGATACAGTCTATTACATGTATATTGGCACCTTTCGATGCTACTGCAATTGTGCTGCACCTTGTACCTTTTCAAGATTGCTCTTCCTTCACTCCTTGAAATATGGATATTGAAATTTGTTTCATCCAGAAAGAGGATTGGCAAGTTCTGGCCTTGCAATGTAAGAAGTTCCTCCACAAAACCTTTTCTATTTTCTATATTCTCTAATGTATTTGCTGTTTCTGGCTTGAATCTGGTGCTTTTCAGAGTGTATAAAAGCATGTTCAGGTGTCAATGTAAAATCTGCTTGGACAATTTTAAATTGAATTTATGGTAAATAGCGTCAACTAGCTCACTAAGTGTTTTTCTGGGGTTTTCTTCAATTTTGTTCCGTATAAAATCTTTGTGCTTATTTGACACTTTTCTGAACCTTTGTCCACCTCTTGAGTCTTCTTTTCACCTTGGGATATCCACCTGTAAGCAGTTGCCTGAGGGACACCGATTTGTTGAGCTTTTAACCTCCAATCTCCATCTGATTTGTAGCCATCCAGAATTTGAGTTCTCATTTTCAGTCTTCTCGTATGATCTCACCATAGTATTGAATTTTAAGAAACACTTTTAGTCAGCATTTTATATATTATTCAAAAAAATAGAAAATTCTGGGTAAAGTAAAGTATTTCAATATATTTGAATATCCTTAGGTAAATAATTAAGCACTTTATCAAATTAAATTCAGTTTTTAAAAACAATTTTAACTTTGAAATTTAAATATATAAAAAAATGCAATTTTGATTAAGTTTCCATTTTTACTCAAAATAAATTGTCCCATTTTGAAAGTGACTATTCTCAAATTCAAAATGAAAAGGTATAGTTTATTTTTCAATAGAAGAAAAGTTTATGAAAGAGAAAGAAACCAAATTAAAATTATTGTTAGCTCTTTAAGCCAGATTAACAGACATCTCTCTGGGGTGAGTGAGTTTATTCAGACTTTTTTTTTTTTTTTTTGTAATTCAGTTCCCTAGGAGACTGCAAAAGGCACAAAGAGCAGTTCTCTGTTAAGAAAGCTGGAAAATTTGAAAATGGCTGATAGATGGATGTTAGCGGAACAAAACAGTAGATTATTCAATAAGGTATTACCAAGGGGAAACAAGTCCAAAATATGGAAAATTTGAGACTAATTAATGCTGATTAGCATGCATTAGAGCTTCCTCTAAACATGTTTGTCAGAATTGAAAAATATTGATTTGTCTTTTTACCAAGCATTTTCTTCTTCATAATATAAATACAGTATCAAACTGAACCCTGATTTTTTAAAAAGTGTTATCTTTACCTGGTTTTTATTCACAAATGTCGGATTTGAAACTGGGACCACATCAATGATGTTTTCTTTCCAATTTTTAATTAGAGTTTGAAATAAGTTTTTGCAAAATGGATTTATGTATTTTCCTTTCTGACTTTTGCTTTATTACAGAGACATTTGTACAAACGAAGGGAGATAATAAATATTTAACCAAGTACATCCTACCACAAGGGATTTTCCACATCCTCCAATTCAATGTTTGTCCCATTGACATTTTCCCCAGTCCCTGATCTGCTATTGATTTACATAAACTTGTTAGGTGGGTGATTCATTGTCTCTCTTTGTTTCTTGTCTTCAATATGCTACATGTTAAATTCTCCCCTTCAGTGTCTAAACTGCAGAAATCTTTTTTTTTGGGGGGGGGGGTAGTTGTATTTTTACCTTTATTAAAACAAAAAAAAAAAATTATGATAAAAATGTTATTTTTCTTACATCTTCAATGTTAGAATCAATATAAAAACAATTTTGGAATTGTTTTTTTAGTTGTAGGTTAATATGGGATGTGTGTGTGTGTAGCCTAGTCAATGACATGGGAAGTGAGATCAGTGAACAGTGTTCAAATCCCAGCCAATGCTGTTGCATTCACTTTCGCACAAATACCATTGGAGAAAAGTATCACCAACTCTTCTTACCCCAGCTATGGGTTAAATAGCAGAGTAGGCTGAATTTTCTAGCCTTAGGTGGTATCTAGTCTAAGGTAAAGAAAACTAAATTCTGAAAACTGGAGAAAGTTACAGGAAACCACACCACCATTTTTCCTATGAAAAATGGCATATAATAAAGAATAGGAAATTGTGGAGAGCCATGACCACCTACGTCTCAAATGGATATGGCATTTTTAAGTATGTTGATACAGTAAAAAAGCAATTTTTTAATGTAGTTAAGTAAACACTATCACTGCCATCTAAAAATACAAAACTAAAGTTTTGGGGATAAACAGGGAATAATTAATCAATTTCAAGCATTGGGCAGCATAGTTTAATTATCTCATGCTGCTAATTACATAATTTCTTGTCTGTTATTGTTTGTTTTATGCTATCATTTTTGCTCTAAATGAGTTAATATTTAAAAGTTTAAATATAACCAATATTCTGGAATCATTTCATAAACTGTAACTTACAAGTTCAGTTCTTGAGGGATCTTCAACAATCTGTTCAAACTTTGCAGCAGAAGTGATTTTGTTGGAGCTCCAATTTTTGTAATGCCGAGATACCAAGAAATTGTGTAAAGTTGGTCTGAAAGTTGTCATCAAAGATGACAACTGAGAAATGGCAGCTGTTACCTGTAAGAAAATAAAAAATGATTAAAAAGTGACAGCTTTTCTTTCAAAGTAATGTTTATTTTGTTATTCACAGACTCATAATTTGACAACGTTCCTCCAACATCACTGGCAGTTGATATAATACAACAGACAAAATAATTAAAATTTAATTTGTTAACTAATATAACAGAATAGTTTCTGATTTTAATTAAGATTCATTAATGAAAGAAGATATAATTTCACAAGCACCGTAGAAGAAAGAATTTATACTAAAATAGAGACCCATTATTTTAAATATATTACTCATGATGGGGTTGCTGAGTGGTAGCTTGGTTGAATTGGAAAGGTCAAAAGATTGAAAGTTAAAACATTTGAAATCTATAAAAAGGCAAACACAAGGATAGAATTTAACATTAGTTGATTAGTTGGCCAATCAGAGGATGGTTCATCCTCTGCTAGAGCAGCAAAGAGAACCGATTTAAAAAGTGTTATGGTCCGGTTCCTTGTACCACGGTGATAGTCCAAGGTAGAACCAATAAAGAAGAACTTGAACACAGGTATGGAATAACACAGATATACTACAAACAGGAATATATACAGAAAAGTAGAAGTATTAGCATGAACAATCAGGTTTAGTAGAGAGAACAATGTAGTCTCGACCAGTATCACTATTCCAATGTTTTGCAGTAATTGTCTGAACACGACTGTTTCGGACTGCCTCTGACTTGACTCTTGATTCAACTTGAACTACTGACTCCTTGCCTACTCCCGAGGCACAGTATTTATTAAGTATGGAATAGTCTATTATTATTATGGGTAAGATCCCATAGCAAAAAAAAAAAAAAAAAAAAAAAAAAAAAAAAAAATAAAAATTGAACAAAAAACCTTAGTTTGCATTGTGCATGAAATTTTGGCTGTGCTTCACAATTTTAAAGATGGTTTATAACTCTGTAATAATTCGATTATTTTTATATAGAAATATGTTGTCTTTTTTTGTTTGCCACCACAACATGAGTATAGAAGTTGCCAGAGAAATCCAGCAGCAAACCTTGAGAAGTCAAATCAACTAAATCCAATTATAATCATCACCATCAACAACAATTATGATTAATATGATTAACATCCTTCCTGTTGCATGAAGGCACATTTGTTGCTGTAACATGGATGTGTTTATCAAGACCCAAGGTGAACCCCACTTCACCACCACTTCATATAGTCATATTTGGTTGCTTTTGACAAAGATAAGTTTGACTAAGTCATAAACAAAAACATCCCTAGACCTGGTCATTTTCTTCTATTTGTTGTCTTGTACCAGGAAAGAGAAATATCACACAAGTTCAAAAATCATTATTTACGACAGTATATAGTCACACTAAAAACATTTTATCACTTTGTCATCAGTTTATCAGAGTTTATCACTAAATTACACTCAGCCTTCAGTAAAATATCTATCAATTTGATTGGTGGAGTGTGAAGAGAGGAGTTTTTTTTTTTTTTTTTTTTTTTTTTTAAAAAAAAAACACATTAACATATTATTTAGAATTATTAATAATGGAAGCAGAATTCATTCATTTCACCATCTCTCTTTCATAATTACTTATGGGGATGTTACCATGCAACATATAGTAAAGTTGTAAAAAAAAGCAAAAAAAGGTAAACACAAGGATAGAAGTTAACAATGAGCATTAGAAGATTGGTTGGCCAATCAGAGGAAGCTTCATCCCTAGCTTGGGCAGCAAAGAGAAGAGATTTTTAAAAACCTTGGTTCGCATTGGGCTAGAGAGACATGAAATTTTGGCCCCGCTTCACAATTTTAAAGACGGTTAACTTTAATAATTTGATTATTTTTATATAGAAATATATTATGTTGTCTTTTTTTGTTTGCCACCACACCACGAGTAGAGAAGTTGCCAGAGAAATCCAGTAGCAAGACTTGAAAAGCCAAATCCAAATCAACTAAATCAAATTATAATCATCACCATCAACAACAATTATGATTAATATGATTAACAACATCGTCACTGCTGCACGATGCCACATTTGTTGCCGTAACCAGGATCTGGACTGGTGTTTATCAAGTGCTGATATATTTTATTGTCTTTTTTCTTTGTGTTGTTCATTGACAAATAATTGTTTTTCTATTAAATGTTATCTAACCCTCTTTTTATCTATGTATCTTTGCCCATGTAAGTAATATTTTAATAGTCTGTTTGAATTCGTTTACTAACACTTTCAAATTTGAATATTTGTAGGTGTGTATATGTGTGTGTCTTTATTAGTGTATGTGTGGACATCTATTTCCCGTTTTGTTCGTGTTTATATATCTAAATATGTCTACATGTTTGATGTTTGTGTATTATAGTCTGATTGCGTATGTACTGTCTTTTGCAAGATTTCATCCTCCCCTGCCCATATTATCACTTCAAATGTATCTAAGTTGTAACAATGCTTTACATCCCCATTTGTTTAATGTTTATTCTGAGTTTTTGGCCTTTGAATTAAATCAAAATAAATAGTAAAATGTATGTATTCTTTCCTCAGTTTCTTCTTTAAATAATTTTATATTTTAAACTTAATACAGATTAAATTTAAAATTGGTAATTTTTCATTTTCAATTTTATAGTAAAATTTAAAATTAATTAATTACAATGATTTCTATTTTAGTCAAACCCTAACATTAAGGCATTAATTATTATAACCAAGGTTCGTTGTCAAGTTTTTAAAAATTTTCATATACTTGTATTTTGATTGGTCATTGCAGCTTATGTAAAAGTGTTTCCACTATCAAGGGATGTTTGGTTGATTTGAAACTTTTAAAACTCTTTATTCTACGTTCAACACCATCACTTGATAAGACAACAGAAGTGTTGAAACAAAATGGCTATTTTTGTAGTGATTTTATAACATTTATGTTATAATTTTCAAATAAATTATATTTGCTCTACTTGTATTGAGCACTCTTTTAAGAACAGTATTTTTTGGTTATTGGAATTTATTCCGTATACACCAATCCTATACATGTGTGCGTGGGTGTGTATGTGTATATATTATATATTTGGTTGAATAATCTAGACATATTGTCTATTTTTATTTTATACACTTTATTTTTGTTCTGGTTAAATAGTACTTTGAATGTTGGATCCATATGCAGGATTGAGATGAGAAGATTTCAGTTTGGGGTAATATTGAGTGACTAGCTTGTCTCTCCTCAGCTTCAGTGGTGCTTTGTTAGCCTCCATATACAGGCTCTCTACTGGAGAAGTAGAGAAGATCCCAAGTGCAAGTCTCAGTCCCTTATGGTGTATTGTATCCAGTGTTCTCAAATATGATTGCATGGTTGGTCTGTAGACCATGCAGCCATAATCCAACTTGGAACATACTAATGTTCTGTAGAGTTTCAGTAATGTTTGTTAACTAGCTCTCCATTCTGTATGGGCCACCACACATAAGCTGTAGGGCCATGTTACATTTTATTAGGTTTTTGATGTGGAGTATAAAAGATAGCTTTCTGACCTAAGTTACTCCTAGGAATTTTACTCCTCAATGACTGGTATATCTGTATCTTCTAGTTTTAGCATTGGGTCATTGTGTAGATTTTATGATTGGCAAAAGTGGACGCATTTCATTTGAGATTTTAAAACTATTTGATGTTGCCCATTTGTCTAATTTGTTTATGCGTTGTTGCAACTGTCTCTCCATAGTGTACATATATTTTGAGTGATAAAATATAAAATCATTTACAAATAGTGAGTGGTCAACCCCAAGATTAAGGCAGTTTGCTATGTTGTTTATTTTTATGCTGAACAACATTACTGACAGGACACTTCTCTGTGGGATTCCTTCTTGATTTTTAAGATTGGATAGAGTAGATCCTATACCTACTTTGAAGGTTCTTTCCGCTAAGAAATTTTTAATAAAGATTGGCAATCTGTCTCTCAGACCAAGTTTGTGAATATCCTTCATGATCCTGTGCTTCCAGATAGTGTCATACACCTTCTCTAGGTCAAAGGTTAGATATTCTTTTTTAATGTTAGCTTCAAGATTTCCAATGTTATCAGATGATCTACTGTATTCACTTTTTTCTAAAGCCAAATTGGAATTTTGTTATTTGATTTTTTTTTTTTCCAGTAACCAGGTCAGTCTCCTATTAATTATTCATTTCATCATTTTTCAAAGGCAACTGATTAGTGATATCAGTCTATAGTCTTGTGGGTCTGCATAATCTTTTCCCGGTTTTGGAAAATTCTCCATTTATCCAGATTTTATTGAATATACGTAATAGGTATTTTAGGGATTCTTGTGGGAGGTCTTTGATGATTTTGTAGCATATCCTGTCAGGGCCATCTGCTGTTATGGGACATTTCAATAGACTCCCTGAATTCTGTCATAGTAAGAGATTTGTTGCAATGTTCAAGGTTATTTGATGAGAAGTCAAGTTTAAGCTTTTTTTCCTGTTTGATATTTTGGAATCTCTGGTTTCCATCCGACTTGGAGTTTTCTAAGTAGGTTTTGGCTAGTAGATTAGTTATTTTATTGTTGCTGGTCACTAGATGCTTTATTTTCTTGATATTTTTCTTACCATTTCCCCAATTTTTTTGTTTTTGAGTAAGAGTTGAGGTTGTTTACAAATTTTTTCCAATACTTTTACTTTGCTTCTTTAATGGCTCTGCAAGCCCATGCTCTGGTGTGTCTGAACTCAATTAGATTGTGTGTGGTGGATGTACCACTGAATTTTCACAGGGCTGCTCGCCAAAGCATGATTGCTTTCTGGCAATCTTTATTAAACCATGGTTTGTTTCATCTATTCTTCATTTGTCCTTTCGGTATACATTCCACCACTATAGTGCTAAGTGTTTCTGTAAAATTTGTGTCCTTAATTAGCTGTTTCTTATATTCAGCTTCAGATTTTCCCCCAATCCGCTTTTTTTAGCTTCCAATATGTGGGTTCGTTCTCATTTGGTGTAGTTATCCAACACAATTTGGAAATGGTTTCTACTGCAAGTGTCCTAATACACCCTCCA